TTGATTGTTTTCCACATCTGTTTTGGTTGGTTTTCGCAGTTGTTAATGGTGTTTGTAAAATAGTTGGCTTTAGTTCTTTTTATCAAAATGTTAAGCTTATTTCGTGCTTTTCTAAAAGCATCATGGATTTGTTTTGATCCTGTTTTTACTGCCTTTCATTTCAAGACGTCCCTCTGATGCATCAAGTTTTTAATTTCCCTGGTGATCCATGGGGCATGTTCACTTCTTACTTTCCTAGTGATCGGTGGTGCATGCCTGTCGGCCACCGTAACAAATATATGTTTCCATTCATCCCACATTTCATCCGGGTCATTCATTAATGAAATTGTTTGCAAATTAATTGCCAAATCTTGTTTGAATTCTGTCCAGATTTTCCTAGTGGAATCCAAAATTTCGCCTAGTGGAAACCTGGCTTTAAAAGGTAGGAACCGTTTCTACTTTTTTGCGGCGATTTTTTTCGCAAACAATCATCGAATCATGCACATCACCAGATTTCTGGTATCGCTTCGCGTCGCGCGAATAAATTCGCCTTGCAAATTGTGGAAACGGGCTTTACGCATGGGTATGGAATTGCTGCCTGAGAGGTTTCAGTGTTGCCAATCTCGTTCCTACTGAAATTCTCTACGAAGGCTGTTTGGGGCGAAGTTTATGGGATTCTCTACGAAGGGTCCGCCTTCGTTTATATTCAAAATATGCCGTCATTATCTGACCGCATTTCCTTTTTATAGTTATATGACCAATAACCTGCTCTCTGAATGGAACCTGCGTACTAAATTTGTTGACGATACGTCTGCTTTGGAGATTATCCCAAGAAACTCTATTAGCCTTTCAAACCATGCTGCATCCGATATACATAATTTTGCTATGTATCATAACATGAAGCTAAATCCCACTAAATGCAAAGAGATGCTCATAAATTTTCTACACATCTCAAACTTCTAACTGTTATCGAGCGAATCAAGACTAATAAGATCTTAGGTGTCATTATGAGCAACGACCTGAAGTGGAATTGCCACGTAGAATACATTGTTAAGAAAGCTAGTACGGAAGTTGTATTCTTTAAGAATTTTGCGAAGAGCTGGGGTCAACCAGAGTAATATACAAAAAGTATATCTAAGCACAGTACGCCCGGTGCTGGAATACGCTGTCCCTGTGTGGCAGGATATACCGGATTATTTGTCAAAAGCAATAGAAGTAGTGCAAAAAAGGGCACTCAAAATAATTTATCCAGAGACTGAGTCGTATTCGGAAGCTCTTAAACGATCACAACTACCAACCTTGAAAACAAGAAGAGAACTACTGAGTGTAGAATATATGAACAAGATGAAATGTGAGGATCATCCGCTATTTACATTATTACCAAAGTGTGCTGCCCGTAATCACAATTTCAATTTAAGGAAGATCTCTGAACAATTACATCTATTTAATTACGTTACTAATTGTAGAACAAAGAGAACACAATCCTTTTATACTTGTTCAAATATTTGATAAAGATTTAAATTTTAAATATTACATAATTCGTAATTCGTATCATGTAAATTGCCCAATAGAATATAGTAACATTGTGTAAATAGTAAGATCTTAGTAACTTTTATTGTAATATAATTGCTCAGTAATTCAGTTATTGTAACTGCAAGGGAGTCTTTTAATAAACCACACATATATATTGCATGCAGGTACAAGTGAAAGAATGTATAAAAGCTACCATAATGCAACGCGCATAGCAAAATCGAGATTTTCCCTCCTAATGTATAGATTAGGAGTGCTGCCTCGTTCGCCCGCTTCAGGCTCGCTCGCTGCGGCAGCAACAGAAGCTAGCTACCTTAGAAACAAGAACTGTTCAAAGTTACAAGAGCAATACAACGATGAGGACATTTCCTATAATATTAAAAGCTGCAAACTATGTTTTTACAACTACTTGCACGTGACCCCCATGTGAGAGATGAGATTTTTGAGACAGTCACGTGCGTAAGGTTCGCACTTCGCAAGCTTTCTGTAAACAAGCTTTTACATCTAGATGGATCGGATGCAACGCTCGCAATTCTGGGTGAAATCTTCCTGGCCCCTAAGTGTTGGGAGCCTTCTTAATATTGTAATTACCGTCACCTTTTACTACTTCTAAGAACGAATAAACCACATAACTACAAGAGCAATACAACGATGTACATCACGTGCGCAAGGTTCGCACGCAAGCTTTCTGTAAACAAGCAGAGTTTACATTTAAATGGATCATATGAAACGCTTGGGAGCCTTCTTAATATTGTAATTACCGTCACCTTTTACTATTCCTAAGAAAGAATAAACCACATAGTCCCGAGAAACGACAACAAACCTTCGCGTGATCTCACGAGGGAGGTTGCTGATAAAGCCGAGTGTGTTGCGTGTGGATCATCACGAATATAGAAAACATTGTAGTGCTGCAACAGAGGCTTGGCCTTGCTTTGGCATAACCCTTGTCCTAACTTTGTCTGTTCTTTGTGGTACTTTTTGTTTCTGTGCGACCGGAATCGGGTTTGAAATAGGAATCGTGGGAAAGGGAACAACATTTCGAGGCCTTTTCTTCGGCCTGCAGTTATCGGTGGCAACTTTTGAAATAATAACAGCCAGATTGTTTTTATATGCTGCCCAAACCTCACGTGCAGGTGAAACTAGATTGCTAACTAATCACTTGATCGTGAATTTTTAACCCGAAGACGAGATACGCATGAAAAACAAGAAGTTGTAGCATCTGCATGCCATATGTGTGTACGTTTGAATAAGTTCTCAAAATGTTAAGATGTTGTTTAATAACTGCATGCCTGTGGCTGTTGCGCTGGCCAGTTCACATATAAATATACAATTTGTTCCAAAAAAGTGTGCGATTGCTGTGAGAACGATTAATATCTCATTTATTTAATAGATGAAGGCAAAAACAATTTCACTCACGTGAATCGAGGTTCGAATTTGCACCTGCACGATTTAGAAGATATGGACAGACGTTTTACTAAGGAAGATATAGCCATGAATCATCGTCTTAGACTGGGGTCTGATAATTTTTAAGTATACATCCATAGTTCTGTGCATTGACCATTGTTCATTTGATGTAATAATGAAATTATTGAGCACAAAAGTGTCAAAACGCAGTTCATGTTATTGTCGATTTCACCATTGAGAATTCAAAAGACATATCTTTGATTGACATGTCTTTTGGATTGTCTATGATTTCACATAACTTTTCAAACCGCGGTTGCAAAGTTCGTCACGAAGTTCACAATTACTTTTCGAATGTTCGAAGCTCAAAACGAACTTTGAAGGTCAAGCTCGTAAATTCGAATAATCACGAAGCATTAAAATATACTGTAAATTAACTATGACTTATCAACGTAACTGCATACAATCAAATCAAAACAAAACTGTTTTAGCAGTAGTAAGTTGACTAAGTTTTGTTTGAAAAGGTATTTTAAAAAAAGTTTGTTTTGAACTTCGAACATTCGAAACGTAATTGCGAACTTTGCAACGAACTTCGCTACCCCGCTTTAAAAATTTATGTGAAATCGACAATAATTAAATGTGAAAAGTAATTACAATGGCATTTTTTTGGAAATTTATTCCTAAGATAGTGAATCGACTTTTTGAAGAACTGGGTTGAAAAAATCCAGAATTTTTTCTAATTTTTGAGTGGGTTCTTGACCATGAGGATTTCTGTCTTATCCCAGTCGAAGAGGTCGTCCAAAAATAAATTTATACCCATTTATACCCATATCGATTGACATAATTCCTGCAGTAGGGCCGTGTTCAAACAATCCTAAATGTCTCTTTCAGAAGAAAATTTTCGTTGGTCGAAAATTGACACTCTGTAATGTTTTTAAACAAAGTAACTATTTTTACTTTCTCAGAATTTGTTCTTTTCAACTGTTATTAACTCTGAAAGGAAAAGAATTGACAAAGCTTTCTTGGTGCTACTAAATAATCTTTTGATTTTATGCACTTTGGTTACGATCACTTAGTTTCTTCTCATACGATCTAGGATAATGGATGATGTATTGATGGTGAGTTGGGATGTCATCGCTACTTTTCAAGAGGAACAAACGCAAAGCATCTTCCAAAATGGCGTTAAAGTTGTCTGAGTGTGTACCATTCGATTCTCCTCTTTGGTACATGCATTCTGCAGGCAGAACAACAGATATAATGAACTTGTTTGTCAGAAAGCTCTCATTTCTAAGCTTTGTTGCTGGTCAAGATATCGATTGCCAAATCTTTCAGAGGAAAATCTTCCCTCCGACTCAGGAATGGTAAATCAGCATAGGTTTTTCAGAAGAAAATAATTCCGCTTGTAGGAATTTGTTGATGATATTCCGTAAAACGACGAAAAAATCTGCCCAATGTTCTTGCAACCCTCTCTTCGTAATATCCTTTTTCAAACAGACATTTATGCGGGGATACTCAAACAGCATTGTGGTAGAGAATGTAAATGGCTTGCATAATGCAATGAGAAAAAAAAGCACCTCAAAATCCCAAAGTACTCTTCATTCACATATGGCTTTTCCACACAATATATTTATAGAAATGAAATATTCGACATATCCGAGATAAGTCCTTATCTAAATATTGATCAAGATCAGACATTGGCGACACATCCGACAAAATACTTCAAAAGAATTCATGAGAGTGGTGTCGATGAGCAGGTGGAAGCAAAATCAAACAATGGAAACAACTTATAACTCGCAAACAGCAATAAAAAGTTTTGTCGTAACTGTCGTGAGCATGTCAAGGTAACTGATGTAATGGAATATTACTACATGTGTGCATGAGAGAGATTGGAGGCACCCCCCGTGGCATCACTAGTTTCGTAATTTTACCAATTTTGGTATGCTATTAATAGCTATGGTTATGCGTCGCCTTGCCCAGATATAGAAAAATATATAGTCTAACTTGGCTATAAGTGGTCCAAGGCTATACTGCCCCTCTTAGATAGAAAATAACTAAATAAAATGAAAATATATAGACTGCAATGCTCTTACCTCCATTTCCAGAATTCTTACTCTTCAAATTCGGCAGTTCTGCTCGTTGCTCCTCCATACGGTTGCCTTGACAACGGGATAGTAGTTCGAAGAAATTATCGTCAAGAACGTGGGTACTGGATGCCTGCAAAGAAAAAATGACGGATGCGATTTTAAAAAACAGATAATTTTGAAAAAAAGGTGGTGTTGAAATTGTTCAACGTTCTTTAGAGCGAAATATTTCTAGTTTCAGCCACACATCGGTTATACTCCAGCAAAAATAAAGGGAGCTATGACACCATTGTATAAAATTATTTTTGGTTACAAGGCCGCTTTATGATCACGAAAAATTTGGACTGTCACTCTGTTCAGCCTCGGGAAAGCTTCTGATGGACGCTTGTCTGTATAGCATATTGGGAGTGTTCTTAGGAAGTGTGGCATAACACTAATAATATGTACTGAATAATATGTTCATAGAGATGCAAATGATTTTGAAATGATCATTTTATTGAATTCGATTTTTAGATTTTTAATCTCTAATTAAATCTTGTGTGCACATAATTATTACAGCTGATATGCCAAATTCATTTACCATATAAATATAGAAACATTTTAATTATAAGATACCCAAATAATGTCGGATACATTCATTCTTGCATAGAAATGAATTACTTGTATATTTTTAATTGCACTGCGTCCTCTTTAGGAAATAACTCTGACTTTAAACTTAAATATATGGATATAACATGTGATTAGAATTGATTCACCCGTCAAATCAAACATTAGACCTTTTCGATAATTACGTCACAACATAACAACATCACAACGTTTTAATTTAGGACCAACTTACATTAATAATTAAATGGATTTCAAGTTTTACTCTCACGAACCATGTGCAAATGTGCAAAACATCCTTCTTCAACACATCCATGAAAAATATTTTTGGGTTTTTGACCAATAAATTTAAAAATAAGCCATAAAATGAGAACGAGGCTAAAGGGCCAAGACCGCGAGCTTCGTTCCCGCGTTATGGCTTATTTCCATATTTATTAATCAAAATGAAATATTATTTTTCATGGGTCATAGCTTGTGAGAGTACTACTTGAAATCCATCTCATTTAAGGTGGTTCTAAACTTAAAACGATAATGTTGTGACGTAATTGCCGAAAAGGTCTATTAGCATGTTGATCCGTTATAATTTGCATTACATAAAGTAGCGCACGTGATCATAAATATGATCATTGATCTTTCATGTATAAAATATATACATTACATTTGGTATATATTTTACAATTTATACATGAGAGATAAACGACGATTTTTTATTAATGATTGCACGCACTACTTCATGTAATGCAAATTATAACGGATAAAAAAACACATTTTTGGGTAATCTATGAATTGAGTGGTGATAAATGTAGTTTTGTGTTTAGAGTTCCAAAGTGAGTTCAAACGTTGAAGGTAAATGATTCCGATGCAGACGTTATATAAATGACACTAGAGGAGGCATGGATTCTTATGATAATAATGAAAAAATTGCCGAAATATTAGCTCAAGTCTAAAAAACAATGTAAGAAATGAATCACGCACTTAAATCAAAGCACATTAGCCGCAAAATATTACCGCCTGTAAATTTACTCTGGGTTGTGACCTGCGGAGGAGGGGCAATAGTAAAAGTCATTATTATATTCATCTTGAAATCACTGGTGTTTTCTACAACCTGATTGATTATTAGCAAAGTGATTTCAACATGAGAAATGAACGAGGTTCATTTAAAAATTGCTAACGCCGTAGTAGTAGACGAGCAGCAAAATTTTTTTGACACAAGCTCAGGTTTGCATATAAGAATAAAAAGGCATTTAAAGAGTAAATTCGAAAGAAAATTTAGCTCCGAAACATTGTAAAATTGCCCTAACCTTTGAAATTATCTACTTGGTTGAGATTAATTTGTTTTGATTTAGAAGAATATAATAAAGTAGTAATTGCACTTCGTGTCGTGCAATTTCGGTAAGAATTCAAGCAAAATTCATACAAATCGCATTTCTGCTTCGTGGCCGAGTGAGTCATACGCCACTCAGTGTGGTTACAATTACTAATCTACGGCAAACGCCTTAAGTATACTTTTCAGTGATGACATGACATTTTGCAAGCAGTTGTTATATTATTGTTACATGATTTGGCCTCTAATATTGTATGTAGACTTTTTATCTTTCTTGCATCATGTTTAGAATTTGTTACGTTTCCTGTGAATGTCACGTCTGTTTATCCGTCCCAGTGTATTTGCGGGATAAATTAAGCAATTCATTTAACATCTTGAAGTGTTTTCATAATGCAAGAAACAAACAACTGAAAAGTTGTATATTTTACTGAGAACGGTCGCGTCCGAAATATCATCCGCAGGTGGTAAGCTGGAAACACCATCAATAATTGATAAGCTATCATTAGACCTCATTCCCACAACTGTGTTTCCACAACATTTACCACAATCGTATCATCTGCGTCAATGTCTCAAGTGAGTCTTGTACAAAAGTGCGCAGTTCAATAACTTGACAACATTGCATTCAGACTGATTAGGTCAGAACATGGTTTGAGCGTTAAAAACATACTTCGGCAAGGCGGTCTGAAAAATTTTTCTTCGACTTCGAGAAAATATCCTTTAAAATACCATTTCTAGAATTTTGGAAAATTTTTCGCAACCTGATGGGAAGTTGAGAATAGTTATACACTCATTCTTCCCTTTCCTAAAATAGGGATAATAATTCCCCCCTCACGTCTTCAGTACCAATGCCTTATTTGGAAAAAGATATGCAGAATAATGTCACGATTTATTTACTACGCACAATGAGTCAACACTTCCTATATCTTCAACGCTCACGCATTAAACAGCTAGGGTCCTTAATTGAAAAGTATAATATTGATTAGAAGTCTCGCTAATACTCTAAACCATGCAGCTAGTTTTTGATGATTATAAAACACTTCAAAATAAGATCCGAAAAGACTAACCATGATCCGAAAGGACTAACCATGCATTATTACGTGTACCCCCTTATGTCTTATCCATTAAAATCATTGGTCTAAATTGCTGCTCCTAAAAGATCGCCTGCCGCCTCAAAAGGGCTTTTCGCCCCAACTCAGTTTTCATAAATTGTTTGTGCGAAACCGTGCAGTACGCTGTCAGATTTTACAACAGCACGTCTTGGTAACGTACACGATCCACTGTTAGTCAATGTTTCCCTCGATCTAGTCTAAATAAGACAAGATGCGTGCAAAAACAATATACATAGAAGTTATAAGAGTGGAGGAGACATTTGAAAGCAAAATGAAATATAAAGCGAATGAAATATACAGACTCATCTAAAAATTTAAAGTATATATTTTCACACATACCTAATTCTATTTGCAGTTATAATATGGTTTTGACTCGCATTAGAAGTTGTGACTGTGAATAAAGAATGCACGAGCGCTTCCCAGCATGAAATCAACGTATAATATTGAAAATATTTATAAATTAACATATTCTGAAAACTGTTATCTTCTCGCAGAAGTATCCTTTGAACGCGACCAAAGATGTGATCCGAGCATCATGACCCGGACAAGAGAGTTGCCAATAATAAATCATGCATGATCGCCGGATTTGATTGACATTCACCTCAATCACCACAATCGCATTGCATGGGATTTAGAAAACATGTCCTTATGCAAGTTCTTATAGAACAGCATAAAACGTACTTCATGCAGTAGCAGTACATGTCAGAACAATCGAGCGAAAACGTTATGGCAAGGCTAGATAAAGTAAAATGAAATCACGTGACTCTACCATCACAACACCTGAAGTGAAGGGTCGATGACATTAGGTATAAAAATGCAACCCAGCAAAAGCAAACTTAAAGAAAAATTATGAACAGGATTCACTGAGGATTGAGACACTTAGTGTTGAAACTAAGTTATGTCACCGACCTGTGTAGTTTATTATTCGCAAAATGATCCATTAAATTATCACGCCCTATTGATTTTGTATGCGCTAGCTTCCATGGAATTCTACAGAAACACGAAGCGAAACAATTCCTAACGTCACGCGTTTCCATCCATAACCACAGGACTCGATCTTCGCTTCCCCGAAACCCCAGGTTGACATGTTTCATACGAATATCTCCAACGTTGAAGTGGTCTTGATGCAGCTCGTCAGCCACAATGATCGTAAGGCTCGTTTGATTTACGAGGCTTGCAACTTAATTATTAAAGAAACGAGGTCATCAAGAAACCCTTATTTAAGCAAACTCGATAAGAAGTGATCATTCCCTACTGTGTAAACTGTCTCTTACACATAGTAATAAAACAACAGCCGAGATTATACCATGGCCCTATTTATACCCATGCAATATTCTACAAATGTTTTTCCACAATTTTTGTACATGGCCATTGTGCTCTGTAAACGTCACATGTAGTCAGCACGTGTAAAAGAGATCAGTTCTTCAAAAACATCTGGTTATCAGTAAATCAGATCACAACTACGCATTAGATATGGAACAGAAGAGACTAGGGTGCCGCTCGAGGCCAATATAAAGCGGTTGGGCCGCGTGCTTCGCTCAATTGAGACGAAGCCAAGCCAAGCTCAAGAAGACACGAAAAGAAACAAAATATTTGAAGATGGGTTTCGTTACTTTTGTATGCAGACAAGATACAAAAGCAAAAGCCATGTTCAAGCTTATTGAAAAGCTACAAGTAAGTATAATACATTTGAATAGATAGTGTTCCCCTATCTCTTGGCAGAAAGAAAGGAAAATACAAGCTTCTATACGATAACTATTTCTGAGGGAATGTTACTAAAGGAAGCATATTTCTAATATCGTTCATCTTCTTTCAGGAATACCGTTTGAACGACCAAAGATGTGATCCACAAATTATCGCCAAGACAAGAGATGAACAGTTCTTCGAAATGATATTCCACTATCAGTCAAAGAGGATGAACGAACAACGTGCAGAATTGCCAAACAAAACTCCAACTGAGGAGGTTTGAGAACAGCGAGAAGTATATCTTCTTTATGAAATTCTTCGCAAAAACGATGAACAACCAATCGAAAGAAATGCAGTTGTAACACGAACGAAAGGAGAAACATGAAATGCTGTGTACGACATAAACACTGTCGATTTAATGCGCGGCTGGAAATAAAGTAAAGTCGCCACTGGGAACAATTCATCACAAAATACTAATGTTACACAAAACTGATGTTAAATTCATATATAAAGAATGTTATTAGCTGAAATCTAGTCTCAAGATGCAGAGCAAGATTAGCAAATAAATATCGTAAAATAAGGTTCCTTAGTATAAATTTACTGTTAAATTCACCTGATCACGCATGGTGGAATAAGAAATTTGAAAATTATTGTTAGACGCTAGTTCTTTATATATTCTGTAAAACAACATTATTAATATGAATATATTAATGTATATTAACGTATAAAATGTAACGTATGATCTTGGTAGAAACGGTTAGGAAATATAATACTATGTTTGAATAACAAACGTTTGTTCATGTTGAGACAACGGTACAAGTTTTCTATTATCTAACGATCAAGTAACGGACTATTTTCCGTCTGCCCATGAGCCTTTGGCGCATTATAATCTACCCTAGTGCCAGGCCTCTGTAAGCGCGCTCTAATTAAAATCACGCTGTTCAATTATAAAATTGACTCCGCTGAAAAAATGCACGATATAGGGGTGTGTCAAAAAAACAACTTCAGCGCGCTGTTCTATTTGATCCATGAGCACAATTTTTGAACATGGAATAACAAAGAAATTGTAGAAGTTTGATAAAAAAATCATGCTAAAATCGCAGATTTGCTGGCCGTCGTAAATACCGAAAACCCATGCAAGTAAACAATCAATTTCATGAAGCTATAGTAATTATAATTACATCGAGCGATAAGGTCAGACCACATGCACACATGTTTATACATGGGAAAATATAAATACATCTTCCTAACAAAAACAAAAAGTTACGATAAATCATTGTTGGTTTGTGTTTTCCATATAATTTTTTTTTATGTGCCTGGATTATTTAGTGCATGGGATGAATAAATGGTGTTGTTTACGAAATGTACATACACCACGAAAAATTCAGGCGCCATCATATATGCGCATGCGCAAAAATAGCGTCGCATTGAGAATAAAAAAACATTGAAAGAAAATACATTGCCATATTCTGAGGCACATATTTTGTTTATTCAAACAAAATGGCTAAACATAGGAACATCCTAGAAGTATCCTTCCGTGGGCAATAAATATATATATTTGTTGTATCTTTGACTTATACGAGTTCTAAGTGAGGAGACGGTCTTCGCTCGTGCAATATTCACGTGTAATTAAAACTGTGGAGTAAATAGTTTCTTAAAAAAATATTATCTCATATAGCAAAGTAATAACAACTCGCAAATGCAAGATAGTGCACAAAGATTCATCCTATAAGACCTGTAAGACTATTTTCGTGCAAGAGATGACTGAGACGCACGCACAAAGACATTACAGACGAACAATTCTTTAAAATGGTATACAAAACATGCAACGTCACTCGAGGATATAATTGTGAAACGTTTTAGGAATGGAAAGTCTCTAAATTACTATGCCATGCATACATCGAAGTTTCAGTCCAGTGAGATAAAAACGGACCTTATAACGAGACAAAGGAATTGCATGGCACGATACAGGAATAACTAACCCTGCATGGAAGCAGACTAAAAAGACGGCGAATTTTGTGCAAAATAAACGAACAAGCATGCAGTTTTAAGAGGAAAAATCCAAATGGGAGTTGCGTATTCCAAAGCATGTCCAGAAAATTTTGAATTAGTCAAAAACTATCCCCAAAACTAATGGGGTTAATTTGACTTTAATTTACGGTGAGCTAGCTAGCACGCTTTTATGCCGCGCTTCAACCCGTTCAAGCTACCGGCGCGGTATAGCAACAACAAAAAATATCAACAAAATATCCTACCTTCTGTATATTAGTCGGCATCTCGACTAGAATTTGGGAGGTGTCGGCTACAGATTTAGTTCGTCGAGATGCTGGTGGTACCTTGATAATTGCAAGAAAGAAAACATTGTAATAGTGATGGTGTTACCTTGATGATTGCAAGAAAGAAAACATTGTAATATAGTGATGGTGTTAACGATGAGGGCCCAAAATAAGCTTGCAAAAATATCCTTCAGACCTCGTACATGCATGCATGCACACGAGTTTGAAAACCGAACAAAACCCAAGATCGTGTTAAGGCATGTTTTAATTTACACGATACTATAACTTGATTTGACTTGGTTGATTTGATGTGTAATTGGTAAAGCATTTGGGTATATATATAGAGGAAAAGCGAGGAGCATTTCGAAATTTTGAAACCACAAACTCTCTACGTTTTGACCTAAATATCGTCGTCAGGAAAGTCATACATACTTCACACCAATTCTCCTGACAAAGGTTTGAGATGTTTTGCCTCCTTTTTTTTGTAAAATACACGTTGATAATTATTATCATAAATTATACTTCCTTACCTCGCTTGTAACGTTTGCCTTAGAATGCCTTGGTGTGTTTTCTGCAATAAACATGTTATATATAATATTAAAATCAGGTAGACATATTGGAATAGCCATGCAGGTAAATCAATTATGATTTTTTGCACTTCACTGGATGCAGGTAAATTCTAGAGGTTCAAAGGGTCTTAATTTCGAGTGGAATTCTCGAACACACTTCAAATTCAAGCCAGGAACAGTTGATGGAAAGATGAGTCAACTATCGGTCCTCCGGCAGGAATCGAACTTACGCTTTTGCGTAAACAGTTTCTTAAAAAAAATTGGCAGAGCGTTGCATCGGCATCGCAATATGCAAAGTTCCTTGCTTGAGTTTTTTAAATCTGATTGGATGATCGATTTTTTCACTGGTAGAAAAATTTCGTTCACAGATTTTGATTACAGATGAAAGATTTATTTATACACACGAATTTTAATTACGTCAAAAAACATTTTAATCAGCGTAAAAAGAGAAATTTCTTTATCTTTTCAACAAAGAAATAAGGAATTCTGATAAATCCTCGCTTGTTTGCCGCGGTAGCCGAAAAAAAATGTTTTCGGCATTTAGGTGGATATCTGTATAAACATTTTTAAAGATGGCGTCAAAATACATGCATTTTTTTGCAAATGTTTAATTTTAAGACAAGATAAAAACAGCAATTAATATATATGTTTTGACGCATAAAATTCAATTTTTGTCGCTATAGTTGTATCATTGTGTTTAAAAACTTGTCATTTTCAAACAGATCTCTATATAAGCCATTGCACTGACGGCATAATCCCTAATATATAGTTGCTCTCCAGATGCTTATATACTTGGCTTAATCAAAAGCATTGTTATGTACGAGATAAAGGTTTAAATGGCGGACAAAAACAATCAACGAAGCGCTATTTCTTCACTAACTAGTTAATGTTTTTATATTTTACTAAAATTTACATTACTTGCAAAAACGACGCCACGTTTTAACGTGTCTTCCAAATGCATACTGCAATACCTATACAGGTAATTCCAGTTAATTCAGTCCATACATAAATGCATGCATGGTTGGTTCGTTTGTATGAAAATTGTCTGCTCATGAACGTCTTATAATTTTTGAAGAAAAAAAGAATATAATAGTTTAGTCCATGACCATATGAACACGAGTGAAGTAGTTTTTTGAGATTGTTATTAAAAAGAAAGAAAATACACACAAAATAGATGTGGATGGAAGGTCCAGACATTTTGAAGGAAGAGGAGTCGACTTGGCCGAAAAAGTTACCAGGAGATCACATAAGAGAAGACACAGAGTGCGACGAAAAACGATTATCTCCTCCTTTGCAACAGATGGTGCGAACTTGGAAAATTTTCTCGTTGGAAAATCGTCTCACGCCAGAGAAGTTTTCAAGTTTATCTCGCCTGTTACGCGTGACAGCTTGGGTAAAACGTTTCTTGACGAACTGTAAACTTTCGAACGAGCAACGAATGAAAAGTGGCGTCATTACACAGAACGAAGTCTCCGACGCTGACACTTACTGGATAAGAAAAGCACAAACCGAAGTGTTCCCAAACGGTGAAAAAGCGGAACGTCCGATTAAACTACATACAGACGAAGTCCTGGTCTCTTGCGAGTGAACGGACGACTACGATTTGCCAACGACCTTGCGTACGACGCCAAACACCCTATGATATTACCAATATTACCAATAATACAATTTACCAATATTACCATCCACTAACGTCCCTAGTCATTGTGAGCGGCCACATGAAACTTGGTCACAACTCAGGAGTGGAAAATCTCTTCGCTGAAGTCAGTTCACGCTTCTGGATCGTAAAGGGCAGACGAGCAGTACGAAATATCGTTGAATAGTGTATAGGATGTCGGAGAGTTAAGGCAAAATCAACAGGACAAAGAATGATCCCCTCCCAGAGTCAAGGCTACAGTTACCATTACGAGCGTTCGAACGCATCGGAACTGACTATGGCGGACCATTATTATATACCAAGCAGGTGCGACGTAGACCAAGGGCAAAAAGGGCAAAAAACGACAACCTGAAGAAATCAAAATCATCGAGTGGAAGTTCAACCCTCCAGCAGCCCCTCATTTTGGGGGGGGGGGGGGTATTCGAAGCGATGATTGAAAGCGCGAAGGTATTAAGAGCAATTGTCGGTGAAGCAGATATAACAGATGAAGAGTTTCATACGGCAACGTTTGCTGTCGAGGGACAACTCAATTCACGGCCGATTACATACGTACTGAAGTTCCGACCCACATGCATGATTTGACTCCATGTATGCACTAACCCCAAATTAATCATTTCATCGTTGGTCAACTGGGGGGACAATTCGCAGCAGAAGCGGTCGATGAAGAGGAATACGTGAAGCCAACAAAGCGATGGCGTCGAGTGCAGCAATTGATTGGTCAATTTTAGAAAAGATGGATTAGAGAATTTCTTCCAAGCCTGAACATTTGAACCAAGTGGTTTCATCGGAAAAGAAATTTAAAAGAAGGAGACGTATTTGTGGTTGAAGAAAATGCTAAAAGAGGAGATTGGCCAAGCGGACTAACAAATTCCTTTAGTTTTCAAATTTCAAATTCTGCATCTTTCCTTCATGCAATCCTTGATATAATAGCTGTGATACCGTGGTTTTCGACATAGGAACTGTTATCAAATTTAAAAAACTATTCTCAAACTTTGCCTCAATAGATTCAATCCCTTTATCACCTCGATATTTTGATATCATTGGCTATGAGTTTGTTGATTCAGAAGTGTGATCTGTCTGAGAGATTATTGCCAGTACCTTGACACTTTTGACGGAAGGAATTACAGAGTTATTAACAATGACCTTATGGAAAGATTATCAAAATGATCTCAGAAATCGGATATTCCAATTAGGGAACACATATCACGTGGAAACCAGAGAGAAAGGAATTTGTAATGTTTCAGATCACCTTTTGTGTATCGTAATATCACTTGTCATCCCTCAGGCGATTAAACTGATATCACTTTACTTGACATGTGATAATATAATAACATTTCACAGCCATTCTGCTAAATTATTACCTTATTCAAAAAACCCCCAACTTTTGCATTGGTTGAAAAAATTAAGGGCGGCTATTGAGCTGGTGCGTGCTGTTTTTAAGCGGGTTGATCACATCGGTCGTACATACAAACGTTTTGTATTTCATATAAACAATTTTATCGATCTTATTAACCGTCTGACTGCAGTAATTAGGAAGCTTTCCCCATCAGTTCTCATGAAGACACCAAAACTAAAAATAAACAGTTATATAACGTGCAACACTGTACCTTTTTGATATGTCTGTGAACTGCTAGCGCTGGACTCTCCTGACGTGAAAGAAGCACTTCTTCTGAAATGGAAAAAGGAAATTGAACACAGATCCCGCTATGCGCTATAATAGGCCGCTATTATATGATTTATATCACATTTACGTCTACGAAAACGACGATAGTTAGGAAACTGAACGCATGTTGAACGATTTCGATTTCGATAGACTTTCTAGAAAGCTGCTTGTTATATTAGCCGTCTACAGTGGTAAGAACAAGTTATCGACATACGAAATAAGACAGGCGATATAAAATACAAGGAATAAAACCACATTCAAAGATACACGCATGTTACGCAAAACATAACCGGGATGAAGGAATCAAAGCGTGGTAAAATATACAAGTGATGATATTAATATTAAAATTTATACTGCGTAAGATCATTCATATTTCATGATTCTCATAAATTATACCTAACACTCGATGTGGATCGCGTCATTCGCGTGAGGACATTCTCTGAACATCACTTACTTTACTTGATTATGTTTTTCAATATTTTCTCGGGCAATAATTTGATACTAAAGCACTCGCTTCTAGCCATATGTGTCGCCCTCCGTCTGATGTTTATTATACGTGTAAAATTAGTGCTATAGATGCTATTGTATTAATCAAAAACAAATGAAAAAATCCCGATTGTTATCAGCAATGTAAATATCACGCGGTCCCGAAGACGACTAACAAGAAATGCAATTCGATCACATGTAATACGTTTATGTATACTTAGGATCTAACCTCTAAAGTTTTGACCTCTTTAAAATATTTTAAATGATTTAAAGCCAGAAAGTATAAACAAATTCCGGTGTTTGAGGCGAATCAGGCGATCACTCTATATATATCGGAAAAAACAGAGCTGCATCGCGAACATAGCCGAGATACGAGGTTAGATTATTCTTTGGTAAGGATCAAAAAGAAATTAGAATGACTAAGTCCAATTTCGGGATAGCATTTTTATTGTGCATGAAGTATATAGTCGCCTAATTAACAAATTATCGTTAAAATGCATAGAATTAAGGTCCAAAGACCCAGACGCTAATCTTCCAATAATAAATTTCATTTATACTGATTATAGAGTGAAAAATGTAGCATCCAGTTACATTGGCTTTTGTTCCGGTCATCAGTCGCTGAATTACACACCAATGACCAATTGTTTTTTATGAAGATGGCGACAGGAACTTTTCAGTAAGAAGAAAACGATATCTTATCCTAGTGCATGCAGCTGTTTGTACTGCAGAATAAATTCATACAAAACTGAAGAACAATATCACACTTCCCAGTGGTAAGTGGTAACACTCATACCCAACTGGAAGTTATTCACGTAATTCTTTAATGTTGAACAACTTTCTTCCTCTTATAGTAATTTACATCGAGTTGAAAGGAATGCGAAAATTCAAATTGAAAACATCCAAACTGATTAAAATAATTCATCAGTAAAACAGATTTATAACACATGGCTTATGGCTATTTTTAAATGTGTTTGTCTGATTTAGAAAATTGAGAAGCCGGCAAGATAATTTTACTTGAACTAGCTAGAAAAAAGCAGTCATTTTAAGGGGGACACGTTCTATTAAAAAATAATCATTCAACTTCGTTTTCCTGGAAAGTGAATGTACCTTGCCCCAAATTCTATCAAGCAAAAAAATTAATTCCACCTAATAAATTCGACCAATACACGGCATTCTTGTGAATGACAGGGTTAAATGGAATTAGTATTAGCCGCGGTTAATGTGTTTGCTTTTTTCTGCATGAATGAATGAAAAAAAATGTCTGAACGGTTCATAATTATGGAAAACGCCAGATAAGATTTCTATGATAGGCATACAGTGACTTTTTGTACAACCTGCTTCCATTCATGGAATCATGCAGTCAATATCCTTAACATCCCCTTAATAAATTTCCTGTCACATAACCATGAAGGCCCATAATACCACTCCTTATTTAAAGGTTGCATGGGTTGCTCAAGAGGGCTTTGTAAAGGGAAGAATAAAGAGTTTACGTTATGATGTTAATCTCGTGGCTTAGAAGCAAAGAAATTTTAAAACCTTGAGGTGTTTACGTAACTCCTGAAAATACGGGTACGATTCACTCTTCAATTCCGATGGGGTTTATTATGTGACTTTTAAAGACCCACAGTCAATCATAATTCTCCATAATTCTCCATAATGTACATCTGTTTATAATTTACCAACCAAGATATAATTCAGGGGCATAAATAGCAAAAAGCAGTTGGGGGATATGAAGATTGTAAAGAAGGTTGAAAAGCAATCTAAAGCTGGTTGAACTCTACTTGAGTCATCGTCAACCCATAGTTCTTTATATACAAACAATACGAAATAAAAATCAAGGCCGCTATCAACATTGAAAGGATATAATTTTACCGCATAGTGTATTGTTTAGATTATACGTAATTTTCCTTGGTTACATTATGGCCGGCTTAAAATTTGCTATCTCAAGGACAAGTGGTTCTAAAAACCAAGCGAAATCCAATGTTCCTGAACAGAATGTGTTATCATGGGTCGTGGGAAAACATTTTCATTATCATTCGACCCGGGTGTTTTGTTTTGAGGTGGCAACTAGCATGAGCAATTCAAAATAAACGAAGCGAAATCTTAAATCAAACGTACTTTTATCGTACATATAGTTATATAATAAACGACCACAAAAACACAAACAAGCGAACTGCAGACAGAATACGGGGGGGGGGAGGAGATCCGACGAGGAAATAACGAAATAATTTGAAGTTTCACACTTTTTTGTTATAGATGCTTGAGTGGTTCATAATACGAGAACGGTATACGGATTGAGGATTTGATAACATGAGACGAAGTGAACATATGTTTTAAATATGAAACAGAATTCTGCTACTACTCAAGACGGACAGCTCGCAACAAAGAAGATTATTTAAAACAGTCTTATCAAATCGTTTTATCGAATGACGGAAATATAAAGAAGACTTCTGAAAAGAGAAGACCATTCTGGCAGACGATGCACCTATTTGATTAGACAATTGTATTCTAGTGAACAGCGTAACAAAAATAACATATACTATTCAATGCATTTTAATTGCTTTTTATATGCCAAAATTTCTTCACAGCTCTATAATAATTGTACCTATTCTTCGGTGGATTTGAATATCGATGAATTGAATAATATAGGTTTCAAAAACCAGACCATTATTTGTTTCACCTGAATCACCCGTTTCTATATCTATACATCACACTAACCTGTTGTTATACACTGGCTTTTCATCCACGTCTAGTAAAGTCTTTAAATCAGCAATGTTCATTTGCGCCGTAATTTGGCCAGCTCGGTCTCCAACCTACCAGAGATATTGCTCATTCAATCAACATGATAGAAAGAAATACAAGGAAACGCGCTAGGGGTCATCATCACACATTACTCTGTTGTTGTTGTTTTAGGTCGAGAACGTGAGCGTATGTTCTGTAGTCGTGGCTCGTGGATAATGCGTAGAAAATCGCGCGTGTCGATGGTAGTAAATTATTGGTTACGAAATGTTGCCCTAGACATAGAGCGGCAAAACGTTTGGCTCGATTTCTTAATGCAGTGCAGTGTATCGCGATTACATGAAATTTTAGGACAGACTATACCGCCATCGTGATATACATCTGGCATATACAAAGAAGGAATTATCACATGAGCGATCAGTGTATATCTGACAAATCATGAATTGCTTGTCCGGTAAAACCAGTCAATATAAACACAATTCCGGAACCGAAAAAATGAAGGAATCCTAGAACCTTATTATACACCAAATTCAAAACGCAAAAGTTTAAAATGGTTATATTTCCTTCGACCCTATAAGACAGCCATCGTTAGACCAAAACTGGCAACAGATCCCCAATGGTTATGACTTTTGTAATAGGATCAATTGTCTTGCATTCAAACGATTTCAAAGATTTTCAAGACACATTTTTTGACCTATATACCTGAGTTCTATGCGTCACATCAATTTTTAGCCACGGCACACGATAATCTACCCACTATTCACGATCCACGGTCGAAATTTAAACCCCATGATCTCCTAACCTTAAACACGTTGAAATACAGCGAAATATCTGTTCGTGATAACCCCCACACAATAGTCCACAGAGTAACCGTCTGCTTACACACACTATTTACACACAATTGATCTTCAACAGCCAACGACCTTTACTTTTTAGGGTTTTCGGAAATCAGAAATATGCTGTAAATTGTTTTGTACCTACGACCTACTTCGCGTATCCGGCGAGTCTTTATTGCTTTAATTATAATAACAGAAACAAGCAACCATGCGGCAAATCTCGTCTCCATGTGAGAAAAACGTTAGGGGCTTGGCAAATTGTAAGAAATTACTCAAATAACTGAATAATCATATAAAACACAGACATTAATTGTAGCGGTGGCGTGGACACAAGAAAAGGCATTTAATTTAAACGGTATTTAGTCAGCTCTTATTGGATATAAACCTTGATTCGGTGATTAAAATTTCAATTATAAGCAAGTGCTCAGTTCATGTTTTCATTTAGTACTCCTTGGCATAATGTCGACTGTTGCTAAGGATTTAACTTCAGGTGAAGTAGGTCATTTATTGACGCGCGCCTTCATTTTGATGACCTTTCGACATTTACCTCTTTTGATATTTCCAAATGCCTCGTGGCATATTCAAGAGCAATTTCATGATTTCCTAACGAAGTGTTCACATTTCCTAAGCTCCAACATGCCCGTCCTTCGCCAATTCTATAATAATATAAGAATGAAAAATACTCGTCATTTGCAGACATTTGATTCAGATTTAACTATGCTAATCTTTAACCCCAACCTCAATCTACAATAGTCAAAAGGGAACTTTCAAATTGGATTACGAGTAAGCACTAAAAACGTATATCTTAACGGAATTTTGTTTTGAAGATAAGGCAGGTCAATAACGAGTTTTGATTGGTTTTATTTCTGACGTGAAAATCTCGAAGTACTAAAAGATTCCTCAGAGCTGTTGTCGAATATAATTTTTTCGTTTAATCCTGAAATACAATTCGTTCAAGGTTACATGAAGTTTATGATTTAGGTATAGTTCATTCCTACCTGTCTTCAAGCTCCTGGGCGATTTCAAGATGTTTCAAGTGATTTTTACAAGCTTCTTCGTAATTGTTAAGCAAAGTGTATGTGTTACCCAAGCTGTAACAAGCCTGCAATAATATATCAAAGGTAAATACTTAGTAGCTTAAAAGGCCAGCTTATGCATTCTGTATATTTTGTTGGGCGAGATTATCTCATGGAATTAACGCACTATCTATTCATGTGATAACTAACAGCTTTCTTTGTTGTATGAATCATAAACCATGCAACATCTAGCAGTATTTTCCCATTATTTTAAGCTGACAATCAAAAACTAAAATCAGAAAACCCAGCTGGCAACAAACAACATTATGACAAAACATTAGTTACCTGTGCCTCAACCGCTCTGTCTCCCAGCGATTGAGCTATTGTCACGGTTTTCCTAAGTAAGTTTAAATACGGAAAAAATTCACTAAGACGAAATATAGTTGAGATCAACCTCCAGACTATTTTCTCTTCTAATAAGAAAATATACATAAGCCTCATGAAATGGATTCTCTATACGTGATAACAGTGCATCATGTTCCATTGCCGTATTACAAAGAAACGAAAATTTTTTCACCTGGCGCCGGTTGTATAAAACTCTTTAACTACATTTTGCACAGTTAAATCCTAGTTCACTCGACTCTGATTGGCTAATTCTGTCCTTAAACTACACACGACTCTGATTGGCAACTCTGTCCTTAAACTACAGTTAAAAGTTAACTAGTCTTTTATACAACCGGCCCCTGTTTATCCAACGATAAGGAAGTTTCACATACTTGTAGCAATCGGTAGCTAGATCAAATTTTCCTTGAAAAACGTATGCATTTCCCAGGTTACTATACGCCCGTCTCTCCGCTGCCATGTCAAAAAATTCTTGAGCGATCGTCAAACGCTGGGAAAATTCAAACAACCGTTATAGTTTTTAAATATCTATTGAATACTGCATGTGAAAACTTCATTGGATGGGGTTGGGGGGTTGTAAACCTAGAAATACCAAGAGTTCATCATAGCCGACATAGCGAGATTTTGCCTTGATCGCCAGAATCTGCCCTTGATAACTAATCTCAATCATTCTTCCCATTTAACCGAACCCGGATTGATGAGAAGGCCACTACAGTAAAAAACACTCATCAATTCCTAACATATCAGATCCTTACCTCTTTATGATAAATTATCGCTTTATTGAAATTTCCTAAGAGATAGTGGGTGTTACCAAGGTTACCACAGGCTCGACCCTGCGCTCTGCGATCTTTCAGTTCACGCACAAGTTTTAAATTCGACCTAAATGATCGATCAAAGCATTAAACATGCGCAGTGTCGAGACATAAAGAAATAAAAAGTTTACTTACTCATAGAACTCTGCAGCTTTTTCCAAAGGTGCTCTGACTTCCTCGGGGAAATTTCCAGGATCCTGGTGGAAGTTTCGACCCGCGTGTTTTCCTTTTGCATGATAAACATTTCCCAGATTATAGAGTGCTCTCGCTTCAAGTACCTAACAGAGTGGAATGAATAAATGAAATGCACGATAATGGTCAAATGGTCGGCAAAAGATTAAATTGCTTTATACCAGAAACTACAGGCAACATGGACTACCACGTTTAAAAGAAACCCATTTCTGCCATTTTCATTGTAACATTATGACTGCAGGAGGTATCTGCTATACTGGACTGTCTGGACATAATGTCCGATGATTTTGAAATGTTCATTGGCAAATGGCTTTTATCAAGACGGAAACCAAGGAGATTATCGCATAATTCTGCGTACTCTGGCCCATATAGTAATGTCTACGTACATAATTAACCACTTCTTTTCTTTACAAGAAGCTTATTGCATTTTAAACTTATACTATATGATGAAAAAAAATATATATATAAATAAATAAATAGGAAAACTGAACTGACGTTCAGTTCTGAAAAACTAAACTGTATTGACATAGTTAATGGCAACATGATGAATAATTTAAAAATAATATTCGGAATATGGCATATGGTAAAACGCGGACTGGACTGGCCTTGTACAACGCGGACTGGACTAAATTAGTAAAAAACGGACTGGACTAAATTGACCACTTGCGTATTAGCCGATGCCCGCTAAGGATGACGGTAGGAGTCTGTAGGTTGCTTTAGAACGAAATGGCTGTAGCATGTCCAGTCCACACAGTCCAGTCCACCTCGGAATATCAGTGAATGACGTGGAGTGACTGGCGTCGCTCGCGAATTAAGCCAGATTGCATTACTTGGGATAAATATCATTCGTTAATGCACAGATGGAAATACGTTTACTAATGAATGGTTTACACAAGGAATTTACTGAAAAACAAAAATAGCTGCAATCAAAATACTTTTGCTGGGAAAATTTCTGCGTTTTCATGTCATTAGAAATAAAATTTGAATATTTCAAAATTGAAAATATATCATAGCAAAGATGACGGATATTGTCTCTATTCACACGACAATAGTCTTTAAAGTGCCTATATCACTTGTGGGATCTTTACGGATTTGAATAGAGCTTGAAAAATTAGTTTATAAGTTCTCCAACCCTTTTTGATATAGTTAAATAGTTTCGGAGATATTTACATCTAAACATGACGATTTGACTAAATTTCCGTCGTGCTCGGGGGCCTGGGACTCAGGAACCGAGTTCTTGTCAAACATAATATAATCAATCGTAATTTTACTTCGATCTTCCAATAACGTAAAATATTTTGAGAAAAACTCGCCCAGTTGCTCAGCCATACACAACGCATCATTCCTGCATTTTTTTCTTCAAAAGCGCAAACTATATCGCCAGTGAAACTTTTTATGTTTACATTATAAAAGACGGCGTGTTTGCAAATCATTCCTGAGTCCCAGTCCCCCCAACCGACGTATTTTCGAAACTATTTAATTATATAAAAAAAGGTTGTAGAACTTATAAACTAATTTTTCAAGCTCTATTCAAATCTGTAAAGATCCCACAAGTGATATAGGCACTTTAATAGACATACTGTCGGACAAGTCCATCCATAAAGGCTAAAGCCATTAGAATTTTCACAAATGTGGATAATTTCCGTAGTAACCGTGACTATCATTTCTAATTTGTAAAATAATCAATATTCATCATGATTGATGATTTGTTTTGACTGAAGATAGCATATAGGCATACGCAAGGTGTAGAAAATTAATATAGAAATTCAAATCAAAAAACGAGACATGAAACTTCATGCATAATGTATTTCAGAGGTCTGAAACTGACAACGAGTTTCGCATTTTATATTTTTAAACTTTTTTTATCATCTCTCCCCGTTTTTCTAAGCCAGTGAACAGATACATAAAAAAGAGGATTACACAGTAGCTCATTAAACTGGGAAAAGTGATTTTACATTGTTTATAACAAAACGATTGAGGAAGAGAGATTGTATTTAAAAAAGCGTTTTTAATAATTCAAGCTAGATCCTATATTAATAAGCCAGATCGCAGGTTATCATTGCCACTGGCCTAATATTCCTTAAATATAAATAACACCCCAACCATAAATACGTTGGAGAAGAACTTCTTGCTCAATATTTAATACTTTAATAAAATTTTTACTCCGTCAGTGACAGTGCAAAATATCCCGTAACTCAAGTGAAAGCTATGTAATGTATATATAATGTATATCCCAATAGTGTGATATATAGTAAGGTTTTACATTTAACAACATAGACATTATAGACGGTTATCCTCAAATACAAAATATACAAACATAACACAACAATATCTTTTATTTTCATAAAGCTCAAATGGCCACAATGAATTTTTGCCATTTGCCAGCGTGATGGCTAAATTATGAGCGTCCACTGAAAATTGCCAAAAAACACGTAAAAAATTACTAAATTTCGTTCTTATTAACCAAAAACGATCTGCGAATCAGCAAAAAATGGCCAAAGCCTCCCTCCCCAGAGCCTGGATTGTCTCTCCTCAATCCCTTTGCCCAGATAATAAAAAATATTTTATAACTGAAAAAGGGCCAACGCCAGAAGTGTAACTTGGTGTGTGCAATCTATTTATATATTTATCTTTTGCCGAACTGATTTCTTCCTTAATTGACTCTTTTTTTAGGTATATTAACATCATATGATAATGAATACCATCAGCAACACCCCCCTGCCACACAATTAGGTGTCTAGTAATGGTCTTGTATCTCTGAATATCAAGAATGTGATTATCATGGAAGAGTAAAACAGAATTGGTCAAGATGAACCAAAAATTACCGGAAATATTTTAATACCACAAATTTAATAGAGTTGCAAGATAGTCCCAATGTTGTAATTAGCTAGCTTTTGTGGTTTTTGCACCCATATCCTTCTTGTTTTACATCTTGCTTCATCATTACCTGAATTTATATACAGTATCTCCCTGGTTTATATCAGGTTTTTTCATACTTAAAATACCACTCTTTTTGTGGGTAATCAAATCAAGTGACCCAATATTACAATTGCTCTTACATTCTTCACAACCCTAACACTAATATAACGGCTAGGATTCCTGAGCCTGTTTAAAATGGATGCAAGGGGGGTCAGTGGTGTAGAAACCAAACCTACTGCCGGTTTCACAGCCCACACAAATTTTTATCTGATAAACATTCTCTTAGGAAAGAGTGGGGGGCCCTTCTTCACTGCAGTCCATGCAACAATATTTTCTTAACAATTAGAATTCATTTTGCCAGTGCAAAAGGCCTGCTGAAGGATGTCTTCTTTACTAACATCTTCATAGCATAGAGCCACCCACATTATATGTTTTCACGTAAACCTTACAAACCGGTATTTGCAAACAATCAATTAATTTTTTAATAGCAATGTTCAGTAATAAAAAAGTAATCAGTATCGTGTTGATTAGAATATTCTATCCCTTTTCACAAAAATAATTAATCACATGTCAAAATTGCAAGAAATATAATGGGGGGAATATAGGCATCTTCATTTTTTATTATGGACTCTAGTTGGGCTGCTTAGATTTAAAAAAAACTACCTGAATATAATGATAGCCACTGATTCATTCTATATACCTTTATAGCCTAATACAAATAATTGTAGGGTGAAAAGTAATAAAAGAGGTGTGTTTGCTTCTCTTAATCTGCTTGTGTTTAACGTGACTTGAATATCAATGTCTAATGAATAATGACAAAAAGATTTGGGCTAAATATATGTTCTTTAATGATTCAGAATGGTGTTTCTAATAATTCATATACATTATGTGTAGTTTTCACAATGTATTGAATAATTTTTTTTCCGAGTTTCTAGGGCAAAAGTTCAGAATAAATAATTAAACTTGGTAAAAACAACAAATTCTTTCAATAACAATAAAATATGTTGTTTACATATCATTTGTGGCCCTTCTTCATAAGGTACAATGGAACATATTGCCACTAAGCATATGCACATTGGCTTCAGTCTTCTAAAATAATGCCTTTGGGCAATTAGATTTATATTTTCCTGTCTTTGCAAGGATAGTAAGGAGCTTTTTGCTTATTCGTTCAAATCCTCAGCTTATCGAATATTAATCCTCTTATTGTTCGAAAGTATTAAATCCCACGCTATAGTGAGCCTTTGATGCAAAATTGTCTCAGAAATGCCCCTTTTTCAATTTTATTGTTTCTTGCCCTGAATGTAGTGGAATAATTGCGAAAACGCGCGACTTGAAATAACAAGGACGATGGGGAGCCTAATCAATTCACACTTCACAGTCAAGCTTTCTTTTACATCAGTCCAATTAAAGCATATTTTGATGAATATACTTTTTAAGCGATAATTGATGCCTAGAACATCGACTATGGGTTCTAGACAGTCTTATAAGGTACATAAAATGCAGACACAAGATATGGCTTTACTCAAGTTTTTTTTTTATCAGTTTATATCACTCGAATCGATGCACGCTCTTAAAAGACATTTCCAAGGAAAATGGTTACAATACGTGGGCAAAATATATTACAATTCGACAGTCAGAAATATTTCGTTACACTATACGTTGCTGTACGATGTAAGGTTATATATACTTCGATTGAACTTCAACATTCCGACCGAGGGTATGTCGGCAATATAAACACCGTCTGGAAATGTACTCCTATAGTATTTTTCGTGAAATTTTGCAAAGAATATTGTCTCCTTAATTTTACTGCACTACATATAATTTATACTACACAACTCGGGATCAAACACGATTTAAATACAACGAACGTGAGTTTGAACGTTATATAGTGAAGGCCAAAAAAACCGACTACAGTATATAAATGAAATTCAGCAGTTTATTTATTTTGACAAACCTTGTTCCTTGATTCCTTCGAAAGTTCTAAATGTCTCATACAGCACACAACTGCTTCGTCAAATTTCCCCAGAACTTTCAACGTATTTCCCAGATTTCCACTAGCTTTGGCTTCTCCCTCGCGGTCTACCAAAGTTCTGGTTAAAGTCAAATCATGTCGGTGAAATTCTAAGGCCTTCTCGTACTCTTGCAAAAAGAAATAAGCGTTTCCGAGTTGGCTGTAGACAGCGCTCAATGTTTTTAAATCTTCAGTTCCGACTTGTATTGCAGCTTCGAAATACGCTACACCAGTTTGGCAATCCCCAGCTTTGCAAAGCCGTTCCCCTTCCAAAGCTAAGTCTAAACACGAAGCCTGCGCTGCCATCTTGCCCAGATACAATTGAAATATAGTATTTGAATATTTGTATTATTAAAATACCGACGAGCAGTTGAAAAATATCGGTCACAAGTCAACAAGGTGGTTAAAAATTTTACCACAAAAATCTCTATATATAGTGTTATATAACACACGTTACAGCTCGTAAATGACCTTCGCTGATAGATAGAATAAACTGTGAATTATCCAGAATTCGAGGCAAAACAAGGCAAAACCGTTTGCTGTTAGTAAACAAAGCAAATAAATTAAACCATACCGAATACAAATTGCTTTTTCGAATGTTTTGATCTTCAGCATGTTTGGATCCAGTCTCCCAGAGTGAAATTTCCGGTGATACAATCTCTGGACAATAGGATTACACAAGCTTTTATTGGTCAAAAATTTAAAGGAAATCCTAACCCAATATCGCTGTCGGTATTGTCAACTACAAGTGGCCAAATTAGGCAATTTAAATCATTATTAGGATATTTTCTGTGACAAAAAACAATCTCCTCTAATGAAAATACATCGGAGATGTCACGAGCATAGACAGGCTTCACAACGTCGTCTGTTCTACAAAGGCCCGCGACCATTTTTCAAGCGATTTTCAAAACGAGAAATTTCCAAACAACTTTTTGAAATTTGTTTTATAATTTTCTAGTAAAAATTACAACAATCATGAAGCATGCACTATATTACACAAACAAAGTCTATGCTCTAAAGGCGTACGACGCCAGGGGGGGAGGGCTGCAGTCCCCAGAATGGACAGAATTAAGGCTGCTTTCCACTTACGCGTTTTTAAACCGCACGTACACGTACGGAAAATTTTAAATGCCTTTAAATTTTTATTATTTAACACCCAGGTCAACTAATGCATACTAAAATATACGAAAACTAAGTTTCTTCGATTTATTCACTTAGTTTTCTCAAAGGTAACATGTACAAGGATTTAGACTTTTATTACGTGCGTATGAAAAACGTGTAAGTGGAAAACAGCCTTTAGTTGTAATTCGGACAATTGTCGCTCCGTCCTGAAAATATTTAGGCCCGTACGCCTATAATATTATCTTCATAACTATATAATCTTTTATTTCAATAAAAATCGAGAAGTATTTCTAGAAGTTATTGTTTTTATATGCCATATGAATGAATGTAGCGTGCAGTAGTGGCGTGTTGGGGAAGCGATGCCTTTCTTGATGCCAAAGTAGAAAGGAAGGGCAGAGCTTCCACAATTGGAGGAAACATGAGCACTACTATGGAGACAGAAGTCAAAACTAAAAGCATTATTACGGTTATCAAAAAAGTTCTTTGTTACTTTCTATTGCCAATCTTTTCCCCTCTATGCAAATAACTTGTGAAATCTCCGAGGAAGGACCAAAAGAGAACAGAACAAAACTTTTACTGATGAGATTTTCAGGAAAAGGAATGTTGAATTACTTGCCGCCTTACTCCTTCCCTCCCGTGCTCCCCTCCCGTGCTAGCACACCCCTCCCTCAAACCCCCTTCCTGCAGCAATAGAGACTTACAGACATGGGACTAAATAGAGATAATAAGGGCCTTTCAAAGTAATTTAGGCTTTTTTTTCCCTATGGAGGCAATTTACTCCCATTACGTCTGGGGTCTAGAGTAAATTGCCCCCGTCTGAGACTCTGAAAGGCCCTGGAGGTGCGTACAGAGAAAAAGGTTTCCTCAGAGTTTTGTAACTTTATAGGCATCATATCTTGATAGTGTAGAATGTACACACTTGTTTAAAGCATCACAAAACGTTTTCTGATTTCTGTGCAACTTGCCCTACTTTGTCCTTTTGGAGCATTTAGCACTACATGCCTTGCTAGTGATGCACTAAGAAATCCCAGGTATTTAGCCATTTTCTTTGAAGAATTTCCTCGCTAGATAAATGTGTGTCGCCATAGGTGAACGGACTGAAGTAATGAAAAGCACTGAGAACGAGGCACATGTATATAGCCAAGCCGATGTAGAATACAACACGAAGATACGGAATAAAACTAAAAACAAATGAGAAAGTATCATTATTAAAGTTCCTCTCTAAGGGTACTCCCGCCTAAAACTTTTCAAAAGTCTGCATGTAGAGCACAAAAGCAGAATTGTATTATATTAAGGTAATAAGGTCTGTTAACTATTTTTTGAAACCAGTTGAAGCCACCGGAAATGGCGAAGTACCAATAGAGCTTGTATCAAGGAATGCATGCAGAAGGGCCACTCAGTCGCCAGGGCTATTGCGGACAACGATAATAAATGCCATGTGCTGCAAGGCGGACACAAACTTGAGAGGCTCAGAATGGGTGGGTCTACTATATCTTCCTCATGCTGTAATTAAGATTTTCCGTATCAAATATAAATTCCGGTCAAGAAATCTTCTTGCATGTCCAAAATATTATTGTTACCAAGCGAGTTGAAGTAGAGAGGTTCCAGCCTTACCCGGGCACTTTTTAAACAAGGGAAATGTCTTTGAGTGAATTTAAAATTGGCGGACATGTTTCGAAAAAAGTAGTTTTTCTCATCACTTAAAAAATGAGAGCGCAAATCCTGTTTTTCTGGTGATAACCATAACATCTTCTGACTTCTGTTTATATAGTCTTTTAATATCGAGCTTTCATTGGATAAATTAGTTTTACCGAAAGTGTAAAGATGAAAAAGGCATTAAAATGATCAATTTTCAAATCAAGTTGTCAAATATAAATTCTTCACTAAAGTAGATTCTCCACGCTGCTATAATGGAGTGTGTAACTACTCAATCTTACCTTACAATGTCGAGGACATGTTGAGATAAGAATGAAAAGAGCAGTATTTTGAAGAGTAATGCAGGAAGATATTGATGAATAAATAATGTGTGTTCTGTTGGAAAGTATGGCAAATAATGCAAGAAATATCCTCCCAGCAATAGACAACCAACGAAGATGTATTTCTGCCAACATTCTAGACAGGAAAAAAAGACTGTAAGACCGAGTTTAGGCTGAGGGTTAACGTTTAGGCCCTGGGTACAACGTTAGTGCCTGATGTGTGTTTAGGCGACTGTTCAAGTTTAAAACAATATCAAGATTGCAGATGTACAAGATACATCGTAGGCATAGAAAGTATAGTTTGTCCATGGATATTATAACTTATAAGGTCATTATTTCAAACGGTTGGGAGTCGGTACCGATTCCCCTCTTCACGCATTTCATTTAACGTATGATCGACAATGGCGATGTATACACAGTGAACTCTATAAAAACTGGAATGTTAACTGACGGTTATCTAAGTGAGTTATCTCAACGTATCTCCATTATCCACTGACATTATCTGGCCGCCATCTTTGAAGCTAAGTCGATGCTTTATTTCGTAATATCACATCAGCCAAAAACCTATGTCAGACCTTAGATGAAATAACTCACCTTCATCGATGTCATAAAAAGCTCGACGGCGTCTTAACATATATATTCCAAGTAATCCAAAATAAACTATGATTGTGATTGATGTAGGCCACCACACTAAAGGATTTCCAATGCAGAAGATTTGTTTCTACAAAAACATAAAGATTTGTTTCTACAAAAACATGTAAATAAATATTTGTTTCACAAAAACCTGTAAATAAATTAGTGTACAAAGCACACTCTTACTGCTCAACCTCAAGATATAGAACAATACATTTAGACTTGATGAACATTATGGATATTATTATGTTTTTATGTTAATAACTCACATTACTTTCCCTATCAAGCCAGTAAGCTACACCACGATTCATAAAAGGCCAATGTTCCGGTCGTGAACTAAACGCATGATCTTGCTGAAGTTCTTTGGTAGCACCGATCATCTTGAACTGAAATTAAAGTAAAAGATGGGGAATTTATGTGAGAACGTCCTTATCAATTTACAATTTACATTGCATGCTTCCTTTTTACTTACTAAAGCCACTGTCGCTAAGACCTGTTACACGGTGCAATTTTTTTTAGCAACTTGCAATGCAATTCAACTTTTAACAGATGGAAATTAGGAAAGGGTCTTCCAAATGCGAGTATAAGAAACGTCCATGGAGTGTAATAAACACAAAAGTTGCCAAATTTACATCTCTCAAAAGTAGAATTGTATCTCAAAAGTTGTATTGTATTGCAAGTTGCAAGAAAAATTGCACCATGTAACAAGGCTTTTAGGTATATAGAGGATCTCGGCTCTTTTTATAGTGTAATAAAATAAATAGTAAAACAAGCGTTACCTGAAGTTCTTTAAATTTCTCAAAAAATGGCATGTGTACCGCTTTTGCCTCCTCCGTTTTCGTTGTTTCAGTTTCCGGTTTTACACCTTCGGCTATAAAAAAATAAAATTTTGGAGTATATATTTTGTGACAACGACATTTGAATGAAACTTGACAGCTAAATCAAAAGATAAACTCACGGTAAGTTATGTTTTGTTGATGTTCCTCCACATTCCAAACTGTTTCATCACTGTGGATAATTCTGTCCGTACAAACCTGAAGTTTACACCAACAGACAATCATTTAATAGTCCTTATGCGTAATGACGTATCAAGCATTGACGCCTGCAGGGAATTCTAGTTTTAGTAGTCACGGCGAAAAATTCAAACTTCAAAATTTCCCGCCGTGACTACTAAGACCAGAATTCCCTGCAGGTGTCACGGTTTGTTACGTCATTATACATAAGGTCTATTAATATGTGTTGAATAAATAATTATTAAAAATGTTTACTAGAAGCTTACTTCAAATTGATTAAATCCCCACTCTGGTAGCTGCTTACCAGTTATCTATCGAGAGTGAAATAAGATTTTAGTTAAGTAAAATGAACCGATATACGGAGCAATGACCTATGTGGGCAATGTCTATAGATACCAGAGTAAAATACTTGGGTTAAAAGAGCAAGGCCTTACTTTGACAGCCTGAGAAGTATTGACATGAACGAGACGAATTTGTGATTGAAGTGCTTGCCATTCTGTTTCATCATTCCCATTAATTATTTCCTGCCAAAGAATAAAAGTTCGATTAGCATACACGAGATCAATGATATTGGAGAATAAGGAAGGCTCTGTGACAGGTGGAGAGTCTAGCTACATATTATGTCAGAGGTGTACTTTCAGGAGGAACAATTAATCGTACTGATGCATGTACATGCAGTTTTGGTAACCCCCCTGCCAATGATACAACGACATACAAAACACCTAGCATTGCAATTATACGGCCTGTAACTATTATTATCGTAAAACACTACAAAGCAATGCTGTATCTGGGTAGATTATTTGCAAGGTTAAACCGTGCTGGTTCTTTTTTTCATATCGTTTTGCTCTGATTCTCAGATGTGCAAGCTGTGTTAGATGCAGGTTTATGCAGTGGCTCACATCTTGTAACGCATCGAAGATTCATGTTGTGCAAGTTTATGTGACGCGTGAAAACCAAAGAACGATGAGAAAAACAAGCCGCGAGTGTAAGAACTCAACAAAGCATGCATGACTTTATGAAACAGGGTGATTTACACGATGCAACATTTCATATCCTGACGTATAAGATTGAAAGCAGAATTTATTTTATTTATTTATTGGTTTGTCACTAAAAGTTACAGCAGTGACAGGAGGCAATAACAGGACATATAAGTCCCAATTTGTAATTGTCTCCTTATCAAAATATAAATACACTAAAATACAACTAGTACAAACATATATACAGAAATTTTAAAAACAAACTCGGACGGTCACATATGCTTACATTATTACAAAACAAAAGTTATTATTACTAAGTATTATGTAGTTATGGAGGAACGTAACTTTGCAGAGTATTTTTAGCTTGAAGTATAAGCCTTGTTTTAAGTGATTGTAATGATGAAGAGGCTTTAGAAGACGCTATCATGCGGTAGCTTATTCTACTGTACTAGGCTATAATATACAACGCCTTTTTAGTAGTAGGAAATATTTTAATCACGGCAAAACTTTAACGACACAAGGAATTATTACATATTTAAATATTACTAATGTTCACAGTTCAACAAACTCTGCTATATATACCCTGTTCTCTCTCACACATGCACTATACTTCTAACACCTTGCATTAAGGATTTTCTACGAAAACGTTTATTAAATACCATGGAAATTATTGCTTAATTATAGGGTGAAGGACAAATGATGTATTTGGAATAAGCGGTCTTCGAAAAAAGGACAAATGTCAAAATCTTGCAACTGCAGTAGGGTTAGCTCTTGCTTCTGTCATGGCTGGAAAGTCAGTCCACGCGTTTGTGCCAAAATTAAAACATTCAACGGAATCAAGAGGTTGGGAATTTGCATCCCTTCCCCCAATTACGAGAATGTTATCACCAATGGTGACTGCGGTGCAACCATAACGCCTGTTTCGCATCTCAGGAAGCATTTGATGATTTCCATTGGTGACATTGTACATAACCACACTGTTGAGTCCGTTATGTTGTCTGTCCACCCCACCAAGAACAACCACATTGTCCCGCCAAGTTGTTGTTGCCATACTTGCGACATGGTATGGAAGTTGCCCAACCTGCCTACACTCGTTCGTTCGTGGGTCGAACATGAAGATAGTGTCAAATGTGTCAGCGCAATCTATGCTCTCAGAGCCACCAACAATGTAGACTTTGTCATTTACCATTTGAGCACCGTGGTAACATAATGGCCTTGGTAATGTTGCAAGCACCCTTGTGTCATATGGGTCGGTCATCTGAATCCCAAGAATTCTATCATAAGCGCTTTCAAAATCATATCCTCCAATAACGAGGAGACAATTTTGATATACCACGCACGCGTGACTTCCAATAGGTTGTGGCAATTGAAATTGGGATCTAACCCAACGACACTGTTGAGCAAAATTTAGTTCTTCAACACTGTTCAGAGGTACCCATCTTTCATTAAATCCACCAGTGACTATTACACGACCTTCGTATAAAACAGAACTTGCTTCGTCCCTATTTTCAGCCATCTCTGGCAATGGTCGCCATGTTCTGGTTGTCATGTTGAATATTTCGGCAGATCTTAAACCATGGCCTCCAGCAACGATAATTTCAGCATTCAATTCCAAACGTCGAGTTAAATTGGTCATCATTTCTCCAATAACTTGCAATGTAGTGCGAACTTCTCTCAATTCCATTTTGATATCAGCCACATCAGACTTTAATTCACGAATTTCTTTACTTACTGGACATGATGTATCTTCCTGACTTAGTTCCATCGTTCGTGAGAGCAAAGTTTTAAAAATCGTCTCAGAGCTTGCAAAGCAGTTTAACAGATAGCAGGAGAAGTAGACGCTTCAAGATTTTAGTGTGCGTCTCATCTTTATATGCAGTTCTGCTCTGGGCATTTTAAGAATTTACAGCAAAGCGTTATAGTTCCTTTTTTGGTCATTTTCATCACAGGAGCCAGTTTGCAAGACAATGCATAATGCTAACTTTCGTTTCAAGCTATTTTAATGCTGCAAACTGACTTTGTTCCATCGTTCGAGAGAGCAAAATTTAAAAAATCCTCTCAGAGCTTGCAAAGCAGTTTAACAGATTGCAGGAGAAGTAGACGCTTCAAGATTTTAGTGTGCGTCTCACCCTTATATGCAGTTCTGCTCCGGGCATTCTAAGAATTTAAAGCGAAGCGTTATAGTTCCTTTTTTGGTCATTTTCATCACAGGAGCCAGTTTGCAAGACAATGCATAATGCTAACTTTCGTTTCAAGCTATTTTAATGCTGCAAACTGACTTTGTTCCATCGTTCGAGAGAGCAAAGTTTTAAAAATCCTATCAGAGCTTGCAAAGCAGTTTAACGGGTAGCAGGAGAAGTAGACGCTTCAAGATTTTAGTGTGTGAGACCTTTATATGCAGTTCTGCTTCTGGGCATTTCAGGAATTTATAGCAAAACGTTATAGTTCCTTTTTTGGTCATTTTCATCACAGGAGCCATGCAGTTTGCAAGACAATGCATAATGCTAACTTTCGTTTCAAGCTATTTTAAATGCTTCAAAAATTTTCTGTAACAGTTGTTCTTGGAACTATTCCTATATATACATGCAAAACATTGCTACTTTTATCTCACTGTACAAAACAGGGATAGCATATTATATCAAGCAAAGATGTTGCATGTAAAGTTGTAGCAGAATTATTGTTGATTGAAAATGAAAAGAATGTTCAAGCTCCTGTTGAGGTGCTTCTATACAGTTTAAGTTATTAAAGCATTTCAAAAGATTTTACTGCAGGCATTTCATCTTTGAAATGAGAAAGTTTATCAAAGAACATGTATGCCAGCAAATACATGTACCAAAAGAGGAAAAGGGAATTACGCAGAAACGCAGTCACTGATTAAAAATATTATTTGGCGAATATTCCCACTACGTTGGCGCATTTTTTTACCACGTATATACAATAATTAATGTTTACCCGGCAACGATATAGAAAACACTTGCTCGCACACAGTAACTCGTCAATTCTTACAGTAACGACAAGTACGCAACGTGCTGAATGTATTATTATAAAAAGCAAGCTAAAAAGTTTTCGAAATATTCCTTTTACAACGCTGATCAGTACAGCGTTAATATTTGTTTATAATTCTTACTTTCGTTTTAAGCTATTTTCATGCTGCGATATACTGTATAAATATATATATATTAGAGTTTGTGAAACATATATATGTACCCCCGAAACCATATTAAAAAGTAAGAAAAAAAATATTAGTGCATGTACAGTATTATAAAAAACAAAGTAAAAAGTATTCGGAATCTCCCATTTTATACCATAATATAATGGTTCGGTAAAGCGTTATAATTGTCGATGTCAACCTCATTTCTCGCCATTTAATTGTGATGATTATCTGCAGGAATGTCTATAATAGGGAACTCACGATGTAAACAAACCATACGTAAGCTGGTTATACTGGAGTTTCAAAGCTTTGGTAGATACTGCACATCATAATCCTGACATGCAGGATACGAGATATACGACGACTCTTAACCTGTACATTTTATAAAACCGCGTAATTCTATTTTGCGACAGATATACGCAGAAGAAACTCGAAGATGCATGGTTCCTTCGACGATATAAAAGACAAATTAATGGGGAATAATTCAATACGGAATTTGCATAGAAATAGTCCAAAACGAAAGTAAGAACTCAGCGTTGTGTCGCGAATTTGATTATCCAACGGTGCGAAATGAAGGATGCGTCACGTATTGAAATTTTCAAACGTCAGAATCTTCTGATATTGGTTGCACTGCTTTGCAAATTTCTACAACAAAATCTAGATCTTCGATATCACGAGCAATGGCACAATTTCACGAAAGGACGTGCCCGACAAGAAGTGAAATTAATCAATTAAAGTCTGACGCAGCTGATATGAAATTGGAATTGAGAGAAGTTCCCACAACATTGCAAGTTATGGAAGAAATGATGACTAATTTAACACAAAGTTTGGAATTGAAGGCTGAAATTATCGTTGCTGCATGGAGACCATGGTTTAAGATCTGCCGAAATCTTCAATATGACAACCAGAACATGGCGGCACAACGACATGGTCGCACAACGACAATATATTTCGGCGACGCAACAAATGCTGTGTTAATGTTTCATCCTCGGACGAATACGTGCACCATACAGCCGGACCCCCTTCCATACCCCGTCACAAGCATGGCAACGGCAACTTAGGAAAACAATCTGGTGGTCCTTGGTGGGGTGAACAATCAGGACGGGGAACGGAACGTACTCAACAGTGTGGTTATGTACAATGTCACAACAGGAAGACACGTCATGTTGCCGGAGATGAACAAGAAGCGACATGGCTGCACAGCCGTTACTATTTCTGATAACATCATCGTATTTGGAGGAAGGGATGAGAATGAAACAATTCTTAATTCTGTTGAATGTTTTAATTTTAGAAGAAACGCGTGGACCTACCTCCCAGCCATGATTGAAGCAAGAGCTTTTACTACTGCTGTTGTCAGATATTATTGACATTTGTTTAGTGGATTGCTTATACCAAATTTAGACTCATGATGAGGAGATTGTAATAAAATATTTTGGAAAGATTAAAATAGTCGTAGAATGGCGGCATATGTTTAGAGCAAGTACTGTAAAGATGTATGAATACAACACCTTTTTAGGTGTAAGAAATATTTCAATAGAAAAAATTAATACTCTGTTCTTTCTCACACATGCATGCACTATATATACCTCTATCAGCGTGAATTATTACATATAATGATACATTTTATTAGGGTAAAGTATACTGTTAATTGTGGGTCTCAATTTGATGTATTTGGAATAAGCAGTCCAGAAAATAATACATTGATTATCTCGTAGCTGGAAAGTCAGTCCAGGCGTTCGTGCCTTAAAACATTCAGCGGAATTAATCCATACAAGTGTCAATGTTGTTCCGTTTTGTCGTGTTTTGGGTCAAACCACACGTCATCTAAATAATCAGAGCACTTGGATATGCCATTATTAGAAAACAAACCTCCTCCATCCCTATTATGTCCAGTATTTGAAGGCTTCTTGACACTCGGCTAACTTTGCCGAAATCAAAAGCCTCTCCTCTGCTTCTGACTCATGCGAGTTAATGATACATGAAAGCCTTCTCATCACCAAACTCAAGCCTTCTCTTAATGTTCAAGGGAACTCTAATCCTCTCAATTTATTTTAATCCTTTTTTTTTCATCAATCGTGGTGTGACGTGCTCACTGACTTTAGTACTCATATGCTTAAATTGGAATTTGATACCTTTCAAATATAATACTATAGTTGACATTTTCAAATTTGCACGTTAATTTATCATTTAGTTAGAAGGCGAAACGTCACTACCAAATATATCTTTATACTTTTAAATTGTTGAACTTGTCTTAGATATCGCTATTATAAAAGCACTATGTTGGGCTTCAATATTTATCACCTCAAAACGCTTCCCGTCCGGCACGTCTATGGCAACCGTTGTGGTACGATGATTCTTAACCTGCGTAATTTTATTTTGGGACAGATATGCAGGAGAACTGATTCGAAGACAAAAATGCATGATTTAATCACTTCGACGATATTAAAACATATAAGGCATTCGCATGAAAAGAGTCCAAAATTTGCATAAAGAGAGTTCAAAAAGAAAGTACCAATTTAGCATTTTGTCGCGAAATTGATTCTCTGATGGAATGACCAAGAGGGGGTGTTACCTTGTGTGACAATAATCTCAACGATAAATTCCTAGAACTCCGGAAGTCTAACACAGAACTGACCACGAAATGAAGGAGGCATCACGCACTGAGATTCTCAAACATAAAATCTCCTGACATTGGTTACACTGCTTTTATTGAAAAGTTCTACAACAAAATCTAGATCTTCGATCTCACAAAGGACATGTCCAGCAAGTAGTGAAATTAGTCTCACGCTGATAATGTCTCACGCGGCTGATGTCAACTTGGAATTGGGAGACGTTCGCACTAGATCGCAAGTTATGGAAGAAATGATGACTCGACGTTTGGAAATAATCGTTGCTGGAGGCCATGGTTTAAGATCTGCCGAAATATTCAACATGACAACCAGAACATGGCGGCCATTGCCAGAGATGACTGAATATAGGGACGAAGCAAGTTCAGTTTTATACGAAGGTCGTATAATAGTCACTGGTGGATTTAATGAAAGATGGGAACCTCTGAACAGTGTTGAAGAACTAAATTTTGCTCAACAATGTCATTGGGTTTATTCTCCGTTTCAATTACAAAGACCATCTGGCGGTCACGCATGCGCGGTATATCAAAATCGTCTCTTCGTTATCGGTGGACGTGATCCTATTCAAGTTTATGATACAATTTATGAAATCCAGATGACCTCTTCTAATACCCCAAGGATGCTTACCAGGACACCACAGCCAATATCTCTGACCCGTGCTCAGATGATTAATGACAAGATCTACATTGCTGGTGGCACAACGACAATATATTTCGGCGACGCAACAGACGCTGTGTTAATGTTTGACCCTCAGACGAATACGTGCACCATACAGCCGGACCCCCTTCCATACCCCGTTGCAAGCATGGCAACGGCAACTTGGGAAAACAATCTGGTGGTCCTTGGTGGGGTGAACAATCAGGACGGGGAACGGAACGTACTCAATAGTGTGGTTATGTACAATGTCACAACAGGAAGACACGTCATGTTGCCGGAGATGAACAAGAAGCGACATGGCTGCACAGCCGTTACTATTTCTGATAACATCATCGTATTTGGAGGAAGGGATGAGAATGAAACAATTCTTAATTCTGTTGAATGTTTTAATTTTAAAAGAAACGCGTGGACCTGCCTCCCAGCCATGATTGAAGCAAGAGCTTTTACTACTGCTGTTGTGAAATATTATTGACATTTGTTTAGTGGATTGCTTATACCAAATTTAGACTCATGATGAGGAGATGTGTAATAATGTAGAATGGCAACGGCAAATGTTTAGAGCATAAGTTTCGTAATGTTTGTGGTAAGCATCTGTATAAAAACAACTTTTTCCCATGTGTCTACATGCTTAGTGCAGTGGTGCAGTTAAAGAGCGCATGAAATTATCATTGGCCTAGCTGTGACTCTAAGTCTAAGTGACCCAACGTTTCGACACTCCGGCCTATATAGTGTCTTCATCTTCATCGGGGTTATAAAACTACATTTTAAGTAGTTGAATCGTAGTTAACTAGAAAATACCCGATTCTGATTGGCCAATTCTTCCACTAACTATAGTTAAAAGTTAACTACCTTTTTATACAACCGGCCCCAGTTGTAAATATTCTTTATTCCCTGATGAAGACACTAGACCGGAGCGTCGAAACGTTGGGTCGTGAATATAATGATGATTACTTTGCCTGGTGATTACTTTCATTAATTAAACCAGAGTAGCGATAATTGCGATGGATTATATACACTGGTTGCCGTGATCAACTTGAATTCTACATCAACACATGTTTAGAACAAGTTTTGTATTTTTTCAGGTATAAAAATCAGTAAAACCACTTTTTTCGGTTTCGGCTTAGTGCAATTAAAGTGCGCACAAACTTATCATCGGCCTAAATAGCTGTGATTCTAACATAACGATATAGCAATAAATGGATACAATAAACTTTTGGACTACAATGAATAAGTATGGTTTCAACTTACAAGACGCCATAAGTTCTGTGCAGCCATTGAAATGTTATAATCGATATAGCAGGATACTTCTTGATGTTGTGGGGTCAAGGGTGAAGCAACATCATGACTGTCGAGAAATACAAAAAAAAAACATGTAAGTGAGGGGGGGCGCTCGAACAGGGTGAAAAAGCCTCATTCAGAGGGTAAAGGTGGTAACAGGGCAGAATGAAGAAGTCCATTTTAAAGCATGTCTATTTCAAACCTGTTTAATGCTCTTCCAGTTGTACCATGAACTAACTGTATTATATCACCATGCTTGACTGGTATTGGTGGATAGTCTGTTGCTAAATTTTCTCTAAAAAATTTACGTCATTAAATAATGCTTCATCTCAATAGCGTGACAATTTTCTACTGGTAAAACTGTAACAAACCACAGTTAGTTATTAGTTTCGAACCTATTTGGGTCTTTCACAATCCACCAATTATTGATGTCCTTAAAAGGATAACACGTGACTTGTTGTTGTGCACTACTTCCACGGTCATCAGGGTACTTGATTGGATAAACGTGAGCATGAGAGTGCAGCCAACATTGTTTACCATGTGTATGACGTAATGTGACCTGGGAACCATACGCCACAACTACAATGTTCACGTGTAAAAATGTGATAAATACAACTTTGAATGTATATTACTTTTAAAGTAATTTTTAAAAAAAATTTTTCCGCTGAGGATCACAGTACAAATACACTGTATAGCGGTTAGCAATGGACGCTTCTGACAAGCGATTATATAACATTGGTATATACAGCGACAAATATCTGTATTACTTCACACACTCATACCTTGTGCTTGGCCCTTTGTTATGCTTGCTAATCCACCCTAAAGATAGGAAGCGATAAAAAGTGAGGATTCTTGAGGCTTCCAAGTTCCATCCATAGATTAACAGAGCATGTCTGGTGGAATTAGGGAAAATATAGAAGACGTGATCCTGAGCTTAGTAGACGGGAACGCAGATATTTCCAGAGGGTAGACTACAACATTACACCGCTAAAATGCAAAACGCCACCGAATCCAGAATCACCAGTTTTTGTGTAAAGTAATTTTATTTCAATTTTCTAGTTTTAATTTAATTTTCTAGGTGTTTTTTCCCTTCAGGAGACTTCTATATTAGAAGTTACATCGGAGGATAACTATCTTTTCAAACCTAAAGTTCACAAACCATTAACTAGTTCAGCAACCTTTACCCTTTAATGACTAAAACAGGTTTGTCTTTATACCTTTAAACTGGCTTGAAATGCACTGGACATTAACTCATCCTGAGGTCCTGTGTTCTTCAATGCGCTCAAAAGAATGTAAAACTGTAGAATGTACAATATTGCTGGAAGAATGACAAGAAATATCATTCTGCAAGCGAAGTGACCTGCCCAAAGTATCTAAAGAATAGGAAAAAAAACTGTTACATGCAATTATGAAGTCTATTTCATTTCAAGGTTGTTCATTTTTCATAAACCTATTACTATTATTATGGTAAATTTATTTCTATTATATTGTTGTATCATCCTAAAGCACGGAGACCTCGCCACAATGTACACCTACCGGTGAAACACTTAAATCTTCAATCATATTCCACATATCGAACGCAATCATTGCTCCAAGCAATAAAACAACAAAAATCCCCGTGTATCGCGTGCTAAAGAGGAAAATTTAGTTAATAATAATTATTGTAATGCTTATTATAACCAGCAGGAAACTCTAAATTTCAGATCAACTGTCAGACGACGGTTCCAGTATTAAGAGAATCTTTGAGAACTGGTTTAGTACGTGAAATGTACATAACCAGTCTCGTTCCTACCAATGTTCTACCAATCACTGAATGTAAGTAGTCGGTATATTACAATATAAGCAATAAGTCCAAATGTACAGTATGTATATTCGTTATTTTGGCATCATTATAATTCATGACAAAACTGTTGATTTGCAAATGTGATAAGTCAACGAAAACTTGTCAACTACATGTGAGGCGACAAGGCTTATCTATGCGTTATGCGACAAGGCTTTTCTAAATAGAAATCACAATGCCTGGTACTTATCATTACCTCACAGCACCCGTTAGACCAAGTCCAATTAAAAAGAGCCACATACACCAAGAAAAAGAGAAAGGTCTAAAATAAAAAAAGGAAACTTTTGAGAACTTTACTGTAGTAAAATCTTTTGGACTGGTCATGAAATTCATTCCATTGTAAAATTCAGCTTAATACGGAAAGCACCCTAATCTACAGCATTCTAATACGCTAATCTGTATTGGAGAGATTATTCAAGCTATTTAAATAGGGGCTTATTCACTAAAAAAACACCACAAAAACCATCAAAAAGAGTCCCTGCATGCACAGTTCTCTGTCCGGATGCCTCTTTTGGAGTAATAACATACCTTGTACTACATTTTTTAAATTTTAAGTAAGCCATAATTGTGAAGACAGTAAAAAAGTGTAGAAATGAGTCCAGTAAAATAAAATGTCCCTGAACAACAAGCATGTTTTCTGAAAGAGAAGAAAATCTTAAATAAATACATTTTAAATAAATACATAAAATTTTAAATAAATTTCATTACTGCATACTTTAAAACATGTTTGGAACCAATCTAGCTCAAAAATGAAATTGTAAAGGAAAACATATGAAAGCTAAGTTTGATGCTGAGAAAACATAAAAGTACCTGGCCTGTAAGAGGTCATACTTAAACAAAACATTCAGCCTTAAACTTCTAAACCCATTATATATAGTTACAACATTATCATGCAAAATATTACCAAAAATTGCTAAGAATGCTCCCAATGATGCCAACCAGACAGAACATCCAAGGTCTAAAAGAATCTAGTTGAAACAAATTGATGAGTAACCAAACTTATATGATTACATACTGTATATATATATACTTAATTGCCATACATATGAATATGGTCAGTAAACGCTCAGGTGATTAGAACACCAAGTAATTAAAACACTGCACTTAGGGTTGAAGGCTCATTAATTAAGAAAGATATTCCACAAACCTCATATATACAAGGAATGACTAAACTTGAGAATATCGCTGGGACAAGACGAAGATACCAAACATGTGATAAAATTTCATCAAGATCTGAAACATTATGTACATAGTATAATATAAGTTACATTTTAAATCTTGATGTCCAGGTGCTCAGTCAGTGTTTTGTTTGCAAATGAAAATTTTATTCCCTAAACTTAACTGCATGGAAAATTTAAATAACATCCTCACCTTGACCAATATCAGTAAACACAAAAGAGTTATCTATTAATCCAGTTAAATAGCCTGAAATTAATAAATATAGTAAATAAATGAAAGTTGCCATTCTGCGCATTGGAAGGGTAAGGAACCAATGTTAAATAAACATTAATCATAGTCAGCAATTTTTTCATCAAAGTAGTAAAAAATTCAAACCTGTATATGCAAAAACAAGTTTTGCAAATGGGGGATGAACATCAAAGAAAAAAGTGCCATTTAAAATATAAGTAGTAAAACGTCCAAAGTGAACCTCATCAAATCTGAAAACAAGAAGAATATATCAAATATTTAGTAACTGTAATTGTCCCTCACCCATCTCATTATCTCATTCCAAATCATTATCATTACACAGAGCTCTACTGTACAGTATATATGATGTGAAAACAGCCATATATCTTTTCAATATTTGAAATTCTGATTTATGAGGATTAAATAGTTTCTCCACAAAGTTTGCTCCAAAATATTGCATATGCAACATCAACATAAATGTACTTTAAATACTGACAGAATGCTTCTGTATGCTCATGTAAATAACATTTCATCAAAACAATAAATGGCAATAATATACTTACACAACATTTCTGGGTACATCCAGATTTCTCATTCGAGTGGCAACAGCCAGAGCTATCAATACCACACGAAGTGCCTGTTCTTTCATTTTATCTTTTCCATGAGATAGTGGAGGACTTGATATGAAATCATTGTCACCTCGTTGGTCAGTTTTTATATGTTTACCATCACTTGTTTCCTGTCAAGAAGTCAGTTAAATTCTCAGCTTGAAAACAGATGAAACAAAATGGGTACTGCATGATCAGAACAATCCTGTTAATTGATCATACTCTTGTACTACAAAATGCCCAATTCTTGCCAATCTAGCATCTTTATACCCTTTCGCTCATCATGGAGTTTATCTCATTTTTGAAAAGGGAATTATGCTTTTTTTTCATCCTAATGTGATCACAGTGTGTCTACTTCAAAAATTTCATATGAAACAGAAACAACTAAGCCACAGCAAGCTGCAAATATCCATTTATTCCCATGATTTTGACTACCTCCTTCACTCTTACAGAGCTATGCCTAAAATGTCCACTGCAACTACACTATTCCTCCTTAAAACTGCAGTTGCAAAATGAATTGCAAGTCTGCAATAAAATTGCCTATAAATGTGAAATGTCACAGTGGGTTGGAGTGATTTTCTCAAGTTTGAAATGCAGAATTTGTTTAATAAAATTTTAATAGAGTTTTCCACTTCTTCTCAGTGCTTTTTGTTTTATCATATTAAAATATCCTGAACTAGAAAAACTGCAAGCTCAGGATGACTAAAGATCTGGCAAGAATTATTTTGTCAACATTTCGTTAAACTCCCAAAAGCTTAAGAATCCCATGGCATATCGACGCGAACATTGCCACGTCTAAAGTTGTTAACAATGTACTTTGTTGACAAAGGGAGCTTGCCCTCTCAATCTTTATAATTATAGACCCAAAGCAGTAATACGTTCGGTAGCCAGAAATTTAACTACATTTAAAATATTACCTCAGTATGTTCATCTCGCTTATCTACATCTTCTTTGTTTTGTTTCCTTCTCATTTTAACTCATAAAAATCAATAATACATTTAAGAATAAAAATATGGAGTAAAAACTTTCAACCTGACCCAGACACACTGATATATGCCAGACGTCCCAAGTAAAGAAACCGCGAACAAACAAATCAGCGGTTTTACACAGTGGAGACAAGAAATGCGTAACACTAAAACGAGGCTACCTGACCACGACCTGACCTTGTTCTTGTGTTATGGCGTATTCTCACGCTTGTTTGTCAAAATGGAAAAATTCATTTTCATGCATGTGTTGAAGGAGGATGTTTTGCATCTTTCCGCATAGCATGTGAGAGTAAAACTTCAAATCCATACAAGTTTAAAACGGTAGTGTTGTGACGTAATCATCGAAAGGGTCTATTAAACCACAGTGATTAAACGTTCGAATCTCTTATCTCAACATTACTATCACCCTTGGTAATAATTGTAATACATTCAAAATTCTTACAGCGCATGGGAAAAGATTACTTGATTGACATGCAAGCGTAAAGCAAGTGTCGAATTTGGGATTTATCTCAAACGACTTTTTCTACAATTTACTGTCGGCGATCGTCAAAGAACAATTTTTCAATGGGAAAATAACTGTAGTACTTAAAAAATACTGTTGACGCTGGTTGATACTGCAATGCTTGCCATCTTTGCAAGTCATTGCATGTACCAAAGATACAAACATTGCCCACGTGATGAAAACGAAATTATGAAAATAAATAATCAGGAGACCTCGTTAAAATTATTTTAGATTATTTACACATTTCCTTACAGAAAAATAACTACATAATGGTATATATTATATTTACAATCTTTCTCTACATCAGTATCAAATAAGAAATATCTCATGTGCATGTTTCTGCATTCATACTCTGCGCAGACTCACTACCCCCTCTTCAACGGCGGAAAGAAAACAGCCAATCAGGGGGTAGCGTCCGTGGTAAGAACTGGTTCTGGACATCAACCTCACGCGAGCTGACAGCCAACGACGTTCGTCATCTTCACGTGATTATTATGTCCACTGTCGCCCTATCCTGACACTAGATTCCAATCCCTCTCTCATGGACTGATATCCTTATACCCAGCACATTGCGGTCTTTGTGCCACATTACATCCCTGTAAATGGTTTCTTGCTTGGGATCCATTCAATGCACCCGTCGGTTGTTCGTCAAATAAACTTACTAAAATAAAATAAAATTAGAATGAAGGCTATAAATACTACCGGTATTCTTACTTGCAACAGGAAATAATGAATTGCTGTTGTTACTGCCATTATTGTTTAACTGTACAAAGATGATCCTTTCTACTTCCGAGATGAACTTACCATCTGAAAGATCTTTTCCCGGCTGCCATGCAAGCAACATCCATCCTAATATAGCTCCAATAACACGCATCAAGTTCACAATCATCCAGTCATCCACTAAACCATTCCTGTCTTTTTCATTATCCCTAAAATAAGAAATAATACGTTGATACACACGGCCATATGAGGGCAGATATTGCATGATGATATTTTTTGTGCTAATTCAAAGAGTACAAAAACCCAAGCTTGTCACATCGCAAAACGTCTGTCATGAGACTTACCAGAGAGATGGTTCTATAGCATAAAGGCTTATTCTATCATCAATCATAGCAACACTCAATGTGAATATTAATGCCAGGACATAAACTAAAGAGAAAGTCGTTTATTTGATATCTACCCCGAAAACTAGAATGATTAAGCTCTAATTGTCTCTAATTGCCCTAATTGAAATAAAAAGAACTCTCATTTTATACCAATAAGCGACAATGTCCAAATGGGATTTGATAACAGTTGATGACAGAATCCAAGCTTTGCTTTTACCATCCCATAACTAAAAGTAAAACAAAATTATTAGCGATGTATGTTGCTTCAACAAATGATGTCTGAGAACCTGGGTCTAGATAAAACACGAATCAAATACAGTCAGTGCTATAGGCGGGGATGTGATATACTGTAGCCAAGGGGGGGGGAGTTTTGAGCTGCAGTCCCCCCCCTTGGATAATCTTCAAGTAATATATAAATACTTGAAGATTATTTAATGCGAAATGAACATATTACCTATCCAAGACGGAGACAGTACAAACAGCTAACATGAAATAGTAGATAGATCCTATAGGTTGTGCCAGTCTGTAGTAGTTTGATAAGAAATTCGTCGCTCCACCCGAGTGACTGGACAAAGAATAGACAAATACACACTGACATAGAGCAATACCTAAGAAAGAAGAGATATATAGGTTTAGCTCCTTTAGAAAATCATTCTTGCCTTTCACGTATCAAGCTGTTTTCCACGAGGTGAAATTGTTCGCGCGAAGCAAAAAAAGAAATTTTGACGCGGTTGGTCAGAAAATATGCATCCTATGAGTTCTTTTATATTTCTCAAATCAAGATCGCGAAACTAAAGAAAACTTGGGTACGTTGTGAGCTGCGTTTGCCGCTCTTCATCTTGACAATAAACAGTACTGTACATCCAATACTTACCAGCGAGCAAGCCATGACAAAATAGGGCAAAAGTTTTAAACGTTCTCTGTGTCGCCTGAAGAAAAAAAGTAATAAATACTGTAAACAACTACAAATAATGATCTTTCTTAAAGACATAAGTCTTTCAAAACATGATTCCCCGCTTACCATTGCGAAATCTGAGATCGTTGGTTCTTTTGGAATGTCGTCAGATATTGGATGATTTATCACTGTCGTTTGAGCAAGATTTTTTTGTTCCTTTTTAAATCCGCCATCTAAAAAGTTTTAATATTGTGGTAGGGGGCAGTTGTTAAAAGCTGACCAGGGTTATCGCTATTTCTGGCTCATACAGTAAGTTTATATCCGCTGTTTCGGTATATGTGCTTCTGCATCGCTGTTCGTTTCATAACTTTACAAAATAAGACTTATATTGATCCAGGAAATATTTATGAAAAAACACTTTCAACTTTCACAAGTGAATAAAAAAATTGACGTGAACATTTGCGTTAGCCCAGAGGGTTACTGTAAGCCGACCTGCTTTTAAAAATTGGCCCTAGATGTTTCAATAGATGTTTTAATATGGACTGACTATCGTATTCTTTATTTATTGCGCTAGAAGTTGTCTTTCGCAAGACATATCAGAGGTGTACACTCTTTCTTAAAAACTGTTTAGATCACAACTGTCCTATCTGAGCACAAGAGAGAATATATAATTATCTTGGCTGGCCTGGAAACTGTCTAAATTATGGCATGTCTCTATTGATAAAAACTTTCCTCAATGAAGCAAGTTCAGTGCATAACAATTAAAACAACCTAACTAGGCTAAAGTGCATTTACCAGATCTTGGAATTCAAACTAGATGTTAGTTATAATATACATAAATTGGATGTTACACAAACAAAGACATTATATACCTTTCCTTTCAATAAACAGAACATCAAGTGGCTGACTTGGTAGTAATGAGCTTGAATTGATAGTTGGTATTGGCGGAGGAATTTTGGAGGAGTTTGATTCCTCTGTAACAATATCTTCTTTGTCCACCTTGAATCCACTGTAGAATGAGGCTGTGAAATAGATCAAAGAAAAATGTATTCTTGCTAGTCTTTGAAGTCTAAATCACATATACTGTATAATAATATTAATAACCTTCATCATCAAGATCTCCTTGGTAATTCTCTTCCTCTGCTGATGTATTTTGAATCCTAATCAAATTAGATGTAACAATAAAATGTTTTGGGTTTTTTTACTTTTACTTGGTCATGTGTTTGGTAAAAAGTGCTCATTTATATACACATTTTCAACCATATACAGTACTCACAAGAGATTTCACAATATATCTATAGAGATAGCAACTGGTATCTGGTATGAATCCAAATTCCATACCTTGATAAACGCTCTTTTGTTTTATTCCTTTTAGGTTTATGCTGTCTTGTATGTCCACTTGGTTTAGCTATACCAGAATCATGTTCATTTCTTGGAATACTATTTGTACCATCAATGTTTCCTGTTCAAATACAAGACCAGTAAGGGTCATATTTTATTGTGTGCCCCACAACATATTAAGGTTCATTATTATATGGCAAGCATCACTTCCGGTGAAATGGAGCTCAGTGATTGGCTGAGAAGAATTTTCAGCGGACCATTATTTTTCAAAAAGACCTCAATCCGATATTTCTCGGTAAAGACCTCGTGCTCGGTTAATAAGAAGTTAGTATTACAGCTAAATATTGAAATTTTATTCCTCTAAATTTAAAAAATATGCCTGGATAATTTGGCAAAGAAACCTCTTCAAAAATTCAAACAAGAGACAATTGTGAGCAGCAGTTTTAAAGCCACATTAGTTAAAACCTAAGATAATAATCACCATGCATATTCCTGCTTGGGTTTGTCATTCTTCTCATCCCTTGCTGTGCCTCATTCATTTCTCTTTGAATGTCCAAAACTTCTTCACTAACAGATCTATTAATGCGTGGTTTAGGTGGACGACGATGTCCTCTCCTTTCCATGCTGTGTTGACCATCTTCAGTTTCTAATAAACAAAATCATCATGTAGACACTCAAGTGGTGTAACAAGTTGATTACAATTGCATTTTCGGCAATGAAAGATTCAAAAATGACAATGTTGAATAGGTGGCACAACTAGGCAATTGGTCAGACCTAGTGGCTATGTCACATAAGATGCTTGCTTAAATGCTACAAGCGTAAGCGTCGATCCGACGTCTAAGAGCCTGGCAACATGAATATGGATGTGGCTCCTTGGTTTGGCAAGAAAATTATGGGGAGTAGCTAGAAAATAATTATGTTCAAAAATCTTGAGTTTTTCTTGTCTTTCCTGAGAATGATACACAACCAACCAGGTAAAAATGTGAGGATGAGCAAGACCGTTGCTACTGAAACTATCCAACCACAAGGTCAAGGGTACATACTTGTACCTCCTATAGTATGATAGTATCATTTTATAGTACATAATTTGATGTGGATGATACCTGTACTTTGCCTAGGCGCTCTTTTCCGATTCCTTCTGGATTTAGTCTTCCTTTCATCGCTCATTTCAAGGGAGTTACTATTTCCACTAGATGGATTTTTTACTTGCCCTGATGGCTTTTGGTTTGGCAGATCTTGTAGCACCAAACCTCGGTCTTTTGACGGGGCGCTTGTTGATGGAGCTCCATCACCCAGTTCTTCCAAATTTCTTGACGTTCTCTTTCGTCTCTTTCGGTGGCGTTCACCTTTTGAAGGATTATTAAAAGAATCGTCAGACATATTCTAAATAATAAGAATGGTCAAATTTTTCATATTCGCTAAAAATTTCGAACAGTATTTGATTGTTATGACTTGTTTATAGCGGTTGTTGTTGTTGTGCTACATATTGTAAAATTTTAGTTAATTCGTGTTTCCTCTTCACAAAGTCTGTTTTCCTATTTTCCTTGGAGTTGGCTTTGTTTTTCAGATGAACTATGAACTGTCTCGAACACTCATAGCCATGACAGTAGCACAGAATGTAAGCACAAGATAAATTCGCGATAGATGCTTTAAAAACTGAAAAGTTATATTTATAGCATATTGCATATTGGAAGAAACTATAGTATTTTGAAAATATTGTTACACTGCTTTTCAGCCAAGTGGAAAGGCTGAAATGTTACTCTGGGGACCGGGTGTGAGCAGTGGAAAAAACTTTTATAACTTATAAGTTATAAGGGCGGCCTTCTTAGTCCAAAATGTTTTGTACAGTGTGTGTTCTGATTAAATATATGTTTTAAAAAATACATCACACGAGTTATGTGTAAAGTATATTTGCTGGTATTACAAAAAACTTCTAAATGCAAAATAAGGTCTGTGTAGGGTAGGGAAAGTGAAAATTTGTCACACCGAACATTGCATCGCTGCTGACGCTGCATTGCATGGTAAACTGTTGAGAAACTACGTTGGAAACTAGCAATATATATGTATTTAATTTTTGATATTTTGACTGCTTTTAAACATGAAAACTGTGTTAATGGTGGCAGAAAAGCCCTCACTGGCACAATCAATTGCAAAATTCTTGTCAAATGGAAAGATGATAACAAGAAAAGGTTTCAACAGTGCGTGTTGTATTCATGAATACAATGGTACATTTCAGGGCACTGCAGCAAAATTTAAAATGACTTCAGTTTGTGGTCATGTCATGGCACTAGATTTTCACCACAAATACAACAATTGGGATGCAGTTGATCCAATCGAACTCTTCCAGGCTAAAACCTTAAAAAAGGAAGCAAATCCTAAACTGAATATGGTTAAATTTTTACAGCATGAGGCAAAAGGTGTGGAGATTGTTGTTTTGTGGTTAGATTGCGATAAAGAAGGGGAAAATATATGTTTTGAAGTTTTGGAGTGTGTTGAACCAGTTATGAGTAAACTCCGTAATTACCAGCAAACTGTATTTCGTGCTAAGTTTTCCGCCATCACTGAAACTGACATTAAGCATGCAATGAACAATCTAATTGAACCAGATGAAAACCAAGCCCGGTCAGTTGATGCCAGACAAGAGCTTGATCTGAGAATTGGATGTGCTTTCACAAGGTTTCAGACAAAATATTTTCAAGGAAAGTATGGTGATCTTGATAGCAGTTTGATTTCATATGGCCCATGTCAAACCCCAACCCTAGGTTTCTGTGTTCAGCGACATGACTTAATTACTTCATTCAAGCCTGAACCATTCTGGGTTCTTCAGTTGAAGGTGGAACATTCCCTTGGTAAAACATTCCCATTAGACTGGGAGAGAGTTAGAGTTTTTGACAAAGACGTTGCTACAGTATACTACAGTAAAGTGCAGGAAGTGAATGAGGTAATTGTTGAGAGTGTCTCAAAAAAGGAGAAGGCAAAGCAACGTCCACAAGCATTGCATACAGTTGAAATGCTTAGAGTTGGTTCATCTGCATTGGGTATGGGACCACAACATACAATGCAAATTGCTGAGAGCTTGTACACCCAGGGATACATTAGTTATCCAAGGACAGAAACCACACATTATCCTGAGAAGTTTGATCTCCGTGGAACCTTGCAGCAACTTCGAGGTGGACCAACGTGGGGTGCCAATGTGTGTGAGCTTCTGCAAACCGGATTGAACAAACCTAGAAAAGGTCATGATGCTGGAGACCATCCACCTATCACACCAATGAGACTAGCTAGAGAAGGTGAACTTAGCGGAGATGCCTGGAGATTGTATGACTATATTGTCAGACATTTTATTGCAACCTTAAGCCCTGATTGCAAGTTCCTCCAGACAAAGATTTCCTTTACAGCTGATGAAGAGTTGTTCAGTTTCAGTGGTAAAACTCCAATTGATCCTGGGTTTACATCCATCATGCCCTGGGCAGCCATACCTGCTGAAGAAACCATTCCGCCTCTTGAGAAGGGAGCACGTTGCAAGGTGTCTGAGTTGAAAGTTGTTGAACGACAAACATCTCCACCTGACTACCTCACAGAAAGCGAGCTGATCACACTGATGGAGAAACATGGCATTGGCACAGATGCAAGCATTCCTGTCCATATCAATAATATTACACAACGTAATTATGTCCAGCTCCATAGTGGTCGCAGGCTTATCCCAACAAATCTTGGCATTGTGCTGGTTCATGGCTACCAGAAAATTGACCAAGAGTTAGTATTGCCTACCATGAGATCATCTGTTGAAGAAACTCTTACACTTATTGCTATTGGAAAGGCAAATTTTGAAGCTGTATTAACACACACAATTGACATATTCTGCCGAAAGTATTCATATTTTGAGAAGTGCATTACCAATATGGATGAACTTTTTGAAGTTTCATTTACAAAGTTAGCAGACACAGGCAAGGCTTTGTCTCGTTGTGGAAAGTGTGTTCGTTACATGAAATTAGTTAGTGCTAAGCCAATAAGATTGCACTGTTCAAATTGTGATGAAACATACAGCCTGCCCCAGAATGGAACTATCAAGCTTTATAAAGAGTTGAAATGCCCTTTAGATGATTTCGAGTTGGTTGTTTGCTCAACAGGTAGTCAAGGAAAGACAACGCCAATCTGCCCATATTGCTACAACAACCCTCCCTTTCCAGGCATGAAAAAAGGTATGGGCTGCCCTGAATGTCTTCACCCCACTTGCAAGTTCTCACCTGCCACCCTGAGTGTTTGTCCATGTCTTACATGTGAAGAGGGAATGGTGGTTATGGATATCATGTCTGGTCCAAAATGGAAAATGGCTTGCAATAAATGCAACATGGTTATTCACATGTTCGAAGATGCTTTTAAGGTTTCATTATCAGAAGATGGTTGTGATGATTGTGGGGCGTCTCTCATTGATGTCACCTTCCATCGAAACAAGTCTCCTCTTCCTGATGAGAAAACAGAACACACAGGTTGTGCATTCTGTGATCCAGTGTTTGAGCCAATGGTGAAGTTTGATATGGCAAAAGGAAAACATCCAATGTTTCGTCGTGGGAGAGGAGGAAGGCGTGGCCGTGGACGGGGCAGGCGTGGCAGAGGCGGAAAAGGAAAACCCAAGGATAAAATGGCACAGCTTGATGCATTTTTCTTGTAAAGAGAAATCACTATTAATGTTCTGTTCTCCGTCTGTTCTGTGTAAGGAACCTTTGAATGTTACAGACGTACTCTAGAGTACTTACTTATTTGTCAGGAGCGTTTGACTTTTTTTAATCAGGGCTCAAATTAACGGCCGATCAACGAACAATAGCCACTTAAAAGGGCTTTGTCTTTGAGCCTTTTTTGACCGGTAAATTTGTTTGCCGATCATTTTGACCGACTGCATTTGATTAATAGTAGAAATATTGTCTTTTGAGTTCTTTTGAGTGAAATAAAATAGCAATTGCTGTAGTAACACTTTGTCGTTGATCTAAATCAATCTTGGATGAATAAAAATTTTTTTCCAAGAAATTTCAATAACTTACAAAAAGAGTTTTTTTTATCTATTTTGGAAACAGCATTACTTTAAGCGGCTTATTAACCTGCTTACTGAACAAAGTTTTCTTTAATGTATATTCGCATAATCACTCTTTCATTAGTATGCCACGTATATGAAAGTGGTATCGTTTCACTGAACCAGACGTATTACAACATTGGGGGAGAAGCATGCAAAGAAAGATAAAACACGAACTGCATCGAACGCGTGGTTTTATTACAGAACCGCATATAATGCGGAGTTTTTTGTTTTCCATATTTAAAGTTAGTGAAATCATCGTGTCCATATTGTGATTTTCACAGTTTAACTTGAGCCCTAATTCCAAGGGCTAAATTTTAAAGCGAAATGCGAAAAATTTCGCCTGCTTCTTTTGAATTGTGAGCAATGAAGCAGAAATGATTATTCAAGCGGTCAAAATTCGAAAGAAAAAGCGAAATATTTCCCTGAGAGAATGCGCCCGTGGAATTAGGCCCCTTATAGACCCACTTTTGGCAGAGTTGAAAAAGCTGCGGGTACCACCCGGAGGAAGGCTTGCTTTGAATGAGGTTTGTGAGAAAGGTTCAAAGTTGAATACTCCAATTGATGACATGCATATACCAAAAAATATTTTTTATGCTGGTTACCACTTGACTCAGTGACGTAACGTCATTTTGAGGAAGGTTTTCAAAACTTGAAATCCTACCGGAGGAAACTCTTTTTGCAACTCTAACTTTTGGACAGCGTTTGCATTGACGTCATCGTATTCGATTATTCCAACTTCAGCAGAGGTGTTGTTGCAGTGGTAAGAGTAACCACTCATTTGCGCTCTCCACGTATGATCTCCAGACTCAATAAAACCACCTAATCAACGAACAATTTGGAGCAGGAATTCCATTAATCGATGCCTCGAATTTCACCTTCCCACCGAGACCACGGGGGTAAAAGCTGATGACGTATGAGCCATCGTTGTTATCAGCAACAGCCACATCACTGACTTCCATTCCTGTGAACGACGGTTTGATATCATGACCTCCATATCTAAGTCTTCGGTTGTTCTCATCATGACATAATAATTCTATAGAGTATTGATTTCCAGGAATAAAACGTGCTTCGCCTTGTTGAAAGGAAACCTTGCAGTTTCCAGGACTTGGCACAGCAACATCTACATCATACTCATTCAGCAAGTTCTTCTTTGTTTCCTCCACTGAAGAGGGAATGATAAATAACATGTCTTCAGTTACAGAAGGAGTCGTTTGATCTTTAACTGCTTTCAACTGCTCCAGAGACTGCAAAATGTATTTTTCCATACTTAATATTTGAACATCATTACCATTCTTAAACGCTTGCTCGGTGAACTCGATGCTGCTTTCACAACTTGCTAAAGCCACTTCCAGAACTTCTAACTGCGCGTGGATCTGTTTTTGTTTTGAATTCGTATGCATGGTTGATTTTTCGATCATCTTCTTTTTCTGATTTTCTACGGCTTTCGTAAGTTCATCAAAATGCTCACTGATCTCTGAAATAGTTGATTGGCGCTTCTTTTCGACACGTTTCTTAAAATCTTGAATGTTGACAATTCCTTGTATCACCCTACCTTTCCTTTCCTTTACCTCATCAAGATTGCTTCGTATATTTGCTTTTTCTTCATCAGCTACATCCTCAACAAACCCATATTCATGTTGGCGATGATCAACAATGGTGCAATCTCTGCATATAGTTTCTTGACATGTTTTACAGAATAATTTGATAACTTCCCCCTTGTGTTTGGGACATCGTATCTTCTCAGCAATTCTTTGTGGACCAGGATTTGATTTTATTTCCGCGAAGGTCAACAGCTCGTGATGTTTTGTTGAACGCATTCGTTTATGCGAAGCGGTGCAAAACTGACAAAGAAACAATCCGCATTCACTGCATCGACTTTGAGCATCGTCTTCACTGTCACAACTGTCGCAAAGGATCTTTTTTGTAGCGGGCTCTTCATTCGTCAGCATCATTGTTGCTAGAAGATTGTTTATGAAGAAGTTCGTCGGCAGGGACGAAATTGTATTTTCATCAACCTGATGATGGAAAATCTTCAGTTAGAAAGATGCAGACAAGCAAAGTCATGCACTTTCAGTTAGATTGAAAGATAGAAGATGTATTAAAAAATGTTTATCATAGTTTAACTAATAATCTACTGTCATGAAAATCCTTTGTCGTGCGCACGAGTTGGGTCGTGTATAATTAGTAGGCTATATAAAATATATTGGTAAATAACGATATACACCTGGATTAAATTCCTCACCTTAACTTCCAACCTACAATCTGGACAGTTAAATGTACTTGACTTCGTACTCTTTGCCAAGTTTACAATGCAGGCATAACAATATGAGTGAAGGCAGGGTAGAACTTTGGGATCTTTAAGTTGATTCAAACAAACGGAACAAGTCAAATGTTCTTCAACTTTACATCGAATTGATTCAGCCATATCGGTCTAAAACTGGAGGTAAAAGTATAAAAACATGATGTCATCATCATTTTTTGCTCAATCCTGCGTAGTATTTATTTTAAAAGTAAAAAGTATTTCTTTTATAGAGTCATAATAGTTTATAAATTATAGCACTGGGGAACACTGGGGCCGGTTGTATCAAGCCTGTTTAGCTTATAAACGGTGGTTAAGTTCAAAATTGAAAGCAAGTCTATCGTTTTCAGTATTCAACAACGAACTAAATGTTTTTAACCTTAATACAAAGATACTGGTTACAACTACATATTCAGTGCATAATATTCAAGTTGACTCATTCCAAAGAGATGTAAAAGTGTTATTTAATTTTGACTTATCCACCATTTAAGCTAAACGAGCTTGATACAACCGGCCCCTACATGATAGATCAAGATTAATTGAATTAGTGAATTACTAAAATAGAATGATACCGAAATATGTCGCAATGGATTGGAAATAGAAATGACTGGAAACAAAAAGAATTTTCGTTAGCCATTCACACTACCCGACAACTACAAGGGGGGGAGGGGGTGTCCCAAGTGACACTATATGGAAATTATCTCACCATGACTTCTAATTTGTAGGTCGACTTTTCTATTAGAATTTAGAAATTCAAGAAGTTGATATCTATAGCATAGCGTTCAGGCATTTAAATTATAACAATATGATAATTTCTATAGTGTTTTGAGGGGACACCCTGTATATATGGCTAATGGCTCGCAATTTTGAAAAAAATATTGTAGGATCAACCAAGATGATGCCTGACGATAGCCTGTGACGTCATATGCAAACGAAGAATATATCAGGTTGGTACAGTGGGTTGGGTTGGGAGAAGCATTGCAGCCAGCCCAGAGCCATGCAGCCTCAGATTCTGGAAGAAGCAAACAAACTCAAGCGGCCAAAATTCAAAGTTATGCTTTGATTAGAGTTTAAAATTTAAATCTGCTATAAGTCGCACGAATTATATAGCTATTCGCGAATTTTGGGAAGCTTTATACTTTTATAAATCATTTTCCCCTGTATAGAAACGTTCGTATGTGCACTTTCGGAAATGCACTTTCTCTTGTATGGATGTTTCAATAAAATTCTGCAGGTACCGTAGAAACTTCTTTTGGTGTTCTCGCTGTTCACTTAGTGATATCTGCTAGTTTAGCACTTACCGATACTACAGATCTTCAATGAAAATGGTGGCCAATTGTTTAGACCAATGCTTGGCCGATTTTCCAAGCCTTTTTTCCGAATACCGAGTTTTCTTCAGTAGCTATAGCCTTGCTTCTCCAGAGGTTGTTTATCGTGTGCTACTTAAAGACGACGCTAAACAAAGAAAGTCGTGATGGGATACAGCAGGTATGAATAATTTGTGGTCTCAGAGACAGATGTTTCTTCCTCAACAGCATTGCCATTGCCCAGCCTTCGCCCACAGGATTTTGCAGAAAAACGTCAAAATGACTATGATAATTTCACTGGCGGGTCCAGGGTATTAAGGCAGAAAAAATTACTACATTTCAAAATGCTCTTCTTTTTAAAAATACTACATTTTATTTAAAAATACTCTTTGGAAATCCACAACTGAAGGGCCCTTTTCCACTCATCGAAAAGACTCGCAAGCTCGCTGCGAGTAATTTCCCCAATCAAAGTTCAAAACAGTTTGATATTCGCCGATCGGCCGACTAAAATCGTACGACAAATATCGCGTCGTATGCACCTGGCTTCAACAGCGTTGTTAAAATCAGGTTTTTTGAATAATGAGGTTTCGTTCGGAAATTACAGGTTTCGGATTATACAATTACTTAATGGTTCCGACTTTCAGCATAGCTTTCAGTGATTGGATGGCCTGATCCAAACGCGGGAATGTTGCGAGGGTTAAGAAAAGCGCGCGAAACACGAGCCGAAGGCGAGTTACATGTTATTTTATAAAAATACATATATGTTATTGACTGAGCGAGAGGTCCGTAGAGGAGGATCCTGGTCTCGTTCTTTTTTCGCTGTAGTCTGTACGGACCGAACAAGCTCAGTCAATAAACTATTTATTATATGACTGAAAACGATTAAGAGAAACCTGGCCGGTCCGTACTGTTGGTTACCGACCGCTCAGGAACCAATCAGAACGCTTGATTTTAGTTGATGGACCGATGAACTATTCTAGTCATATAATAATTAGTATTATATATACTTTAGACAAATCTTAGTGTCGAAGCGAGAGAATAGACTAATTTTTATTGAATTTCCACTATAAATCTCCAAATACTTTCTAAGAAATTATGCCAAAGAAAATAACTATCTAATACTCAAATTAGTAAGTAATCCCATACGCATTTAACATATTTCTACAACTTCACTTCACATATAACTTCAGGTAAACATTTTGGTATAGTTTCTGGCTTTGTAAACTTTTGTAAACAAAATGCTCCTCCGTAATCCAGGGCTAATACTGTGCAAGCAAACGATGAGAATGCATGCAAAAATAACATAAATGTATGAAAATACAGCCTAATTACCTTCCAGCAAAGGCCCTATGTAAATAAGACAAATGGGCCAAAAGTGGAAAGTAAGGAATATTTTGGGGCATTATTTTGCACCTAGTTTATTATTGTCAAATGTTGGTGTGGTCATAATTACTCCATTTTTGCAATCAAAACCATCATGAAAACCCCCACAAAGAGTGCAAGGATTTCCTTAATGGATTGCCATAACTTGCTATCTTCTAGTAATTCAGGAATAACAGATACTGTAGCAATATATATGAAACCACCAGCAGTAAATGGTAAGATCCATAATGTGGCTGCAGAGCTTCCAGTACCTTCAGCAAGCAGGCCACATATAGTGCCAGCCATTGCACCAGTTGCTGTGGTCAACTGAAGAAGCATTGCCTAGGAAGATATGAAAAATTGTTAACAAACTAACCAACCAACAACAATAACATGTGATACAGTTACTGGAGTGATAACATGATGATACATGCTAAAAAGGTTATTTTCAAAGGGCCTTGAAAATGAGGGGGATATATTGGTAACCTTTGTAGCCAGATGGTTTAGGGAGAAAGATTCTGTTAAGGTGCACATTCATTCTGAGGGAATGTGTTTTCAATAAAGGAAAAAGGAAGAAGGCAGAGAGGTGCCTAGAGAATTACTTCACTATTTGTCCCCTCTCATTTTGCATTATATGCATAGTAGGACGCAAAGGAAATTAGACTAGGGAAATAAGTCTAATTAACTGAGGAGGTAGTATAAGTATTTAAATGCCTATTAGATGCTGCTTGAGAAAAAGTTCCTCAATTGAGTGGACAATTAGTTTTAATGTGACTTTTTGAAAAACCAAAATAGAGAAACTTACCTTGCGTTTTGAGCACCCAGATTGAATAAGAATTGCAAAATCTCCTATCTCATGCGGTACTTCATGTAGGAGGATTGTGATGGTTGTTATCAATCCTAGATTCCTACTCACAAGAAAAGAAGCTCCAATTGCCAGTCCATCTGTGAAGTTGTGAGTGAAGTCAGCTGCAAGATTCAGATAGCCAGCCACCTTGATATCACCAGAATCATCATGATTATGTTCACTGTTACTGTGTTCACTGTTACTTTGCTCACTGCTACTGTTGCTTTGTTCACCATCACCATCTAAAATATATTTTATAATTGAACCCAATCCCAAACATGATTAGCTTTTTAACAAGCTGGAAATGCCTAACAAGCAAAAAAGCACACTACATAAAAAAATAACTGTATCCCTGTATTAAATGGCAAGCGTTATCCTTCGACTTTTTAAAGCAATTGTTTCCACTGTATATAAACATGAACATATGGAAACAAAGTACAGAACCGGAAGGGCAAAAGTTGTATTTTGACTGAAATATGTACACGTCACACTGCCATGTGTACAAGAATATAAGTACACGTGGTCGAGAAATAAACACCGGGAATGACACGTATGCACAATATCAATGCAAATACTAATAAAACACTTTGTCTCATCGTAAAATCGACAAATCATACCTTTTAAATATTGAATAAAATGTATTATAATTATACGAATTACACGATATTTATATATTTCGACGTTGAACAATGTAAAACGATGTATTTTTTTGAGCGCTATATATATTATTGGGAATCATATCTATATAATATGCAACACTCTATAAACATTGACACAGAATGTCACAGATAAAACGCAAATAGAACGAACATTTTTAAAGCAAATACCTTTGATTTCAGCGTTTTTTTCCTGCTCATTTTGGTCGTTGTCGTTCTTCGTCTTTCCGTTGTTCGTCTCAACGGGCACGACATGGCTATGACTGTGAGAATGTCCGCCTTTCACATATCGTACAAACTTCTCTACCATTAAAAAAACAACAATTCCAGCTAAAACCCATAGTCCAACAATCATGTTTCTATCGTGGTCATGTCCATGGCCCTCTTCTCCATGAGAATGAGAGTGGGAATGAGAATGAGAACCGTCTTCTTCTCCGTGCGAATGTGGCGATACTGCGTGAGGAATTAAATGCAAAAACGCATCTCCCAACAATCCTCCAGAAGCGAAACTTAACAGAACTTTTAGAAAGGGTCGCTGCTCGTCTGTGTTTTTGTCAAGAGGGATGAAAAAAAGCAATAAATACGGAGCAGCGCTGATCAAAAACGTTGCTCCCAGTGCGTTAATCCAAGTCGATACGGCAAATCGGTCTTTGGTGGGTTTTGAACTTTCAGCTTTCTCTTCGTGAGCGTGGTCTTTGCTGTGATGACTGTGGCCTGCACTATGTCCATGTCCATGCTCATGACTATGTCCATGTCCGTGCTCATGACTATGACCTTCGTGTTTCTCCTCATCATGAACCTGTTCTTTCGTGGCTTCGTTGTCCTGTTTGTGTTTTGGTTCGTCTTTCGGTTTGTAGTACAAATGCCTGTGATCCTCATGTTCATAGTCCTCTGGGTCCAAATGGCCGTGTCCATGATGACTATGGCCATGTCCTTCATGATCATGTTCTTTGTGTTCATGATCGTCTTCCTCTTGTGGTTTGTAGTATAAATGTCTGTGGTCTTCATGATGGTAATCATCTGGGTCTAGATGTCCATGTCCTCCATGACCATGTCCATGTCCTTCATGGCTATGTCCATGTCCGCCATGGCTATGGCCATGTCCTCCATGGCTATGACCATGCTCACCGTCAACTAAAACGTAAGAAAGACTCAAAACGCAAACTAGAAAATGAATGGTCATACATGATGTAGTTTTCATCTTTCTACAATTGAGAAGAACGAATACAAAGCGTGTTTATATCGACGTTCTACGTCTCAAGTAACACAAATTTGTCTTTTGAGATAGAACATTCGTTTGAGCCTGCCATCCTATCCGCTGATTGTGCTGGAGATCTAATACTTCATGTCTTTGATGCAACAATATTGGCCCATTATATTGATCAACTTTTACCTTCACCACTTTTACTGTAGCCGTAAGGCGATTCTCCATTACGCCCGCTCCGCCCGCGCGGGCGAAGCGGAGGGTAATGGAGAATCGCCTTAGGGCATACGAGTCGGGAGGGGGGAGTTACAGGCAAGATGAAATTACCACGTATGGAATGTTTCTGTATGAGAGCATGCGTCGTAACGACGACTTTTGCATATTATAAAGTGATTCGCAAAGGGCACAACCCTCATAAAGACTCTTTACCACCGACCTATCAAATATTACCTATCACGCTCAGCTGGTTCGTGTGATTGAGATCTGAAAATGTCAAAAACTGTATTTCTCATGGCCTGCATCATCGCTGCTTTTGCTCATACAAGGTAAAATTTAAGTGGAACATATGATATTAGTTATCCCCATTAGTTATCGGGATAAACTTAAGCGCATTTGTTTCGTCAGCACTAACAAATTCTACATTCCTTATTAACAGTGATTTCTGGTTTCCACAAACCCCGTTTAACTGATCGCTAAAAGAGTTTTACTGTTACTGACATCGCTGCGGCCCTTTTAAGTTTTAAATCACGACAAATAATGAGATTACAGCCACGCGTGGAACTAAATATTTCACTTTCATTTTATATTTCGGATTGAAATATAAAATTATATTTCGAGTTTCACCATTAACAATCAATAAATATATAACAAATAGAAATAGCAGCTTGCAATTAAATATTGAAATCTACTAAGAAGGTAAAGGTCCTTATCTGAAGGGGCAGACTTTTTGTGAATGTTTGCCTTACTTGTGCAGATAAAATTGCGCCGAGCAAAATGTTATTGGCAACGTTGCAAAAAATAATTATTTTTCTTTAGATTTTAAAAACAAATGTCAATACTATTTCGACCTAACGTAAATACTCATTAATTTTTCAATTAAGAAACAAAGGATTGTGAAAATAGCTGCTGCATGTGCCGAGATGAATAGTGTGAGTGTTGAAAACTAAAATAATTAAAACTTATAGGATGGTTCTACTATAGGGGGTATTCTGATTTCATTGTGAGTATCGAATATCCTTATTAAATGATTAAAACAAATTTAACTAATAGAGCCACAATCAGTTTTCAAGTTCGTATAGTTTTACTGCAACGCTAAATAGGCACTGTTCAAGCCGTTTCATACAGAAGTTTACCCAAGGAACACAACCCGCACTTCGCTTCACAGATGGAATTACCCTCATTCGTGTTGAGCAGCATATGGTCTAAATCAAAATAAGTGTCTATAGGGTCAACAGTATGCCTTGAGTGGCTCAGTCCAATTGTGCCGACTGTGGTCTTGAAATTTAAAGCTTTTAAAGGCTAATCACAGCTTCTTTTAAAGTGCCCATGTCATAAAATTGGAATTTAGATTTTTAGAATCTTTGTTTGAAATGAGTTAGTAAGTTCTAAATCAAAACTGAAATTGGATTTTTATTTTTCGAGTTATTGCCATCTAAACATTGATTTTGGTGGAATGAAAACTCTGAAAACCGCGCAAATGAGACTGGTGCGAAACAAGGTGTTTGACGTCACAATAGGAACTCGTTCGACGCGACAATTTAGTAACTCTATTGCATAGAGTAATAAGTAGAGGCTAACTGCGCAAAAAAGTGGTTGTTCTTACTTAACAGACAATTCTGTATAAAGTGACTCATATATTATCAAAATGTGTTGTGAAATGGCTTTAATAATTGTACGTTCCTAGCAACAGTCGTGCAATAATTGCAAATACGCCATGAGTCATGGCCAATTGAGTCACTGTGTTGTAAACACGTTAGGCAGTGTTTAAGTTAACAGATAAAGGATTTACCGAAGTAAATAACGTCTCAAAAGATGCGAGTGCGCACATTTTAGTAAAGACAGCTAAAGAATGTTGGTAAAAAAGATGCCATAATAAAAGCGAAATGTACTGGGTTATATTTATATACACATGATTTGATATGTTTCTTTTGCGCGAGACGTGTTAGATTTCTCAGTTAATATTGATAACTCTAAGTCTCTCATTGAACTATTTTTTTTGAAAGGGCATGGGAACTCCACTCATACTCTAGCTCAGTTGATTTGTAATGAAAATAAACCAGAGAATCACACAGGCATGCGTGATTTAACTACACATAAACACATTGTAGAAATACCGGCACTCATGAGCCACAGGAAAACCTCAATCATAATGCTATTAATATAACATTTATATAGGGCAGTAAAATGTATTAGGGGTCCGCGTCCGCCTTTTATCTACACCCGGGTGAACTGTATGTGCGCAATTACGAATGACGATCAACTAGGACGAAACTTTAGAATTAAGTTACCGTAAATGATCCAATAAACGCCCCCTATCAAATAAACGCCTCGTATCAAATAAACGCCCCCCTTGAAGTGTAAGTTTGTATTAGACGCCTCTCTCTAATAAACGCCCCAAGTCTAATAGACCCTCCCCCCAAATCGCCTTAAGGCTTAAAGCAATTATAAAGGAAACGCTACACACAGTAACATTAAAGAATTTATTTATTTAGTGACATGTGCGGTTGTCGTGTTTAAGAGTGGTTTGCTTATAATCTCTTGTTCGATTTCAAGCTCAAAGTACGGATATCGCTCCTTAATTCTTTTGATTTCTGTATTCATTACGTCGGCAACTTTCTTCGGTTTGTTCTAGCTTGAAAACATCCAGGAACAACAAGACCCCTTCCGTTTTCGGCTCAGAAACTATATAAAGTCTTATTACGCGAGCACTGCGCGTCTTAGTTTTGTTTTGTTTTGTTTCAGTAAAGTGATAGAAATGAAATAAACGCCTCTCTCTATTAAACGCCTCGTATCTATTAAACGCCTCCCTTAGAACTGGTAAAATTTATTAAACGCCCCGGGCGTTTATTAGATCATTTACGGTAAGTACAATTGCCAGATTACTACCATAGAATCTATTTGTAATTAAATACTGTATATCTAGCGTAATGATATTATGTTCTGGGGTCACGGAAAGCAAGTCGCGCAATCAAGATAATAAGAAAACATTTGCTATTTACTGACGCCTACGATCAAGTCTTCGTTGTAGTTTCGATGCCATGATCGTTGCACGATTGCTCCATTTCGCGATAGCTTTTCAGCTTATCATCGGCATCTGGTTCGTTAATGTATGGTCCGAAGTGTTCTTACTGCCTGACAAGGCTGAGCCGCGTTCATGGTCTTAACTTTTGTTTTTTCTTGGCATTGCATTGGCAGGAAAACATTCTGATCGGTGTCATTCCTTTGGTATATTCTCAATAGCTAAACTTGATGAAGACATATTTCTGCCAAGTTTAATAACCGAATTTAGCTGGCATAAAATCGCTGCTCTTGTACTACATACTATTATTTATCTAAAGGCGCAATATGCGAGTTCCTATTGTGACGTGTTAGTTACCAGTTTCCGACTGTCGCGGATTTCAAAAACTTTTGCCGTTAAAATTTGAAATTTTCAAACTTTATCGCTTTATTTCTCCGCGAAAACAAACTCAATTTCAAATGTGATTACTATTTTCGTAATCTACGTTTCACGGCGATTCTAATGAGATAAATTCCAATTTTATGACATGGGCACTTTAATTTCCTGGGGCCGGTAGTACGAAGGCTGAATAGCGCTATCCTCCAACTAGTGATTTTTTAAGCCGTTTTAAAAATGCTCGAAAAGCAATAAAATTTCAGCTTTCGAATCAACAATTATAACAGAGTATCCTCAATTTAGGAATACTAAGACTTAATCAAAGTTATACCAAAGTAACCAAACAACGGGCGATTTTGAAGGGATTGAAAAAAACACTATCTGGTGGATAGCGCTATCCGGCTTTCATACAACCAGCCCTTAGTAGAACAAGACGCGTACGTACGTACGGACGGGATACTGATTATTGGGGATATACTGATATACATGTAACAAAAGTGATGTTCGTTTTCGTTTGTACACGCAGACGGAAACCTCTCACTATCATTTTCACATGGAAAATCTTAAATTTTTGCCCACCCCAACCTCACATGTTACTTGTTAGTTAAATCGTTTAAAAACATGAACGTTATCGTGCATAGGGATGCGTTAAGGGTAGACATGTTCGAATTTCCTAATTTTAGTAATTTAATCTCCTATTCGCTTATTCACCGGGATTTCACCCTAATCGCTTTTCCAATTTTGTCCCAGTTTGATTTTGGGTAAATGTTATAGAGCGCAGAGATATATTTTTGTGGGATCTCATCAGAGCTCATATTGCAATCCATTTTATTATATGAACATGAGTGTTATATAGAGTTTTACGCCACCGAGAAAAATCGTATTTAAACACACGTAAAAATACGATACATTTTCGCAAGCCAATCAAAAACCGCGTAGGAAATATGTTTAACCAATCAAAAAATCTGTTGAAAACCTTCCAGTTTTTTAATTTGTTGCTATAATTGCTTCATATAACAAACAGAATATTACATGGGTGTTTGGAAATATGGATTTAATTATTTCTCGTGTTGAAGAGAATATTAACGAGAGAAATAAATTCCATATTCTCTCTCTATATATACCATATTCGATATATTCGAGCATAACGATATTCTTGTGTTTTAGTTGCAGTGAAGTCCTTTCTGAAAATGATTCTCAAACGGGAGGAAATGAATGTAAGGGCTAACCTTGATTGAGTTATTCCGCAATACCGTATGATGTGAGCGTCCTAAATCCCAGTCTTGATGTGAACAATGCAAGAGCTACAGGCAACCCATACGGCATTTCAAACTCCTGGCCTGCTGGGCAATCATTGATTTTTAAAAATTCATTACTCAGTACATGTCATTTCAGATCACATCACACTTGATTCTGGAGAGCGTTTGGCCTACGTTAGCAATCCTATGATTGTATACAAACCAGTGTATTTTAGCCAGGTACACAGTTTGGGGACCACTCCTCTTCGGATTAAAAAGTTGCTATTTGGTTATTCTTGGTGGCTCACCCTAAAAAGTATTGGATCAAAACCACAGTGTCTGCACATTGGAAAAAATTCGCAACTATTCATGGGGGATTGCGAAAGAGAAGAATTCGAAGCAGTTAACTTTCTGTATAATCCAACCGAGCAGAAGATCTTCAGCATGGTCGATGACAAAGAATGTCTGGTGAAAGGCGCAAATGGGGAGGCAAAGCTTTCAGAGAATTGTGACATCAATTATTCTTTAATTAATGCTGCTTAAAACGTGAGTCCTTCTGTTCTGTTTTCGCTTTATATATACGTGCAAAAGAAGAAAAGCTAATGACGTATCTATTACACTTTTTAGGTGTGATTTTGACAGTTAAGTTTTCTTTTGGTCTTACTATAGTGACATGTAATAGAAGTAAAAATAAATATTCTTTCCTCTTGGATTTTGGTTTCAAGATGTCGTTACTCGTTGTTATTTACTTATTTGAATTTTTATGAACTTCGTGATAAAACGATAATTCTTTCGAGGATGTCACATTCACCTACACCCTGGCCCCCTGGTCACCATGCCAAGGATTGCAGGTTGGATCCATTTAGTAGGGATTTCTCTATGTGACTATTGTCAACCTATGTAATCTAATGTTTGGAGCATAAATGATGAAGTAATTTATTAAAATTTGCTGTTACCTTGTCGGTGTGGACTTTCCATTGTCTGCGAGTTAATGGTTCCATAATATGATTCTGTTTTTCGGTCTTCCTTAAACTTCCTTGTAAGTTGGTTAACAGCACCGCTGTGAGAATAAGAGGTTTCTTTGTGTGCAGCTCTTCTAATTTGCTTGCATCTGTGTTCCCTGTCAAAAAAACTGGAAGTTTTACTGGCCGGCTTTAGTTATGCGTGGGGATGAATTCTTGTGCGTCAGCATGAGTGTTACTGGAACAGCATGAGTGTTTTCTGCAGTGTCAGCAGTGACACTCACGGTACTTCTTTTCAATTTGGTTGTGTCACTTGTGTGTTGTGTCAGCGCTAGCAAACCTCGGTTCCCCTGTTTTAAAGATTGTTCTGGGTTATGGCAGAACCGGGCTGCATGAACACTGATATCATGCAGCATTCCTACCCCATGGGTATTCTAGTCTCTAGATATATTAGACCAGTTAGCTCCAGTTATGTCAACCTCGTACTTTAGTAGAGTAAAGACCCTGGGTACGAGGTTGCAGTTATGTATATGTATGTATGTTGTTTGTTGTTGCAAATTTATGGATCACATGACATATTTATGTATTTATGCGTCGGATAGAAGTTCGTTGGAAGGCATTTAACTAAATACAAGCAAGGAGTTTTGGAGAATAGTCGAAAAAATGAGCTGGTAACTGTTTAGAGTTTATAAAACTTGGAATATATATGCTGATGGGGGAATTTTTGCAGTGTTAACACTTAACAGTAACAAAAAAATTGGAGAGGCAATTGGAGAATATTTATTTGTAACGATTCTTCTTGGGAGAATGTTGCAATAGGTTCTTATTACATCACCATAAAATATAGCTTATGCAAAACTAAATAATATTACTTTTAATTAGCACAATCCACGGTGAAATAAATGCTATAAACTAAAGTTTTGAAGGTGTAAATGCGGACCGTAAGGTTCATATTTAAAACGAAGTCAACAAACATGTCAAAACTCAATGAACCGTACTGTTTAACAGTGTTTATACAATTTGGGTTTGTAGTTGGCAAAAAGATTCTAAAACGGCTGTTCACAATTCAGTAGGATCATACCAAATCTGCATGACATTCAGTGAGTCAGTCCATCCAGTGATCCGCAGATCCAGTGATTCACAGACAGTTAGTGTTCAGTGACAGTCGAAATCCCCATCAGAAAGAATTTTCTACTTCATTGTTCACTGACAGTGGATCACAGAGCATCATTGATGGTTGCATATGATAAAAATCAGGCTTAAATGAGAGCTGGCTGCTTCTAGCTTCTAGTAGGACAATGAAAGCAAGACATGGTTGAGAGGAAAATTTTGGCAGGCCACCTCTTCCTCAGTCCTAAATGCATAAGGAAACCCTTTTCTAACCCATCTTACACATCTATCTTACTTTATTACAAAATAGATAAAACTAACCGGAATAGAATTTTTTACAGTATGAAATTATCTTGTTTTAGTGCCCCTGCCGGTGATGACCCTGATGCTAATGTGGAATGTAAGAATAAATTTCCTCATTCAAATTTCAAGATTTGTTAAATTAGTTTAGCAGATGTATGTGAGTAATGGTGATATAAATAGGAAACATTTGGATTCAGATTTGTCAGGATTTACCTGAAGAACTTTCAATTTATTTAAGCTAATTTAAATTTCAATATTTTGGAGGTTGGTGGCAAGAGTAATAATGTCAACAAGCAAATAAAAAATAACCTATTATGCCCATATCTACGTGCCCATGGGAATACATGATTAAATTTTCCGCATTTAAATTTTGTTCAAAAAAATTAGAATTTCTAAGTTTTGACTAAACTGTAGTAATTTTCATTTGTTTTCCTTGTGTTGATGACTATAGTTTACTCAAAACATGGAAATTAATTGTACTATGGAAACTATTGTTCTATATTTTATTAAAATATAAACTAATAATAAATTATCTAAAAGATTTTTTCCCTATGTCACTTAGATTATGTATCATTACTTGACTCAGGAAAACAATTGGCCTATAATGGAAATGTTGAGGTCTACAAGCCAGTAAAGTTTTTGAAACCTCCACCTGGTGATGGAGAGATACTACTTCGGGTTACACGAAAACGATGGGAGTCAAATTGGTGGCTCATCCCAATTAAAGTTGACTCAGAGGTACAGAGTCTTCACATTGGTGCAGATTCACAGCTATTTATGGGTGATGCTGTACTGGAAAAATTTGAGGCGGTCATTCTTTTGTTTGATCCAAACAGTCAGAGAATTTTTAGTATGATGAACCCTAACCAGAGTCTGGTGATTGGAGCCAGTGGAGAAGCAAAGATGATGGAAAATGGTGACAGCAAGTATTCCCTTGATGCTGCAAAGTAGTGAATAATTAAAACTCTAGAATTTTGGATTTTCGTACGTAGTTATTAGATGTCATTGTAATAAAAGTAGTGAATTTAGTCAATAAAGTAAAAAAAAGGTTAGTCGATTCACATTAATACAGAATGTTTTGTCAAGGAAATTTTTAACCAGTCTTCAAATGCATCACTTATCACACTTGCTGCGCTTGTTTCCTTTGTTACACCCACTCTTGAAATGCATCACGTCCCACATTTTCTGGGCTTGTTTTCTATGTTACACCCCCTTCTTCAAATGCATCATTTATCACACTTGCTGCGCTTGTTTCCTTTGTTACACCCCCTCTTCAAATGCATCACTTCCCACATTTTCTGCGCTTGTTTTCTATGTTACACTCCCTTCTTCAAATGCATCATTTATCACACTTGCTGCGCTTGCTACTTGCCACGCTTGTTTCACTTGCTTTGTTTGCTGGTTTGCTCCACTTGTGTTACTTGCTACGCGTGTTTCACTGCACTTGTTCCACCTGCCACACTTAGTCACTTGCGCCATTTGGTTCGCTGCCACACTTGTTTCGCTTGCTATATTTGCTACACTTGCGTCATTTCCTAATGTACACTTACCTCACTTGTTACAGTGCATAGCTTCAGTCGCCTGTTACACATGCTAAACTCTCTCCAAGCCTTTGATACTTATAAAACACATAATGTGCAAATAGTGGAAAACGGGCTTTAGTGGAAATGCTTTCCATTCCAAATTTTCAATTGTGGGATATTGGGCTGACGCAATCGACCATCGTATGAACTCGTTTTGTAGAGTATAAATATAAATCACACTAGTGATGTCCTTGCAGGTTTGGCTGTCAAACCGTCCCTATACATATTTTTAGCTGCCCTTTTTATTAAGAATGCAAATGAACTTAAAGAAAGACTTTAGCTAATTACATGTTCGGGACATGAAAAGTTCGACGTCTGATGGTCTGAAACAGGCCTAAAAGTACAAACTGTATGACGCCACTTGCAAAAGCTCCCAGCTGCCTATAGGCAGACAGTCATCTAAAGATGACAATATGCAAAGTATGCATGCAGTCATGCACACATTTTGAATTGACTGCATGGCTTCTTAAAATATTTTTTGTACTGACCAAAGTCAAGAAAGACTTTTGCCGCACAGTATTAGTTCACACAAACGAACTAATGCTAGTTTTCGGCCTTTCTTTATCAATAAGGTAGATAAATTCCAGAAAGGAACGAACACTAACACTTGCTCTCAAATGCATGGCAAAATTTTCCCCAATCAACACTACAGCATATAACAACTTGACAACTTTTACTCTTTGACTTTGTTTTAAATATTGGTCATGTTCGGGCTTGTGCGTTTTAAAGTAGCTTGATGCTATACGCATGCCAAAATTAAAGTTTCTAAACACTTTTCCATCCGTTTTAATTGACATAGCAGCATAATTTTTTCCCTACCCGTTTGCATTTAAATTGACGTTTTCCAGAAACGAACGTCGTATTCATTCTGTTGCTGATTGGGGAAACATTCGTGTCACTGGAAGGCTGAAAATGACGAAAACCTTATTCATCTTAAGCTGCTTTCTTGTTGCTTTTGCACATGCAAGGTAAGAGCTACACTGCTGCAGTCCAAAATATATTGTTATCAGGTTCTTCTAATGTTTTTAACTTATTCTGATATTAAAACGATCTTGTTGCAAGTGGATTATATCTTGATACGTATTTACTCACTACAATCTACGCTTGAAGTCCATTGTAGTGAGTCAACTGCAGGATCAGTTGACCACGCTGCAGATCAGTTGACCAGCTGAAAGGGCCCCAAAGCCGCATAGCCACAAAGTAAAATAACGTCACTCCAAAAAGCGAGGCCCCATAAATAAAAATGCCTTTAAAGCTTATATTAAGCTATCGGAGCAAAATAAATAACGCGAGGCCTTAGAAATCAAAAGGCGTGGCCCAATAAGACACCACTGCAACCAGATAAAGCTTCTCCCAAGAAAATTGTAGGGTGATGGGAACATTTAGAAATTGAAGACTTGAAGTAAAGGCAGGGCTGCCGAGAGGTGCCCCAGGTTTGCAAGGGCCCCCAAAAAGCTACTACTGTTGGAAGCATATATAGCCCTCTCTCAGAAAACGTTATTAACGTTTTAGGTTATTTTAGGTAATGCAATATATATTCGATGTTGCAGAAATCTCACCTCCAAAACGCAGGAAATCGCATTTGCTGCACTCCACCCCTTACCCCAAAATTTACCTTTCTTACACCTCTCACAGTTCTGGCCATGCATTACGGTAGTACAAATTCACATGAGCTTACAATGGCTGCGGATTTTATCCCCTAACGAGAATTTTAACCTCGGCCTCAAAAATTACCTGGGCGGCCCTGAGTAAAGGCTTTGATTCTTTACGCAATTCAGGGGCCTGCGAGCGGTTAATCCAGGCCCGCAGTTTGGGTGTAGGGATCGGAGCAGATCTCTAAAAACCACAAGGTCACAAAGAAGTTAAAAAAGCGAGGTCTCAAAAATACAACGCCTAAATCAACAGTTAAATACGTGTGAATATATATTTTGACATTCCTATTCTGAATTCGGGTTTCTTTTGGGAGGGGGGGGGCTCACGTTGAAGTGCTCTAACAGAGCTATCTGGTATGTAATTAACCCTGTAATTAATCCAGCATATAATTATTATTCTTCTTTGTTAGATACCCAGGCAGGCTGGAGAATGTTCTTTTGGGTAATGATGAACATACAGATTGTCGGAGAGGGGAAAGTTCTAATCCGAAAAAATGTATGCAAAAAAATGTTTTTCGTCTTATGATATGGTCATTATAATAGTATAATAAGGAAAATACTATAAGCGACTCAGGGCAGGAATAAAAGTAATTTATTTCTACTAACCAATTTTCTAGATTATGTGTCATTGGTGATGGTCCCTTTCGGAAGACGTCTGGCCTATACTCAGAAACCCGGGATAAGAAAACTGTTCTTTTCACCGAAGAATGCCATGGGGAATACTCCACTTCCATTTGAAATTCTTTTGTGTTCTAAGTATTCCATTGCACCTTCACCAAATTTCACAAAGCCACAGCAGTTGTACGCGGATAAGGATTTACAACTATACATGGCAGACTACGATTTGGTCATGCCTATGAAATATTCTCGTGTCCAGTTGCATTTCCGTTCAAACAAGGTTTATACTAGACTCAAGGATCATATCGGTATGCTGTGCTTGAAACCCGGAGAGGAAGGTGCGATGCTTTCAAGCGATTGTGGTTCCTACTACAATTTGGTCCCAGTAAAGAAGTAAGTCTTTCTTTCAATCTCGTTTCCAGAGCCTGCGATTTCCTTTTTAGTTTTAAATATATCAAACTCCATTGTCTCAATTGAAATTTTCTTTTAGGCCTCCGAGAATTAACAGGCGTTTTTACTGAGTTTATCCCAACTATAATGACTCTTTTTTTATTCATAAATTATCTTTGATTCATTTAGGAGCAAGCTGATTGATTTTAAATGAAGACTTCTCAGCCAGAATTTTTGCATGTTATGTATAGAGAGATAGTGATAACTGTAGCGTATAAAGCAACGTTCAACTGTGTAAAAGCAATAACGAATAAATACTCAGTATTTGCATGTGCTGCAAGCACTTGATTGTCTTATTCTATTCATCAGTGAGACAAGGGCGTAGGAAGCATCCAAAGGTTAGGGGGGCACCAGCTTCTAGAGGCACTTTTGGTTAATAAAAATGGCCGTTAAAATGGGTAATAAAAATATATATATAGGGAAGGTTTGATTCAGGGACTGCCGACCGCAGAACATTTTTTGTATTTCTTGGGCTTCGTACTGCTAGAGGGGTCCGGGGGCATGCTCCCCCGAGAAAATTTTGAGATATAGGCCTCTAAAATGGCCGCAAATCCCTCTCAATTTAAGGATTATTGGGAAATAGTAGATACTTTTTTGTTGCTTTTCGCTTCCAAAAAGGGCACTTTTGGTCCCTTGAAAAATCTTGGGGGGCACGTGCCCCCAGTGCCCCCCCCCCTTCCTACGCCACTGCAGTGAGAGATAAGGCCATGTTACACGGTGCAATTTTTCTTGCAACTTGCAATGCAATTCTACTTTTGCGAGATGTAAATTTGGCAACTACGAAACTTTTATGTTCATTACAATCCATGCACGTTTGAGATTCGATCGTATACTCATCTCATTTTATCATATTGTCGTAAATATACTCGACATATATATTATCGTAAAACTTGTCAAGGAAAACTTGTCAAGAAAAACTTGTTCGTCATACACACGAGCAAGTGAACTGGTCAAGAAAACTTGCCAAGGAAAACTTGCCCATCTGTACGGGGGGCCTAACAGAACTAGAAATTGTTATGTTCATGCATAAAACATTCTTAATAGTGATTCGAGTAGTGGTCAACTATCAGTTGCCGTTTGAAAATGATCAAGGATGCCGGTCTAATTTAAACCTGCATTTTCATACATCACACAGCAGAATTTTTTTAAGAACGGTAGCTGTAACTGCTGTATTTACACGCCAAGTTATATTGGACCAACAATATTACTTTGTCTACCGCAATGGTGGGACTCCTGTTTCTTAAGGGAGTGTACTGTAAACTAGGCTCAAATCAAAGCTCAAAGGCTTTTTATTTTACAACTGAATAAGTATATTTTCTAACTCATTTGCTTATATAATGTTAGTATAATAGTTGTTCCTTTAGAATACACTCCTGTTCCATCACGTACAAACAAGATACTGTGTTCTAAAACTTGAGAGCCTGGCCTAGTTTACAAGATTAAATGATTAAGAGGGGTTTCTTTTTCGATGTAGTTAACTAAAGTATCGACCCACTGGTTTAAAATTTAAAAATTTATAATTCAGTTATATCTATACACGTTCAAAAATTCACTTCGCGACGCCTGATTCTATTCAATCTGACGACTTTACCGGAGTAAATTGAATATTGAATGAGGACTTCTGAGAGTCGTATTGTAATATGTAATTCACTCAAGTATTGAATAAAAAAGAATACTCATAAATGCCTGACCAGATACACATGTTTAAAATGCAATCTTGTCTAAAACTAAAGATCGCTAAATTGTTCTCAAGGACCCGGGTGGAGGAAAACCTGGGTACGAGGTTAGTAAACAAGATGAAACACAGAATTGATATAACGCATTGCGTATGTCCCCGTCATCAAACATTGCGTTTTTTCAAATGTTCTTAATCAGAACCTCAATCACATGACGAAATGCTACCAGAGAAGGTTTAGGTAACCTCGTATCCGGCCTAAAATGGGACGATTTTGTTTCACTAGTTCACTTAACGGTTCCAAAAGAAACACAAAAAGAATACCACCATTCATAGAAGAAGTGAAGCATTTATTTACCACTGCACATCAATTACCAAATGTTTAAGATCTAAGTTTGCTTCTTTCGGGTACGTCTTTTCTGAACAGCAGCAGTGGGTCTCTGGCTTCTGATGATTGCAGATGCCCGACGCACAGCAGCATCTTCCAAATCACCACGATAGTGACTCTTACTGCAAGCATTTCTCAGGCTCTTCAATGTAGCTCGGCTATTTGTACTCAGTTTTGTTGAAACTAAGTTAGAGCATGGCTTATTGTGACCTGGAAGAAGTACAAATCACAAAATCAATTTGCAATTTACCTTGCATCACTTGCAAGTTGTGCAGAACAATCCATGAAAAAACCCTGGAATATTACAGAGAAATTTTGTTTGCAAACAAGCACCAGGTTTGCAAACACAAGTCTTAGGATGATTGCGTGTGGGGCTATTTGTGAGGAACAAGATTAATAAAATCTCTTTGAGAACATTTCAATAACACAAAGAGGATTTGCTAATCTGGAAATTACTGCTCTCATTTATACACACTTAAAAATTCTCCTCCCCCCCCAGCAGCTCATTGTGCTGAGGTTTTCCCAGGGGCATATTCCCACTCCAACCAACATTCTACCATCAAAGCTAATAATGGAGTTAGCAAAAGATATATATTACAAAGCATTACTTGTACAAGCCAGGGGACTTGGACCTTGTAGGCCCATAATCCATGCAAGAAGAATTTCTGCCTTTATGGCTCTTCCTTATACATACCTCGCTTTTTCTTGGTAACTAGCAAGACACCTTTCCCATCTGGACTGGGCTTGACACCAACCACCTTTATGAAATACCAAACAGAGAAATAAACTTGCTATTGCAAGGGTAATGTCACGGAATAAAAATATAACCCAAATAGCAGGTCTCTTAAATCTTGTCATGATCAATTTTAACTTGTTTTCGATCTGCTGATTAGAGAACCATAATAATATTTGGCTATATAGAAAAAATACCTTCTTGTTCACAAGACCATTGTACTTAAATGCATTTTTCCCAGTGAGATTGTTGGGTTCCTGTGAAAGAATAACTGGTGAATTCAGTAAAGTAATCATGGCCAAATGAATATGTTTTGGTTGGAGACTGGAGCCTATCTTTGTTTTATGAAGTGAAAAGAAGTAATTTAATGTGGAAAACATACAGGAAAATAATTTGTTGGTGGAATACACAAAGCTGATAAGTGGTTAAACAAATTCAATAGAAGTTGGATTTGAAGAAAACTAGAACTGTTTCACTCTAAACACACCTTGGTAAAAGTGTTACCAAGACTCTTCACTAGGAAAGAGGAATTGTTCCTTATTATAGACCACTGCAAACTTGCCGACATCCTGATACCTGAAAATTGATATAAAGTCAAGTTAGGGGAATTGTAACAATAATTTAAAGCTTATACACAACCATGTTTGGCATGTTCTGACAGATGCAACATTTTCTAACTATATTGCACATCTTCAGGGTCCACATTGCCGTATATTCAGTTTAACAAGATTAAAGATTAAAGATACCATATTCAATTATATTCAACCTTACCAGAGTTAAATACACCATATTCTGGTATATTCAACCTTACAAAAGTATATGTACCTAATATAAAGGTACGCTTTTAGTTGCATTGAAAGCATTTTTAGTACCATTAAAACACTATTTAGTGGATAACTTCATCCACTTTCAAACAATCGGCATTAGAGTATAAAATTGATGATTTCCTTAACCTCTACATTTACACCAAATACAGTGAGTAAAGGCCCCATATCTTTGAACAGTAAATATTAGGAAAAACCATATTTATATTATAAACTAGCTCTAAATGTATCAATTGTAGGAACACATACTTTTGAATAAAAAAACTACGATATCTTGCCAACTAATTACAAAATTTCAACAAATACTGAATGAATGAAACAAATACTGGATTTTAGTAAGCTGGGCGATGGATATTGTGGGTTAGATCTAACAAATAATTGCAATATTACCACGAAATAAAATTCTACCTCTTTCAGTTGGCAAAACACGAGTAAAGAGAAAGAGAGAAGTATTGCGCATGTGTAATATGACGTCACATTGTAATGCGTACGATTAGCAACTTTACATGAAGTATACGAGAAACCACATTGACAGCCTCGTCCCCAGACTCCAACTTAATATAACGCCCTGTGTGGGTGTGCGTGAAATCGTGGGGTTACGTTTTGATTCCGACGTTAATGGAAAGGTTCCGGCTTTTTTAAGATTCTAGACTTGAAAGAATTCGGCTTTTAAAGAATCTCTGTTTTATGCTTTGAAGGCAGCCGCGGTTTGTAAGGTGCAGCCACTTGCAAGCACTTGGAGCACATCCTGTTTTCATAAACAGGGAACAAACTGCAAGCGTCTTGATGGAGTTGGACTGCCGATTAAGTCATAGTTTAGCTTTTAATTTCCATTTGCTCGTAACCTGTTGCCACCATGGCAAATTATGCGTGCAAATCAATCTGTAAAATGATCACATGATACATTGATACTCTCGTATCCGTCACTTGTCTTGAGGAGAAAATATTGCATATTGGCACAAGTTCACAATAAATATCACAAGGTTTTATAAGGTCAAATGTAATTAATGCATTCATAGGCCAGCTTGCAACCGAAGTTTACTTTCCTTTGATATATGATAGGTACTATGAATGATAAGATTAATCTCTACACACACATGTGGGTTGTTCGTGCTAAATCTTGTTTTTGAAGAAGCTTATTGAAAAAATCTGCTTTAATTAACAACAGAGGTCGAAGCGTTTCATATTGCTTTTGCTGACACCACAAAGGACAGAAATGAGGCCTCCAGGTCGTAAGTTGAGTCAAAGAGGCATTTAAAGCTTTCTACGGAGTGTAAACAAGAAACAGACAGAGATGGAATCAGCGTCAGAGCTAAGCGACAGAGCTATTTTAAAAGCGAGCTTTGGCAAGAATGAATTTTCCTTTATGATCGAAGTTGGCAAAGGCGAGTTTACCCTATCTGATCAGTGCTTGTATTATTGTATGAAATGCATAGAACAAAGCACTGAGAACATACTTGGATATAACATTGATTTCGAGTTCAAAACTAATCGTGTTGTGCAAGAGATATATGTTGAAAGGGCGATAAAAATATGCAGAGTTTGTGAAGTATTTCAAATAATGAATCCTGGATTATTTGACCACTTACAAGACAAGTTACAAGTTGGGTTACGGACCAAAACTTCCGTTTGCCATGCTCTTGGCAGCATACAGACTTTAATCTTTCAAGATAATATTACATGGTCTAAAATTATTGCGCTATTTGCGTTCACTGGAGCCCTGGTTGTCGAGTGTATCTTACAAGGAAATTGCGCATACGTTGTAAATATAATGTATTCTGTGAAACAGTTTATGGAGAATGAGCTAGTTGAATGGATATCAAACAACAATGGATGGGTAAGCGTGTTGAATTTTGTCTAGTCATTCCTAGACTGACAAACAACTATAATGCTACTAGTTGAAAATGGGAAATTATATTTTTTAAAAATATTGAGTTACATATAAAGGCGAGAGTTTCTTTGAGAGGGTCTTTATGGCGACGGGGGGCAGTTCGTTATTAAACATCGGCATTTGCTTGAGCAGCGCAATAATTTGATGAAAGTCATTAACACCTACCATGCAGTAGACAAAATAGGCCCGAAAATTGTAGAGCGTGAACGTATCTTGATTTAACTTGCACATTTTCAAGCTTGTCGTGAGTAAGGAAGTTTACAGTTGCAATATTGTATCATCAGTCGGTTGTGCCGAGTTGGCCGCCAAGATACGAGGTAGTCGTGCGGTTTAGACAACTTAAGCTTCAAGATTAGCACAATATTCTGACGGAAAATCCCCAGAACTGGAACGAAGTTCAACCCTAACTCTCATTGTGGATGTTTTGCAACACAGTCTCTAGCCAATACAGAAGCGTCCCCTCTTGGCTTCGCATCGCTGCGGCGTCACTGGTTACAGCCCTCGTCTTGTCTGCACTAGTTATGATAGACGTTTTAAGTGTTCAACACGTGTAGTAAATTGAATGAATTATAGTAATTGTAAAATGAATTATTTTAATTTTAGGAAGCTATGTTACGGCAGTTCGAATCTTTGGATGTCACTCCTCCAAAAGAAGATACAAGCGGTTTACTTCATAGAATTAAAACATGTTTTCGACAAAATATCATTGAAGCAACACAGCGTATGGTTTGGTCACTACAAGACGCCATAATGGATGCCAGTGTTACCAATGGCCCTGGAGAAAGCAACAAGATGAACAAGAAAAGATTCCAAACGAAATTTTAGCTTTAAATGTGTTTAATTTAGCTTAAAAACCGCTGAAGAAAGATGAACCAATCAAATGCGATAACTGTATCAGATTAACCAATCACGACCCCGCAATAGGTCAACGAATGGTAGTGGTTGATCCTGGTAGATGTCGAGTATGGAACTTGCGAACGCCAAGACCTACGCCGGTTCAATTTAGCACTGGGAAATCTTCGTTAAACGATGCACCATGCAAACACCATTAAAAATTTCGTATCATACTTCCCCGCACTTACATGAAACTGACCAGATTTGGATCATGAATTGCTATTTTCCTGAACTACTGTTCCTTTAACGCAAACTCGATAATTTTTCAATTACTAGCAAAATTGCAAAGCGGAGGATACACATAATGATTGCAACAATATTGTGCTAATAAAATATAAAAATCTATGTGATTCAAACTATATAATAAACACCTTGAATTTATTGACATTCTGGGGCTCTAAAAAGCATTCATTTACAATTCAACGTTGGGCATCCTAAGAAAAACTTAGAACTGCCCATTTTATAGCTGTTTATTGTGTTATATGAGCTACTCCAAATGGGAATTTCAGGTTTCTGAGAACATTTTTAGAGAAACATTTTTGGTGTAAAATAAAGATTTCAACGGTACATTTTGAGAAATCACAATTAATTTGAGCTCTTCATGGATGTTTCCTATTAGAAACTATCTTGGGAATTCAACATTTTCTATCCAAAACCCAATTTTTAGAACTGCCCATTTTAGGTTTTAGAACAACCCATTCTCCAATAAGAACTGCCCGCTTTCGAAAATGGGATGCCTTAACATGACCCTTGCATCCGACCTGTTTTTAGACACCGTCCAGAGGGTGCAGAAGATATAAAAGATCAGAATGACATTCAGTCATTGTTCGCACATAAAATACTGTATTTAACCCGTTTGAATATTAAATATTTCCCTTTTTGTGTAGTTATAACTTACATTAACGCCCTGGTAAACAGATAGTGGATTTCAGCCATAGGAAAATAATTCCATTTTCGCAGAAATGCATGGCATTATTATTCTATTCTACATGGATATAAAATATATTTGTTGCATTTATGACATAACATTTGTGTAAGGAAATAAGGTAAAAATGTTTTTTGAAATTAATTGCCATTCCTGGATGCCAAGTGATCCTAAAAAATAGAGGTGGATAATATAATTAGAAAAGGTTGCCCTGAAAAAAACTTCAAATACTACTTCAGGATTTTTTATGACAAGCATTTTGAAATTTTGACAGCTGGGTACATTTATCCAAGAGAAATTATATCCAAATTTAACTATGATAGATATAAAATGAAAACACTAACTAAACTAAACTAAACTATACGTTTAAGGATCGGATGAGACAAACAAAGAGAAACTCTTCTCTGACGGACCTTCAATATAAAACTATAGTATAACATTTTATAAAAGCAGCACCATCTCTGGATTTCTTCCATCATGCACAAATGCACGTGTTAATTGAAAACTAACCTCAAGGTGCTTTCTTGAGATACCAAGAGTGTCTCGTGTCTCTGATACTACAATGGAAAAAGGGACAACTGAGAAATTCCGCAAGTTAACTGATGCTCAGAACAACATCATTGCTCATCGCTGCTTAAATCTAGCAAAGATAGACAGGCCTTTGTTTAATTGCCCACCGACTACGTGCTCTTGTTTTAATCGACTTTATAGTACACCCCTCATACACCCACGAACATGACCAGAGTTTTGCTGAACGTTTGCCTTATTTCCACACAACGTTGGAACTTGGAATGTGTACAAAAGACTGTGCATGGTGGATGACACTGCAACTTACATCGTGCGAAAAGAGAACGTTCAACTTCTTTCCTCATCCGACTGGATGACTGCATAAAAAGAAAAATATCAACGTAATGAAATGTGCAATGAAATTTATCGGTAACTTACATAGGACGTATCGAGAGAGGCAAAAACAATAGAAAATTTTGCCTGATAAATATTTCAGAACAACGCTTACCTCAAGACGCGTTGCTGTATTTTCCAATATTTTACTTTGACTCAGCACTCTCTTCTTTAGTAACGTGATTTCTTTACGTAATTCATCGTTCTATAACAAACAAAAACTATCACAACTGGACACGTATAATCCCTAATGGCTGTGGCTTTCAGAAGAATTAGTCTATGAAATAACATATGCAAAGCCTATTTTTCGGATCTAGTGACTATCAAAATAGATTTTTCTCATATCATATGACGCCGAGCGCAGAAAGCCTGATAGTACACGAAGTTTGATTGGCTCCGTAAAACGCACGAGCCAATCAAACATTATTTGTGTAACATCAGGCTTTTCAGGTTGACGTCATTATGAGCAAGATTTGTTGTTACGAAACGGAGGAACTCGGGAAAAGTTTTTAAACCATGTGATTTGTGGCGGGGCAAGCCCCAGCCTCGCATTCGCATAAGCTCTGCATGGTTATTAATCATCCACGCGGCACATTGTATTATATATCCAATCACTGAAGTCAAATATATTCATAGTAGAATATACTTTACACAGCACAATACCTGTTTAGTTAATTTATCAGTAGTTGAAGGACCAGAGGAGAGATGCTCGGCCCACAAGTGATCCAACAACTTGACACTCTTAAACAACAACGATCGCAAAGACTCCAAGTCTTTCTTCAACTCATCAAGCTGAAAGCATTAAAACAAACTCAAAGTTTAATTATTTGTCTCACTAATCTATCGCAGACGAAAAGTTTTTAAAAGGTGCAACTTTCCCTCCCGGCAACTGACAGAATTTCCATTATGTTGTCCAAGTTCCCATTAACTTAGTTGGAGAACAATTTTCTTACTGACTTACTTTACCACTGGAATCCACATCTTCGAGAGTTATTCTCATTATTTTCACCAACACGGTCTCAGAACTTTGGAAACTAGAGTTGATATACTGTCGTAATTCTTGAAGACTTTGAGACTCCAAAGCCAAACTTCTGTCTTTCTCAACTGGTGAACGCTGTAGAGACTTTGATCGATCTAGTACTGCAGATAACATTTCATTGTAGAGAGAATAGTTTCAATACGAAAGATTATAACAATCTTGACTTACTAGGGGAGAGCAATCATAGCAATCTTGACTTACTAGGGGAGAGCAATCATAGCAATCTTGACTTACTAGGGGAGAGCAATCATAGCAATCTTTACTTACTAGGGGATAGCAAAGGACTTGTTCTAGAAGGCGCATGTTCTGGTGATCGGACTGTTTCTCGTTGTGGCGAAGATGAGAGTTGTTTCTGTAGCATCTGTCTTAACGAGTTATTTGACTGAATACTGGTCTCTAGTTGTTCACGTAAACTACGTATTTCAGCCAACAGTAACATGATAGCGTCGTTATTATTCGAACTGGTGCTTTCTGAACCTGAAAAAAGCAAAAAATATTGGTAAGTAAATCAGAACACCGCGAGTTCGTGATTCCACTCTTGGTATTAGAGTAACTGAGTAATTTTAAGGCATTGTTCACTGCCAATCTGCGTTAAAGCAGCCTGCGAACAGGCTTTAAAGCTTGTGAAAGGCTCGCTGACACACAGGAACTCAGCACACAAAGCAAGGTAAAGTGAAAAACAGTCTTAAACAACTGATATTTATACCTTCTTCACGATCTGACTTCTGACTTAATTTAATCACGCTATCACAAATGGCAAGTTCGTTTCGTAGACTTTCATTTGCTTTGTTGCTTTCGATGAGATGACTGTTCAATAAAGTAATTTGTTCTTTATCCCTGTAATACAAATAAACATTTCAGCAATACGGCAATGTGGACGAGTGATTATAAATTATTACTATGCAGTATCAAAATTATGGACAGTATAATAAAAAGAATATCTTATATGCAATCAGCCTCATGCCTCTTCCTATACGCAAGGCACTAATGAATTGTTAACTCTAAGTAAACTAACCTTTTCCTCGTCAGCCTGTGATCTTCCAGTTGCTGTTGAATCAACTTAAATTCTTCGTTCAACTTTCTAATTTGAAGACGTAAACTTTCGTTATCTTTGACAAGAGACATGCTTTCTTTCAAGACATTTTCCTCGCCTTCCCCCTCGCCTAACTCCTTCAACTTTTCCTCCAACTGAACACAAAGATCATCGTATGTTTTAATACTCTCCTCTAGGCGAGATCGTAGCTGTCGTAGTTCCTCGAGATGATGCATGAGGGGCTCATCCGAGGAACCAGATTTTGCGAATCTTTTGTTCGCTTCCAGTTCGTATTTTAAAGCTGTGTTCAATTTCTCACTAAGGATTAGTTTTTCACGAAGAGATTGAAGTTCCAGTGATAAGTGTGTTCGACTACCACGAGGGGAATCGTTAAACAGATTCCTCGATACAGGAGAGGTTGCTGCATCTTTAGGTGAATGTTCTTGACGTTTGCTATTTGATAATGCTTCACTCAATCTATGAATGGAACAAAATATCATCAATGAACAAAAAGAAACGCATAGTATATACAGTATTGGGAAAAAGTTTTATAGGTCACACCTAAAGATCATGCACAACTTAGTGGAAATGTTAATGTTGTGTTTTATAACCTGTCAGAATTTGAGCCCGTGAGATTTATGCAAAGTATATATTGAAATAGTCTTCACATGTACACATTTTGTACTGATTTTCAAGATAATTTGGTAAATTTCGATAACATGGTAAATACCAGATATAACCTGCACATTACTGTTATATATTTCACGAATCATAAATGGCGGTAAACGATATATTTAACTACATGAAAACAAATTACAAGAACTAAAAAAATTCATAATAATATCCCTCAAAACTCGGCATTAGCTTATGGAAAATCTGTATCACTCTAATCTTCTCAAAGGCTCCTTACTTTTCATTTTCTTTCAAAGCATTTTCCAGAGATGAAAATAGCCTTTTCACTTCAGCACTTAACTTTTCATTCATACTTCTTGCACTAAGCGCTTCTTCACGAAACTTTGTCGCCTGTTCTTGTTGGCGATGCAAGTCTTTTAGCTGCGCAACATGACCTGAGTTGATTGAACGAGTTTCAGCAAGCTCGTCTGTCAAACGCGAAACTTCAATATTGCTGTCTTCAAGCTTTTTTGTATAATTTTGGAGCTCTTTCGTAAGTACACCACCCTTCTGCTCAGATGCAGCTAAACTGTTCTTTAATTTCCGATTCAAGTCAACTATTCCGATATTGTCTGAGACAGTCTTCCGTAAATCCTCATTCTTCTTGTAAACCTCCTCCAATTCCTTTTGAAGACGTTCCACTTGTTTAGACCTTTGCTCATCTGGACTCGTCGTCCCATCCACAAAATCATGTGGCGTAGTCATACTAGCTTTGTCAATGTCAAAGGAGGTCTGATGTTGTTTATTCTCATTATCTATTTCTAGTTTATATCTCAGAGTTTGAATCGTATTGTGGCTTTCAGCCAGTTCCTTTTCAAGGTGACTGACCTGCGAAGTTCTGTCTTGTAATAAGGCCTCATTCATTCTTTGCTTCTCTTCCAGATCGTTTTGTAATTTTCGAATTTGGGCTGTCTTCGGGGAGATTGAGCTTTCTCTTTTGACAGAACTTTCACCATCGTCGGAAGATGCAAATGATATTTTACCTGCTTCAATTTGTTCAATTCTTTGTAACTTCTTAGTTAAGGACTCTACCATTTGGGTCTTTTCTGTTAGCTCCATCTGAAGTTGACTTACATTAATACTATCATTGGGTAAACTTTTACTCGTCAACGATGTCTGGATCTCTTTGTGCTCTTTCCCTTCCTTTAACCTTTCTTTTAGAGATTTATTAAATTTTTGGCTGTCTTCAAGTGCTCTTTTCAAAGTATTGAATTCAATATCATGCTCGTTCTTATAGGAGGATAACTCAGCTTCTGATTTCTTTGCTGCAACTCTCAAGTCGTCACAAGATTTGTTTACCTTCTTCAGTTCTTGTCGAAGTAAAACTATTTCATGTTTCTGTTGTTCGTTGAGCTGGTTGAGTCCAGCTTTCGCTTCAGCTCCAGCTTCAGTGGTCTTCTGTAGCTGCTCTCGGAGTTTCGTGTTCATCTTCTGACTTTCATTCAGTCGAGATTTGATTTCCTCGATTGGCTAAAAACGACAATTCGCACAATCGTCACATTAGAAAGATGAACAAGACATACAATAGCGACAACAGCAAGGATAACATAACAGTAGAACGATGGTAGCAAAACACTAAATACTGACGACAATACTAATACAACATAACGTTCCTCATCACCAACAACCAACGGAAATGGTTACAACCGCAATTAATAAAAGAGCTCGAGAGTAAAACAACGGATTAACAGCACAAACAATACAACCAATATCTAAATGTAATAACTTACACTTCCTGGAACAGTCTCCATATTCCCCGATTGCCGAGTTGAAAACATTGTACCCGACATACCAAGGCTTCCAGTGGATCCACTAACACCACCACGCGGTTGCATTGCATCTAAACGACTCTGCAAAGACCTATTCCATCGTTCGCTGTCTTCAAGTTTCGCATGTAGTCTCTCAATCTCGTCTTGCTGTTGAGAATTGTGCGGTTTTTCATTCTCAGAGCTTTGAGCAATATTCTCTTTTAACTGCGCCCTGAGTTTGTTGTTTTCTACAATACCTTCCTCGAGAGAACGACGAAGCTGGGAAACAAGTTTCAAATCGCCGCTCAAATCAATAGAAGCTGAGTAGCTTGATTGCTTTAAGACATTTTCATAACCTTCACGTTCTTCTTTTAGAATTTTAAAAAGTCTACTTGTTTCGTCGATCTGTTGTTGCAGAAGGTCTTCGAGACGACTCACCTGAGCAGAGAAAAACACAACATTGAATTCACGCCTGGAGAATATAGGGAATGGGATGGTGTATGTATCATAGAGTACATAACATCTCTTGCTTTTTTACCAATTTCATACCAAGAGATTTCGAGTCGAATGGGAGAGAAGGTAAACAACATTAGAACGATAAGTACTACCAAAACTGCATAATTGCTTGAAGTCAAACTGGGAGCAATTAAAATAGACATTTGAAATGACCTTGTGACAATCATTCATCAACATTTCTGGGCAATACCAGTGTTCTTAGCACAACATCAAAAAACAAGAAAGCACCCTGAGTAGGGTAGGGTAGGGTATCTAAAATTACACTCTACGATACCTGATCTCTGGATTTGTTTTCTGCAATGTTCTCTCGCTGTAAAGACCAAGATTCCTTCTGTTGTCGTAAGGAGGTAACCTCGTTTTCCAACATCTGCATTTGTTCCAACTGCTGTTCCTGATTGCTTTGCTAGATTGCAATTTATTAATGATTACATAATTTGGGAAATCTTGACCATAAAAATTTGAAGCATGAAATGTGAACTAAGCTGTCGAAAACCTGTAAGGGTTACTTTCAAATGTGATTTAAAGTTTGCCGGGTTTCCATATAACGGTTTGCCGTTAACATCAATCTTAAGGTCTCTATTATTCTAGCACGATGTAGGAATTAATCAGTGAACTCACATAATCAGCTTCAACCTTTTTTCTTTCCATTTCAGATTTATTGAAGGCCTAAAAATTAAACATGGATACACACAAACTTCACCTTCAAACATATGCTGAGTTGAATTTTGCAATCTTAAGGAAAACGAGTATCACAATAGAGAAAATAGACAAAATTTACATTTTTTGTTTGCTCCAAGTTCCTTTTCAATTCCTTTTGTAAAATAAACATTAACAAATGGGTGAATAGATATTGCGGTTAATTTTTGATCTACTGTAAATGGTGATGCATTACATACCTCAAGAACTGGAAGATTATTCAACTTGGCTTGAAAAGCTTCAATTGTTTCTCTACAATCAATAATCACATCATAAGACAGAATAAACAAACCCGATCGATTTTTACTTTTATGGCGGATGTGTAGAGCGAGCAGGCTAAGAGATGCTCAGACCTATCACATTCTACAGTTGCTTAACTCTCGAGAGTGTGACCGCCAAAAATATATACTACTCACGTGGCTTGTTTAAGCAGTAAATCCTTTTCCTCCAATTCGTGTTCAAATTCTGATACACATTCCATGTACTATAACAAAAATAACCATGACTGGTGTTTAATTCCCTATCACGTCATGCCATGGGTGAGCATACAGTCTTGATGTGTTAGAAGGAAAAGATGATGTATCAGAGAAAACCAGACCACAAATTTGCATCAAAAAATTTAGTATTTTCAAACACCTCTTGCTTCTTTTCATTGATGCTCATTTCTTGTTCTTTGACGACTCTTTCAAGCTCTGTCACGATATCTTGAAAACAATACAAAATATTGGTTAGTTATGCTTCATCAGTTTTGTCATGAAATTTTTAAGACAAAGCAAATACGGCAGTATATAGAATAATTATTCGGGGCTAAATGGCAAATACAGAGGCATACAAATGCTGGCACGGTTGTGAAATTGTGAGACATTAAGCATCTATCACTGCTTCTATCACTGTTACCTTCTTTTTCGTGCAACAATTTCTCAAGTTCGTTCACTTTATCCGTGAGATTCGTCTAGATAAAAAATGTCATCGAGTCCCATATTTCAGCAAAACAAATTTGTTTGAGGCGTTCTGGCTCAGACAATCAATATACGGCCAATGGGTCACATCATAACTTGAGTAATTCTTAATGAAACGTACCATTTCAAGCCTAACAGGTGATGTTTTATTGCTTGTGCACTCCTACAAAAAAACAAATGAAACATTTTTTAAACCTCAATGTAAATACGTGACGAGCCTGACAACGGATTTTCTAACTAACCTGGAGTTTAAGAAATACTTTATCTTTTTCTTTGCTAGTTTTGATTAATTTCTAAAACGAAAAAATTTAAGGGGACTTCACGTGGAATAATCAGTTAATATTTATCCTAGTGCATGTTTTAAAGTTAACTTTCCGCAGTGACAAACATTTGACTTGTTTCAACAGTAATCTGGTAGAGTGAAATCTGAGCTTGACTTATGGGAGCTACAGAATGCTAATGTCAATGAACAATTCTATTTACCTCAATTGTTCTGTCTTTTTCTTCCAAGGATTGTTTCAGTTTTCCAAGAAGAATTTCGTGTTCCTGTTTCATCCACAACTTACTGTTCTCGACACCCTAAAGCAGAACACAAAGATTTCAACAACACAACTCGTTTCTTCATCTCTAGTTAACTTTGAACTGACCACAAGTTTAATCCCATGAAGCTAGGGTTTTCTTCTCTCAAATCCCACCAAGAAATAGTTGTAAGATGTTAAATACATCTATACTGATTTACACATACAGTGTAGAATTGTTTTTCACTAGAGTAAGCATTCCTCCACTTTCTTATATAACATTTTAGTTTGTGTTGTAACAAGATAATGCAACGTGCAAACTTATCACATTGAAAGACTCCTCACCTGAATGTTAAGATTCAAGTCATGTATTTGTTGTTGTAACCTTGCAATGCTGTCGTTCTTTTCGGAGCAGATTCGGTCATTTTCCGCGGACATGTCCTTTTGAAATAAGAGAATATAACATTTAGTGGTACAAATAGCAGTCGAAAAATGACAAGTCGCTCGAAGCTACCTGTCTTCTTCAGAAAAAAGCAAATCCTTTAGCTGTTATTTCAGAAACACATGAATGAATATTTTACAATACCTTCAGTAAATGTTCTTTCCCCGCTAGAGTGCTCATCATTTTCTGATTGTTAGCCTCAAAACGTGCCATCATTGTCGATCTTTCTGTCAACAACTCCTGAAAATAAACAAAATTGCTACAACAGACCATAACAATTCAAATGTCAGGGGTCGGTTGTATAAAACTCTTCAACTACACTTTGCATAGTTAAGTCCTAGTTAACTCTAAAATAAACGACTTTGATTGGCCAATTCTGTCCTTAACTACAGTTCAAAGTTAACTAACGTTTGCATGCACTCAACAACGTTTGCATGCACTCAACAACGTTTGCATGCACTCAACAACGTTTGCATGCACTCAACAACGTTTGCATGCACTCAACAACGTTTGCATGCACTCAACAACGTTTGCATGCACTCAACAACGTTTGCATGCACTCAACAACGTTTGCATGCACTCAACAACGTTTGCATGCACTCAACAACGTTTGCATGCACTTAACAACGTTTGCATGCACTCAACAACGTTTGCATGCACTTAACAACGTTTGCATGCACTCAACAACGTTTGCATGCACTCAACAACGTTTGCATGCACTCAACAACGTTTGCATGTACTCAACAACGTTTGCATGCACTCAACAACGTTTGCATGCACTCAACAACGTTTGCATGCACTCAACAACGTTTGCATGCACTCAACAACGTTTGCATGCACTCAACAACGTTTGCATGCACTCAACAACGTTTGCATGCACTCAACAACGTTTGCATGCACTTAACAACGTTTGCATGCACTCAACAACGTTTGCATGCACTTAACAACGTTTGCATGCACTCAACAACGTTTGCATGCACTCAACAACGTTTGCATGCACTTAACAACGTTTGCATGCACTCAACAACGTTTGCATGCACTCAACAACGTTTGCATGCACTCAACAACGTTTGCATGCACTTAACAACGTTTGCATGCACTCAACAACGTTTGCATGCACTCAACAACGTTTGCATGCACTCAACAACGTTTGCATGCACTCAACAACGTTTGCATGCACTCAACAACGTTTGCATGCACTCAACAACGTTTGCATGCGCTCAACAACGTTTGCATGCACTTAACAACGTTTGCATGCACTCAACAACGTTTGCATGTACTCAACAACGTTTGCATGCACACAACAACGTTTGCATGCACTCAACAACGTTTGCATGCACTTAACAACGTTTGCATGCACTCAACAACGTTTGCATGCACTCAACAACGTTTGCATGCACTTAACAACGTTTGCATGCACTTAACAACGTTTGCATGCACTCAACAACGTTTGCATGCACTCAACAACGTTTGCATGTACTCAACAACGTTTGCATGCACTCAACAACGTTTGCATGCACTCAACAACGTTTGCATGTACTCAACAACGTTTGCATGCACTTAACAACGTTTGCATGCACTCAACAACGTTTGCATGCACTCAACAACGTTTGCATGCACTTAACAACGTTTGCATGCACTTAACAACGTTTGCATGCACTCAACAACGTTTGCATGTACTCAACAACGTTTGCATGCACTTAACAACGTTTGCATGCACTTAACAACGTTTGCATGCACTCAACAACGTTTGCATGTACTCAACAACGTTTGCATGTACTCAACAACGTTTGCATGCACTCAACAACGTTTGCATGCACTCAACAACGTTTGCATGCACTCAACAACGTTTGCATGTACTCAACAACGTTTGCATGCACTTAACAACGTTTGCATGCACTCAACAACGTTTGCATGCACTTAACAACGTTTGCATGCACTCAACAACGTTTGCATGCACTCAACAACGTTTGCATGCACTTAACAACGTTTGCATGCACTTAAACGTTTTTCATGCACTTAACAACGTTTGCATGTACTCAACAACGTTTGCATGCACTTAACAACGTTTGCATGCACTCAACAACGTTTGCATGCACTCAACAACGTTTGCATGCACTTAACAACGTTTGCATGCACTTAACAACGTTTGCATGCACTTAACAACGTTTGCATGTACTCAACAACGTTTGCATGCACTTAACAACGTTTGCATGCACTCAACAACGTTTGCATGCACTCAACAACGTTTGCATGCACTTAACAACGTTTGCATGCACTTAACAACGTTTGCATGCACTCAACAACGTTTGCATGTACTCAACAACGTTTGCATGCACTTAACAACGTTTGCATGCACTTAACAACGTTTGCATGCACTCAACAACGTTTGCATGTACTCAACAACGTTTGCATGCACTCAACAACGTTTGCATGCACTCAACAACGTTTGCATGTACTCAACAACGTTTGCATGCACTTAACAACGTTTGCATGCACTCAACAACGTTTGCATGCACTTAACAACGTTTGCATGCACTCAACAACGTTTGCATGCACTCAACAACGTTTGCATGCACTTAACAACGTTTGCATGCACTTAACAACGTTTGCATGCACTCAACAACGTTTGCATGTACTCAACAACGTTTGCATGTACTCAACAACGTTTGCATGCACTCAACAACGTTTGCATGTACTCAACAACGTTTGCATGCACTTAACAACGTTTGCATGCACTCAGTATTTCGCAGCTAAAAAGCCAGAAAAAGTGTCATGCGCAGTTGGACCATCAAACACAGGAATCATCAAACCTACCGCTACCAACTTTTCTTTTTCTTTCAGCGTTGCGCCAAGTAAATTGACTAATTCTGTTTCTTCAGAATCCTTTACCTAAAATACCATATTTTACACGATGTACAACAAATTTACTCCAAATAATAGTTGAATCCCTACTACTTTGCTCCTGCCAAGGTGATTTTAAGTTATCACTAATCCTCTACCCAACCCCTTCCCCGGTCCCGCAACCATCCTCGCAGAAGCCTCAACAGAAATTTAGCGATGTGAGCAAGTAACTATTATTACTAACCATTATTATACGATTATAATCGATTATAACTGACCATAATCACTAACCTCTGCAGCGGCGTGCCGATGAAGGACGTTTTGCAAATTCTAAAAACGTAAACGGCAGCGCATAAAAGCAATTAGCTCTAGCACACGAAACTACAACGGAACTTCAATCGCTAGGGCCTGCATCCTACACTATGGCTTGGAATTTCGCAATCTCGTTCACAGAGCCCGAGTTTACCTGATCAAAGAAAACTATAGAATGGAACCCTGCGAAGGAATACAGGCTCCGCCTCAAGGCATTTATGTATGTCAAAAAAGTTGGTCAAGCTTCTGCAGCCTACTGGGGTTACAATTTCTCTCAAGCTGTGTTCCTCGTATAATAATCACAAAACCTAATGCTACATAAATCAATTATGATTTTTAGCATCTCACTCGATGTAGGTAAATTCTAGAGGTTCAAGGATCTTAATTTCGAGTGGAATTATACACACTGCTTCAATTTGAATTTGACTTAAGACCCTTTGAACCTTAACGTTGCATATCTTACATGATGTTGAAAATTAAATGGATTGCCACTATATATTGTCATAATTATCTCACCTCAATTTGTTGCTCGCGATTTGCCAGGTTTCTCTTTAACTTTTCAATTAAACCTTCATTCTCGCGACTTTTCTTTAAAGCAATTTCATTGGCTTCCTTTAATACGTAGAACAAGATATTTAAGATATTTCATGAGGCAAAAACACAAAAACCGACGCTTAATTCCAAGCTGAGCAAAACTGTCAGTAGTATTGCTACAAAAATGTCCTTTGAACGTGAACGCATCTTCGTAGAGGCTTTCCGGCGAAAACTGTGTGAAAAGTTTCGACTGTACCTCAAACTGACTCTCTTGGATTTGTTGATTGGCTTTTAAGCTATCGATGAGAGTTGCCTTTTCCCTGAGTGTAGATTGCAAATTCTATAGAAGAATTTAAAATATTGTTGATCATGCATCAGTGAATAGACACAAACACTGTCAAGAGACTACAAGCACCTGTAGCAAATTACCTTGACAACATCTTCGTTATTGAGTACGGCAGCGTTAATATTTTCAATCAAACGATCTCTTTCTCGTAAACTTTTACGCAGTTCCTGTATTTCTTCTTCTTTCTTGTGAAGAGCTTTAAATTTCTCTTCAATATTCGCCTGAGGGAAACGTGCAAAGGATCAAATACAATCGCATGTAAATATGAAATAACAAGTTACAGAAACATATGTCAAGCTATTAGCTTATGCATGCATAGTTTATAATGCAAAAATGATTGTACTAAACGCGATGATTTATGCATGTTTAAAGCCGTGCATATATAAACCACTTCGGAGCAGCGATGTGGACATGTACAAAGCACTGATACTAAGCCACCAGGTGTTGTACCCCTGTAGACGAGTCCAGGGTCATATTCATTTTGTAATGGTGCTAGGCTGAGTTGGGCAAGCTGAAATTAGCTTGATCAGGGAGGAAATCAAACCCGAGACCTTTGGTTTGTTGGTTCAATGCTCTTCCAACTGAGCTGCTATGCCACGACTGTTCGAATAGTTGATATAACTCAATCTAATCCCTTTCATATCCGCGTGTCTTACGTAAAGTGATAGTGATAATGCACACGCCAGGTTGGTAACTCGGAGTAGCACCATCGCAATATTAATTCATACATCTGAGTTATATATGCATTATCACGTTCAACATGTTTACCTCAACAGCAGCATCCCGTTCTTCCAAACGATTTCTTAACTTTTGAATCAGTTCTTCTTTCGTGTCGGTGATGTCCTGAATAGAATAAAGTAATCAAAGCATTCCCTACTCTAGCGTTCCAGTGAGTAAAAATAATTCTCTGAATCATGGTACGACATCGAGACAGAATTGCAACGTTCATTTATGACGTAACTTACATCGCGGGAGCTTGATAACGAAAGATTCTCCTGGGTCACAATCAAATCCTGAAATAAAGAGAAAAGAAACATTAAGTGAGACCGTTCAATTTTTGGGACATCAGGGGGACTTTATAGGGTTTTTTCATGGGACAAGGCCGCCATGAAAGTTCAAGCATGGTTCACCAGTAGTAATCTCTTTCGGATCGTTGTAAACAAGGAATTAGAACAAGGAAATAACGCGTGCCTGGCTTTGTGAAACAATCAGATATTCATGATTCCACGAGTTCTCATACAGTCAGGAGTAGTGTTTAATCGTAGGCGACATTTGATTTCTTTTGACTATCTGAGGAGTAATTTTTTTCAATGTCGCATATTAATTTAATGTCGTGTGTTAATTTCATCGAACCTGTATAATGCTTTCTTTGTCCTCTAGTGTTTCAGTGACACGCTGAATGATCTGATCTTTTGCATTCACTTGAGTCTGATGGTCCCGATTTAACTTTTGTACTTGTTCCTCATGTTGGTCCCAGGCCTCCCGAAGCTTGTTTCTTATGTTTGTCAGTTCCTCAGACAAGGCCTAAATTAAATAAATCATTGGGCCTATATGAATGAATTTACTACGGCTTATTACAAACTAATCTTAGATTTATTCATGGACTTCGGATATTTTTTGACAGTGTGAAACAAAGATATAAGAGTGAAAAGGTTAAAATTAGAAGTATATATTAGAAGTTCATTCCAGTGAACAATAAAACCTGGAACTCTAACTTGGCCGCCATCTTTAAAGCCAAATTTGAGGGTAGTTTTTCTGAGTTTTTGAACGTTTGAGACAGATGTAGAGTGTAATCATCTAGGAACTATGTAAAATACAATCATTCACGAATTTTTACAAGAATTGAACGAGAAACAGAGTCAAAAAGTAACTTTTTTTAATGATTGCAATATTTGCTGAACTGTAGGAGTTAGCGTTCAAGTTGATATTACAGTTCACTGGTTCAGTCCCAATCTCTTCCTTATCACCCTTCCCGCCCCGCCACTCGCCCCGCACTCCCCGGAAAGGTACACCTGAAGAAACTTCAACTTGCACACGCTTTTATTGATTTATTTTACACAGTATTTGATAACACAATCTAAAAGTCCCTCCTCCTAAATATTAAAACTAAATCTTTATCTTCCAGCACAGCTATAGCTTGGTGTCTTTGTATATGCTGTTCATAGTACGTGTTGTGTTGGGCATCTCTCTGTTGTTGCTTTTCACGTGATTCAACTTGGAATGGATCAAGCCACGATAGAGTGTTAAGCATTTGCGATTGAAAACAAATGCAACGCATACAAAAACGCCTTGCAGACCAACAAACAAAACAAACAAATAAAGAAATACCCGAGTGACTGATTCAAAAAGAAAATGAAGAAAGATAAACAGCCAAGAGAAGCCCATCAACGTTGAAAGTCTGAAACAAATGATCACATTCTGTCTTTCTCGTTTTTTCTGCAACTCACTTGATAAGAACTGCGAGTTTGTTCTTTGATTTTTGAAGAAATGTTTTGCGACGCGTATGAACGTTGCTGTATTAAACACGAGGGAGAGCGCGACTGGTAACGCAAACAGATACATACTAGCTTGTTGTGTTCCCAAAAAACAAACAGTTTGGTTAACAAGGCCGTACTTCACAGCAAGAGTATCTGTTTGGTCTAAAATGACGAGCAGTCCCACAAATGCTGCTGGAGCGAACCATATTACCAAAAAATAGATGATAAATCGTCTCTTTTCCTCGTCCAAGTCTGGTAATGCTGAAATACCACGGCCAAATACATAACACGAGTGATAGGCGATCACAGAGCAGGCAGTAAAATATACCATATAAAAATAATGAATCCCGATAGCTAGGACAGTACATAAAACACCCCTGGCTGTAAATTCATGACCCAACAACCAGAAAAGATCAGCAATTGCTAGTGAAATAGCCAAACTTAAAAGATTTTTCCCCGGAACAGTTCGCAATTCTTTGAAGAGCAAATAAGTCACAATTAAGACAACAAGAAATACTTCGGATAAAACATAGCAAACGAAGTTCATTATTGTCAACACAAGGGGAGGATCCATATGACTAATCTCATGTTTGCGTTTGAATCCAACAAAAATATAAACCGTTCCGTTTACAAAGGAATATTCGCCGAAGTCGTATCTGAGGTTTTTGTATACGACAGTTAGGTTTGGTAGCAGACTATACTCGGAAGGTTTCAGGCCTATATAAGAGCCATTAATGCGAAAAGGAGCCAACTTTGAACACACTCTTGCTGTTGGTTTGGGAGCAGGTCCATTTATCTCGTATTCATACGGTTCGTAGGTAAGCATAGTTTGATTTACATAGAGACGGTTGTCTGGTAATTTAGAGTAAACTTGATAAGTTCCCCAATGAATGCAGGCTAATCGTCGAACTCGAACACGAAATACTGTTAAATTTCTTCTGTTACCAAGCAACAAAGGAAAGGCGTTTTGAAACTTCAGTAACTTCCAAAGGTCAAGATTCGAGGGATTTCCATAGTTGTTCGCAGAAATGATCAAGCTCTGTTCTGGCGTCAAATGTAGCGTGAATGAGATAATATATTTATCTCCAGAAGAAGCAACTTTAACATCTAATATTTGACGTCGGGACAAGTTGAAATTTTCTGAAATGTCTTCAGGAAGATTCGATTCCATCAGCATTGGAGACAAGGTATATCTTAACAATGACATTGTGATTCTGTAAGAATCACCTGAGGAATTAAGGACAAGTGGTTGATAACTGGGACGACATTTGGATATATATGGATCGTAGACCTCTCCTTGGGGACACGTTCTGGTTACCTTGACAACATCGTAGTCTTGTAAGTTCATTGAGCGACTTATATCTGCTGGTAACACAAAACAATTTGTAGGTGAAATCAATTTTACAGGACACGGGGATTTTACATCGTGACACGAGCTACACGCGCGATTTTTATAGAAAACTCTATTTTCTGAACGGACAATCTCAACCGTTCCGTTAATACACGCGCGTGCATTTTCAAATTTAGATGTTTTCGAACAACTTTTGACAACGTCCGGAAAGTAACAATAACGCACAAAGAAACTATCCTTAGGTTGGATTCCTCTAAAATGCTTGATATTTGAGTTGAGAAAATTAATAAATTGTTCTTTGTTAAAGTGGCTGGGAGGAATTGCCAGCTCCGAAAATGACAACTCCCAAAATTCGTATGATGTTACATTGTGGCATATTGCGCAATACTGATTTCTATACGTCATGTTATTTACACCGCTGTACACAGGAACTAATGTATCGTAGGTTCGGTTATCGAGAAACTTCGATGGCGAATCGCACTTGTGACGTATGACGTCATCAGTCCAATGCAGGGGGCATTTCTTTATCATCCATACGCCTGAAGGAGGTTCACAAGGCCTGAGGAACAGATTTATTTCAGATTCGCATTGCAAATAAGAACTCGCCTCGTACACATGATCGCCACGGACGACAGTATTGCTCCCACAATGTTTGGTATAATCACTACAGCAGTCCGTAAAAATGTCATTACATGAAGTATCACAGCCACACATCGGAACAAACATACGATGAGTTTCGACAAAACGAGTTCTGTTCGAACATTTATTTTGACAAGACTCTTCCAGCCTGGGACAATCAAACTTTCCAGGCAGCGGATCATGTTTAAAACCTGAGCCGTCAGGTGACGGAAAACTGCTTCCAGGAGGCAATTCATCACCCTGTAATTTTGTACCAGTAGAATTACCAACATCTTCCTGCAGTCCTTTGTTTGTTTCACTTGTTTCATTCCTCAACGAACGACGGACAAGTTTTCTCACAGGGCGCTTCTCAAAATGATCCAAATTCTGCTTTGATGTCACCAAAGTGTTTTGTTCATTCTCGCGTGTCAGCGATTGCCTCACAGCGTCATCCAGCATCTTTTCACCATTTGTAGCACAAACATAATGGAATACTATCAATACCACGTTCAATAGCAAATAGATTCTATTTAGTTTCATCGCTCTTCTTAAATACGAATACAGTATGTGATAATAACCAAAGTGCACTGAATTACCGAAGATATTACGTTTGCGAATTAATCACAGCGAATAATGTGTATGTTAATTTTGGAGGAGGTCATTAGTCGCTGACGTAAACATGATGTCGCACAAAGAATGTGTGTTGCTATGAAAACATATATACTACGGAAATGACTTAAAGCTATGGGAAATGGATTTTGTGTCATTGAATTTTGAAGAGCATATTGAAGAGCATAACAACTGCTATCACGAGAGAGTTACAGTAGTCTCTATTCATATATTTGTTTATTATCTCTACATATTTCGTTGGCCGTGATCTCGTTTATACAAATGGTAAAAAGGTTTTTATTTTCGGTTTTCAATTAACTCTGGTTGAAGCAATTTATTATACTGCCATCATATGTAACGCCTTCGTATAAAATGAAAGACACTTTCAACAGAACCTAATACATTCAGGATAAAAATGGTAATCCTGTACGGTAATAATAAAAATATATTTTCACACAAACCGTAAGCTCTTTCTCTTTTGCATACATTTGATTCGCAGTGTCATCTTGCTCGCCATTTCGTTCATTTATTCTCTACAAAAAACACTCTCAAAAGTCATTTCACTGCATTCACACGCGAGTCTCGCTTTAATCAGAGAACATGAGAAGATTATAATTATGATTATATTTATTACGAATTATGAGCTTCTCAAGGGTTTTTTTTATCACCACATCTCAACAACCTTCCTCCGTGGATTTTCGTTAAAAAAGGGGCTGATTAAAATCTTATTTTTTCGTTAATAGCTAAAAGGCCATGAAAATCGCATAGGATTTTGAAATTTATAACTTGTGCTTCCAGTATGGTCATTAATAATTTATTTCGACAGCTCAAAAACTCTTTAATCACAATTTGATAATTAAAAAAAAAGGATAAATCTACGATGAATGTCTTTAATGTAGGTTGTTTCTAGCACTGAGGCCTGATATACAAGTAAGTTCGAGAGAATCTTACCTGTAGTTCTATATCCTTCCTTGCCAAAGATCGAGTCAAATGCTGGAAAAATAGTGTGATTGAGATTGTGTTGCATGGATCACTGACAGTGCATGTATCAGGATACATATTCAGTGTGAAAAAAATTTACATGAAAAAGCATTAAAAATGAAGTCACTGGTAGTGTTACACTTACATCATTTTCCATTTCCTTCTGTTTAAGATTTCCTTGCAGTTCGGCAATCAACGCATCTTTGGCCTTTAAGGCTTTTGACTTCTCTTCAAATGCCTTTTAAGATAGTAAAAATTAATCAGCTTCTTTACACAAATAATCTGTCACGTCTGATACTCCTTCTGTAACTGTGTGACACCACACCAACAAATATCAGTTGGGAAGAGGGGGCAGATATCTGGTGTCTGGCGGGGTGTTTGTAGTTGCTTTCGCACGGACCCAGGGTAGTTTTCAGGCGAGAATGTAAATGTTGAAAGAAATTACACCCTCCCCACGCTCTCATAGGATACGAGACAATAACGGGAAAACCTTTAACGTCACAGATCAGAAGATAGGAATCTGACGCAAGACTGTAAATCTTCACCTCAACATCTTTCAAGCTTGCTTCATCGATGATATCTTGCGCCTTTTCAAGATTCTGTTGAAGAATGCGAAACTTCTCTTGCATTTCTTCAGCCTGGAACAAAAAGAATAATCAAGTAAAATATTAAATCAGGATTTGCACAAACGACATCTAAAGTTGTGTGAATCAATTGAATCAATGGGTAACGCTCAGCAATGAAATCATGATAACAGCAACACTAGTAACTCATGGTTAAAGGCTGCATCAGAACTTATATTTGGTCATGGAAACAAAATTCATCGCCATTTTGATACGTCATTAATATGCAGTATGAACTGGAACCCAGTTGCTCTGAATTAGCCCAGTCTGTTCGCAAGAGGAGCTCTGGCTGCTCTGCAACCGATTCTGGGTAAGTGGTGAAATCTTGGTAAATTTTAGGTTGAATCCTCCAAAATGAATATCATAAATACATCAGTGTCCTTGATTTCTGACAGAATTCGCCAAAGAAGCTGAAGTCGAATTTTTCCTGACTGGTTCTGGCTAGGTCTTATAACATGACATCCCAGATAAATTGTATTATACTATTATGAAAACATCATATGTCAATGATTTCTGGTTGTATTCTCAACGTAACATCGCTTGTCCATGCCCCTGCACCTTAGATCAACCGAGAAGCCAACCAAAATAACGACTCATCTATCTTGTACGACGTACAAGCGCCTCTATAGTCATTGACTACCTCGAACACCTGAACTGAAACAGTACACTACAGTACATGTGTTTATACTATAAGATCAACTTAAACCCAAACTTAGCCTACATCATTTCCTACATACATACCTGCATTATGTACGTATATTACAATGCGTTTAAAGAACGTTGTTTTTCATAAAGAATTGCGGGCTTCAGTCATTAGTAAACGCTGTGTAGCAACAGTTTGTAGTACACAAGGTAGACATCAATATCATCAGGAATGCGAATTGCGAATATGAGAGCGCGCAAACGGTGTGGGTACTTTCAGCTGGTAACCTGATCTCATGCAGTGTGTAAAGGCGAGATAAGTTAGGGAAAATCCCGCACGTTACAGATAATCTTGAATTGAATGCATAGAGCGTGTCGGAGCGTTACAATATTCAATGAAATAGTGCAGTTATGTGCCATCACTGCCATGTATGCATACCTCAACTTGTTTTAAGCGAAGTTTTTCATTCAATTTCTTAAAACAAAACAAAAGATTGTTTCAAAAAAACAGGAATAAAATGAAACACATTTACATCATTTTGTGAAGAAAAAGACATGCCAACTCATGCAAGATGCGAGTCAGTACAAAGTCAACGAGACAGCTGCATTCGCTTACCTGAACTGACGAATTTCCATCTTGTAATGCTAACTGGAGTTTTCTATCGTTCTCATACAAAGAACCTTTTAAGTCCTGTATGAATAAAAATACTTTAGAATCATCATCAGAGATATGACATATTTGAGTGATGAATGTTCAGAAAAGAGTACGAGTAGATTAGAAAGATTAGAGAAAAGCGAATTTACTGAGTTCGCAGCTTTTGATGAGATATACCTTAATAGACGCTTCTGAGTTTTTCAACTTTTCACCTAAATCCTAAAAATGAAAGCAATAACTGGTGTTTACGATAGAATATTATACAGTTTCAATGAACCGGAATGTTTTACAAGTTTATTGCAAAACGTCTTTCAATAATATCACAATCAGGACAATTTTCATTTTGTAGGAAATCGGAAAGTTTTTATGTCGACTTTGTCACACAACTGATACACTATTCTTAATTCACACAGTTACACTACCGAAATTTGTCGATCGCGCTCTTCAATTTTTTGTTTTAATCCTTTGACCTGCAATGCAAGCAGAACAAATAATATATATTTAACAATGAACACTGCATGTTAACACTGTAGAGTTAGCAAATACAAACTAAATAAACTCTCTATAGAACTCTCTCATATATTAGTAAGAACCACAAAACCCAATGGTCAGTAAATACGTTGTATGCTGGTAAGCGGGACTGGGGGTACAACATCAAACAATATTCGCTTCAACTTTCAAGAGTGAAAGGTCTTCTGTCTGGGTGTTTCCGTAGAACTGAACCGAGGGATTTCAGGTGATGAAATGAAATAATAAAATAAAATAGGTTTTTCTTAAATTGCCATTGTTGATATAACTTTGTTGCATTATGATGTACATGATTTTAATTGCATTTTTTCCCCATTAAATTACTTGTCTTGTAAAAATTTAAGGAATATTGTTATTATTGTGCATTTTCTTTGACTCATTAATTTATTTGTTGGTCAACAATTGTTCATGAGATCGAAAGATTAAAATATTCGAATAATAATTATATTAAAAATGGTCTAATCATCAAGCGCGCGGCTTTCTATATTCAACGTGTCAAAACTATGCCTAATTCATTAAGCTTCCTATTTCTGCCATGATTAATTTCTTCCTGCATGTAGGTATATTGAAAGCTGCCTACGAGTTTTCTTAATACCTGTTCCGTTGCATCAGGATCACAGGCTTGTGACAACAACTAAAGGATGAATGTCATTACCAGTTCAGTACGAGAGAAATCACGCCGAATCCGAGATAAAAAATGAACATGCACTCGCTACCGAATATTTCAATGTTTTATTTCTTTTAAGACTGGCCAGAAACACAGACACATTGCTTGTATTTTTACGACTTTTATAAGTTACCTTAATACGAGACTCGCGAACATCAACCGCTGATTTTAGTTCATCTATAATTCTATGAAATATAGAATTGAATGTTAAAAAATAGCATCGAATAAACCATTGAAATGTGGTTAAATATTTAGTCAGAAATCAATGTTTAGCGACAACAATGACAATTGTCTAATTGTTTGTCAGAGGTTGAATGATTGAATTGTCCAAGTGTTTAATATGGAGTTGAAATAACAAACGAAAAGTTCTGCAAATTCATGCATGATATCATTCATATTTACCTGTCTTTTTCCCTTAGACTTGCTTGTAGTTTTGCCTACAGTAAAACAAATATAGTTTCAGGTACTGAACCTACAGTACCATCATTTCATTCATAGGTAAAAGAGTTATTTCAATCTAACAGGCAAAATTAACACCCGCAATATACCTGCATTTCAGTGGCTTCAAATGTTGAACAACCATTTTTGTTCGTTCCTTCTTTAATTTGTTGATTGATTCTTTCTGCTTCAACCTGAGCATAAAACCATTGATCAATACAAGTTGATGCCTTATACTAAAAAAATCACAAACTGAAGGAGGCTATTCTCATATTTTAAAGATATCTATCACACACCAATTTGTTTCTAAATTGCTCTGACTGCTCACTTGCTATTTTCAATACCTGAAATGAAAACAACAAATAATTCAGAAACAGTTTGGATGAAATTAACAAGTTAGCCTTGAAATAAACACACTATATAACCCAAACTATGCATATATAACTTTTACACCAATATTTTGGTATACAATTACTTTATATATAAATCTAATAGAGTTTAGTAACTATCTAATTTGCTACTTTGCTAAAATCGTGATCCTATGTTATTATACATTCTCTGTACATCTAATATTCAATAGGATAATCACTGAGTTCTGTGGTTACATATATGCATTATCATCATCATGAAGCTACAATATGGATATGACTACCGTATGTAAAAATTTTGCATGGTACCTCTTCATTTGCTTTTAGTTTCATGTTATAACTTTCCTTCACCTCATCCAGGTCTCGGATGTGTCGATCTCTTAGCTACAAAAATATATAACAATTCTTATATACTACGTCCACAATGGTTAATGAATTTTAAAAGTTTCCATACATGACAGGACACCACATTTGAAGTGATTCACTTGCTCATTACCACCTTATACAATAAAAAAGAAATGTTTTACTATTTATTATTCTTTATTATTAACCTTCTTTATCTGTTCCTGATTATTTCTGTCCAAACTCTCCACTGCATTTCTAAACATTAAAAACATTTGATGAAGAAGAATACCGGTAGTTTGTTAAAACAATGATGGAAGAAATATGTAACATACTACAAGCAAGATATATGTGGCTGTGCACACGTCAACGAGGTTGCAAATTAAATATTATATGCCTAAATGAGCCACTTACGATGCTTTCAGTAGGAGTCTTCGTTTCTCGTTTAGTTCATTCTTTAGTTTTTCAATTTCAACTTTTAGTTCAATATTCTAAAGAAAATATAATGTTTAAACAGTGCAAACTGTTACCAAATGATGAACAACAATATGTAATATTGTACTGTACCTGCGAAATAGGAATGATATGATGCGTGTTTGATTTAGAAATTAAGGCAAAGTATAATCTCTTACCATTTTAAAAGTATCATTATCATCAACATCTCTCTGTGAATTTTGAAGCTTTTCCTCCAAGAAATATATCCTGAGTTTCAATTCAAAATTTTCTTTCTTCAACTCTGAGATGTGCTTTAATGTAAATATAACAAATTATGAATCAAAGTGAAAAAATAGGGATAAATACTGGTAAAACACAAGACAAGAGACACCTTGACTTACCATTTCATGATCTTTTATAGTGTGCACTTCAGAGAACTTTCCTGAAAAATATTTTTTCAAAGCAGTTTATTTTCCACCATTTATTTGCAGCAGTTTATCTTAGAGTTTAAAATTTTACCCAATAGATTTTTGCAATGGATACAGTACATATAATTTTTTGGTACAGTACGTAGCTTCAGCAAAGCTATGGCTAGGATGGCTAATATTATAAGCTGTCCGTTAACTTGAGCCTGAACCCATTCACTGAAAAGCAAAATTTATTGGTCTTTGGCAAATGCTAATATGAAAGCATTTCGACACATCATAACAAATCAATGATAACATTTTAGACAATGCTAAAGAGCCTTAATATCCAAGCAGAATTAGTACCCTCACCAGCACTGGCTCAGGGATTAAGACAATCATCTTGTTCATTGGATCATTTTATTGATCATCTGGTTTTTAGGATATGGTGGGGAGGTATATATCAACATTCATCGATCAGCAAATGAGAAATTCGCTAGCATTTCATTATTACCATTTGTTAAGAGCAATTACTGAAATCACACTATGATGAAAATTTTATTGAATGCTGGGGGGGTAAAAAAAGAATTAAAGGATCCATAATTGTGAAGAAGTTGCAAAATAGATACATTTGTGCAGTGTACAAATACTTGTACAAAAATCATCCAAGCATTAAAATATATATTGTAATTTCACGCATAAGTGTTATATAAAGTTGTGAATAAATGTCGGTAAACTTACCAGCAGGCATGCTCTCATTCATGGACGTGCTTGTTCCTTCCATTACTCGGGGTATTTGAGTACTACAAATTGCAAAGTATGTGTTGTCAATAGTTGCTATGGATTAGCCGTGCTCTGTGGTTCTTAACCTTTAGCCTTCAACATGTCAACATGTCATATCATGCAACCTGTTATTGTCAAGCTGCCCATCTGCTGTCGTGCTCGACGTCAAAAGTAAGAAAAACATAAAAATTGGCCCCACTTACGTCATGTTAAAATCGATAGGAAGGCTGAGATCGTCGTCCGTCATCGAGTTGGAGATCGACTCCATTATTTACACTTTTAGAATGATAGGGAGGGTGAAATATATCTCCGTAACCAACGGACGCTGTTTTATCTACGAGACCGCCATTTTTGGTTCACCACTGACCGCTATAAAGACCCGAGCCACTGAACTCACCATATCCTTCTCTGTCATATCATGTCGAATATCATGTCGTTTTCGCAAGGACAAACAAGATACACTGTCACATCTTCCGTCATTTCCATAGGATGAACCATATATACTGTCATATATTCCGTCATTTTCATATGAACTGTGTGCTGCCTATTGATGCAAACGTGGCTGCTGACTAAAATATTTAAGATACCAAGTCAGGGAGATGGGCCCGAGTTTGGCGCAATGGGACGTGAATAAATAAAAAACTCCCCAAATATTTAGGGTATTGCCTTCAAGGCAATTTTACGAGTTTGGTATGTTAATTTTCCTAGCTGAGGGGTTGCTCCTGTGATCTGACAATGGTACATTAATTACGTAACTGACTAACTGTGATCGGTTTGTTGATGTTGTGCAGAGTCAGGGGTGTTTATAAGGATGCCAACGGTAACTTACTCTTCGGCTGGATTCAGGAAGGATAAAGTCTGATAAACTGAAAATTTGTGCAAATAAATTATAAATAGCCTTTTCAATTTGATGCTGTTCACCTTATTCAATTAACTGATTGCTAGAGGCTATGGCCAAGGTTTAGACTTTGAACTTTTTTATGTGCCAAACATTATGTTAATGAACTTACCTATTTGTTTGTATTCATTTGCATTCGACTCGTTAAAAGAAAAGTTCATAAGTAAAAGTTCATGAAGAATTCAATATCTGCGAAGGATCGAGAGTCCTTCGGATTACAAGACTCAATACCGTTGATGTTATGCAATGATTTTAATTTAGTAGCTACAAACACACTTGGTATACAGGTCTGCTTGCTAGTGCAGAACGCAGCAGTTTTTGCAGAGTTGACTCTTTTGTTCAGTCACAGCTACCCGCGTTCAAGTTAATAACTCATTATTTAGTTACTAAAGAATTTATTGTTTTGAACTAATCACAGTGCCATATAATATTACACGCGTCATATTTTTCCTTATCTAGAACTATAATCTCATCATGGAATTCTCTATCCCTGTTATTCTGATAAAAACGGGTTAAGAAAAAGCGTGAAAACACTCTGCCCAAGTTGTTCAAAACCTAGTTTCTAGTGTGACGCAAACCTGTACAAATCATTTTCCCAGAATTATCTTTGGGCATGCAGTTAAGGGAGGTTATATTTTTCAACTCGATGCCAATAACTTTGAACAAATGGCCCCAGAAGTGTTTACTGTCTTTTTTCTGTCTATAGGATTAAGTAGTGAAGCTGATGCATTAGTTAGGATTTATAAACCTAAAACGAAGGCAGGTCTTTGAATTTCGATATGACAGGATCTCTTATAACTTAGAGTCTTCCACGAGGTCTTACGTAGTTTTTTCACACATCATTACCCTCACCGTCGATACAATATCTACTGAATATATGACTGTTGTACAGCTCTAATAAATTCTAACGTGTTTCTTGTCACGACAATTAAAACTTGTCTACAACATAAAATTTGGCTGCTACAGCGATTTCGCGGTCTCTGTACGAGGCTAACATACGCACCAGAACAGTCACACCATAACACACAGAAAACGCAGCAATAACCATTGCAATGGAGGAATCCAGAAACCATACTGTCTGAGAGTATTTTAAAATCGACGAAGATATAAGCAATGCTAACGCCAGTACTCCACCGCTAAGTGCATCAATTGCATCCGTCATTAACGCAGCGCTTCCCATGCGTACAGCCACTCTGTATTTTGCAAAAAATAAAGCAAAATACGCCACTCCACTGCTGGCAGATACTGCTATAACAAACGTCATTTGTGTTGGCCGTTCGCTCGCTTTGATAGACTGGAAAGCACGTGTGAATATACATGCCGCACTTATAACCATGCTGGTAGCAACAGCAATTGTGGTGAGTGTTTCTTTTCTCGCTATTTCCCTCACGGTCGAATGAATAGACCAGAAACGCCATATTATCAAAAATGAAGAGAGCGATGTGAAGACTGAATCAAATCCGAAGCCAAACGCGGCTGAACTTGCTGTTGTCTGTGAAACCAAGAAAGCTAACAGGGCAATTACAAATGTCACTGCTAAAGTAATACCTGCGAGAGTTACTGCCATACGGGAAAGTCTTTGTGCAAAGAACTTAGGCAAGTTCTTCTGTCGCGGTAGGATTGTTTCATCGATAAAAGACACACAAGAGTTGTTCGACGATTCGTCTTCTTCCTCCTCGTTCATAATACCCGAATTATAGACATAATTTTGGGGATGAACTATAACATACATCCGAGTGTGTTCAGAGACAAACGGATCGACTTCCAACTCCATCGTTCACCGCTCACTATCTCGCACTTGTTTGGCAAAACATTATAGCCAACAAATTCTTGCATACACTTTGCAACAAACCACCAGTCAAGCGTATAATAGTAAGCACTTAATAGGAATATAGGGCAGTCGACCATGTTTGATAAGCAATTAACCATAAATGTATTCATATTTTTCATGTGACTCGTCTCGTCTGACCTGAATCCACTGACCTGAATCACTAGGTTATTCTATCGCGATGGGTGGTATTAATATTGAAGAATCAAAGTTTAATACGAGCTTGAATCCTCGAGAATTTTCACGCGTCTAAGGGCAAGTTTTTCCAGAGTTAGACCCGGACCATTAAAAATTTCACCAAAATTTTCCCCTCGATTAATTTTGGTCCTTCAGAACATTATATCCAGCGACTGTCGGGTACACTATACCATAGTGGGTACCCGGCGTAGTGGGTACACTATACCATAGCAACAATGCATGGTTAGTAGAAAATGCTAATTTTTTTGGAAACTACAGTATACACGCAGACTATACATGCCTAATGAACTTTTAGAGAATTAGAAGAGGGAAAAATTCGACTTTTAGTGCCACTGAAGCCTGGTTTTCATTAGGTCGCAAGTGTCGTGAAGTTGTCAGTTGTCACAGTGGCTAATGTGATAGAATAGCTAGGGACACGGAATCTACTGACGCGGACAAAGAGTATATCAGGAATAAAAATTATGGACTCCTTTTGGTAAACGAGGTCAGAGCTGTGATGTAAAACTAATTAAAACTAGGTTCCTAACACTGACTAGCGGCTGATTTCATGTCACGTCCTCGTCGTAGATTTGGTGTATCTTAAGGTCCCTATTATTTCTTAAGACAAACGTACATCGATCCGGACTGTTTTTGAAACCAGACTTGAAAGACTCTTTCTTATGTTCCGCCTGTCATTTTATAATGATCATGCGTTTTTTTAAATTATATAATAGGGACCTTGAGGATGTAGGACGGGAAAACGACGAGTCGACGACGCCAGCTATCAAAAGTCAAAACAATGGTTCATTGAAAGGAAATGAATTATTAAATACCTATGGGAGGTTTAGACCTGATCTACGTTCTGTTTTCAACGGCAAAACGTTGTTTATTACGTCCTATGTGCAGGGTGTCTCAAAAAAAACGCAACCACTTAAATATGCAAGAATATTAATATTGTTCGGGTTTGCACCACAGTTCAGCTAAAATGACTTTTAGCATTGTAAATGAAGGATTAAGAGCCATTTTCAATTCCCAGAGGTGCTTATCTATTGTGCTTTAGAGCTGTATTGATGTCTTGCATATTTTCATACGTTCCTGTAGAACGTCTGCATTTCAGGACCCAGTGAGCGCTACCTCGAATTATATAGACTCTACAGAATTGTCCCTAAACGTAAAAACAGTGTTTTCAACGTCTTACATCATTAAATTGGTACAGTTGATAATATAGACGAACGCTTTACCATAACATTAATCTACAGGGTGTCCCAAAAAAAACGAAAACTATTGAAATCACCCATAACAATGCAATTGTTAGAGTTTGAATGCCTAAGCACTCTGTTGGGACTGTTAGTTTTGAAACACCTACTTGTAGGCAAGTTTAGTCCTAACACCTTGACGCCACGCTATCTAACGCTTAATATCAATCAGCATGCTCGTAAAATTAAATGCCTGCGGGCAGTAGATAATAGTAAAATTGCGTGACTCAAAGAAGATCAAGGCACTATTCAACGTGTTACTCCTAGTAAGAGGACATCAAAATTTATGTCGGTGGATTTAGTATAATTTAGAATTTCTATCCACGTTCGTTTGTGTACTTGTTTCGGTTTCACGTTCTACGAAAGCAATAAAGTCAACGTCGGTGCGCGTGGAAACCAAAGTAAGTACATATTGATCTTTCTTCAGTACTAGTACAATTGTTTGTTAGTTAGGTTACTCGTAGCTTGCGTTTTAATTTGGTATTCTGAACTGGTCAAATGATTTACCACGTACAGATTTAGACTTAATTTATAGTGTATTCGATAGATTTACTTCTATTCATATAGTCGCATGTTTTTATGATACTGCACGAACAATGAGTTATTGTGTTAATATTAAGTACTAGATAGATATTTTTTGCATTGTCAGTTATTTAGTTCGAACCGATTTCCACGATTAACAATTGCCACAATTCTGTGTCAATTCACGTCTAATCAAACCCACGAACGTTTGGATTAAAGTTATAATTTTACTTGTTCGATACTCAAATTCTGTCGAGTTCGATTTTGTCTGCGCACCGTTCAACCCAAGTGTTGTCTCATTGGTTATTGCTAAGAGTTAATCGTTTCGTTCTACCATTGGGATTAACATTTAAGTTCGAATTTGATTCACACTGAAAGAATTTGAAGAATTTACCTCTCGTTTCGTGCTCCGGGCACTGAGAAGGAATGCCAGTTATTTCCTGAGAACTTTATCTTAATTTAAAACGTCAAAATCACTCAACGCGTCTTAATGGACTCGGATATTGAACATATCATGGATCAATTAAAAAAGGCGAGAAGTATTGCAAAAGGAAACGTAACGCGAAAGGCTAATAAAGTCAATGAGATACTGACATCATGCGACAATGTCGATTCTGTAAAGGAAATTGCTAAGGAACTAGATGAAGTTTTAAAACATTTCGAAGTTGCGCATGAAGCTTACCATAATTTGCTCAAAGAAGAGCATGAAGTCGAGGAATCTAAATTGTATTTTAATTCGGTTAACGAACTCGTTTCGGAGCATAGGACGAAAATTCAATCGTGGCTTGAACAACCGGCTATTCAACTTGGGCAAGAAAGCCAAAACCAAATTCAACCAGAGGATTCTATTTCCACTGCCGGATCACACAAGTCGTCGCGTTTTCAAACACGATCAATCGCTACCTCAGTTAGGAGTTCGTCCAGCGCAAGGGCAAGAGCTGCCGCAAAACAAGCCGCGCTTGAAGCGAAAGCGAATGCGCTTAACAAACTGCATGAACTTCAATTGGAAGAGCTCAAAATAAAACAGAAAAAATCCCAAGTCGAACTTCAAGCAGAAATAGCTGCCGTGGAAGCAGAGAAACATGTCTATGAACAATCTGAAGCTAGTGATGTTAACTCCAACCGATCTGCCCGTTCGCGTCACGTTGCGGCGAAGTCGATTCAGCAACACGTCCGCGCAAATAAACCAGCATCTCTCAAACCACATGCTACAGAGAATAGCCTACGACAAAGGGAAGCGTTCAATAGTCAGCAGCTAAACCCGACTACTCCGGAGTGGACTCCAGCCAGTGCGCTCCCTCATGATCACTCGTTCCAGCGTCTAATGGAAACCCAAGACCGCCAGAACGTTGTTCTTCAACAGATGATTCAGCAACAGATGCAAGGTGTAACAGCGCTAACATTACCACAACCTACCATGAAGATCTTTAACGGAGATCCTATCGAATATTGTGACTTCATCCGAAGTTTCGAACATCTTGTCGAAACGAAAACGCCAAGTTCCAGCTCCCGCCTCTATTACCTAGTACAGTACACGTCTGGGCCGGCCCAGGAACTCATGAAGAGTTGTTTGTCCATGGAACCAGAGAAGGGTTACAACGAAGCAAGACGTTTACTCAAGGAAAGGTACGGACAGAGTTTTCGAATAGCTGCAGCGCATATAGGAAAACTGACAGAAGGACCACCAATCAAGGCTGAAGATGGAAATGGGCTTCTCCAGTTTTCAATCCAACTGACAAGTTGCACCAATACCTTGAAAGAAATCGGCTCCCTGACGAAACTGGACCATCCCGAGAACCTACGAAAGATTATTAACCGCTTGCCGTTTGGAATGAGACTGAAGTGGCGGGATGTTGTCGATGGGATCGTAGCTAAGCAAGGCCGAGATGTCACGATAAACGATGTCACAGAGTTCGTAACGGTTAAGGCAAGAGCAGCTACCCACCCAGTCTTCGGGAAGATTGTGAACGAAAACAAGGGAAGACAAGAGGAAACAAAGGGAAAGAGAACGCATGACAGGAGAGCAAACGGCTTTGCACCCAAGGAGACCAGAAAGCGGGTGGCAAAGACCAAGACGGCAGGACATACAAGAATATATGTCCCTGCAATGAAAACCACTGGCTAGCTCGTTGCGGAAAGTTCAGGAAGATGTCACTTGATCAGCGAATGGAATTCGTGAAGAACAAGAGACTTTGTTTGAATTGCTTCAACGCTGGACATTTTGTACGCTCGTGCCCTAAAGAGAGTTTCTGTAAGATAGAAGGATGCACCGGTAAACACTCAACGTTTCTACATCCCAAGTCTACACCTAATGATCACGAAGACAAAAAACCCCTTTCAAATCAAGCTACAAAGGAAGAAATTGAGGGATCAACGAATTCTGCCAACAACGGTTACGTAAGGAGATCTCCAAATAGGGAACAGTTGAAGAAGTCCTCGGTCACGGGTCTAGCTGTAGTTCCGGTTCGAGTTAGAGTGAAAGGTTGCACCGAAATGGTAGAAACCTACGCGTTCTTGGACTCTGGCTCAAACACCTCCTTTTGTACAGAAGGCCTTTTGAAGGCATTGAACAACGAAGGAAGAAAAGCGAAGTTGTCGCTGACAACGATGCTCGGCGAAGGTGCCCCAGTTGAATGTTCTCTCGTCGAGATGGATGTTTTCGATCTGGATCAACGAAATCATGTCGATCTCCCTAAGGTTTATTCGACCAAGAGCCTGCCTATTCGCGCAGAATGCATTGGGAGGCAAGAAGATATCGAACGATGGCCATACCTAAAAGGCATAACAATTCGACACATTGATGCTGACATAGGCCTCCTTATCGGTAGCGACGTTCCAGAGATGCTACAGCCTGAAGAAGTACGGATGAGCGAGAATGGGGGTCCTTTTGCCACAAAAACTATTCGGATGGGTTCTGAATGGACCGCTGGGTAGAGAAGATGTCGACGTCCCGACAGCAAATCCCGTTCAAGCAGACAGCACACTGGAGCAGCGCTTCGAAGAGTTTTGTAATATGGAGTTTAACGACGTGAACCGTGAACTCGAATCGACTATGTCACAGAATGACAAAAGGGCTTTGAACATAATGGAAGGGTCAGTAAAGTTAGTGAATGGACACTACGAGATTGGTATGCCTTGGAA